GATAGCATTGGTCATCTGTTATCAGGACAATGCAAGATAAGATAGCAAATAAAACACAATACGATAATTGATCTGTCAATATTGATAATAAAAGGAGTCACGATGAGTCTTTAATTGGAGAAGTGATCTCCATGTACTGAAACGAGTGGGTGCCTCACCCACTTGAGATTTTGAAAATATAATAGCACCCACTTGAAAACTTATCTCTACCCATTTGAAAATGAGAAAAATCATGAATTCTTAACTTAACTGAAAAAATATATCAGTGAATAAATAGAAACAACTTCAATTAAATTCCTAACCAAAATAATTAAATGCACACAAAACAAGTAAAAATCACAAGATAAATAAAAATACCAATGTCATAAATGTGACTATTGTTGCAATGCTATAGTGGTCAAATTTTCTACTTACAACATCAATGTATTGCCAGTCTGCATGCCTAGCCCCAACGCCACCCTGTAACTCTAACATCATCATTTTACTGACTCCTTCACGTTTCTGTTCTTCAGTTTACCGGAAACCTCTCACTATAGCAACCAATTAGAGTCAAGATATCTTAGTGTCTGATTTCAATACTTAGAGCCGTTATCATATATTGTTAAAGTCTTTTTACCCGTTGCATCATTAAAATATAAATTTTGTGATCATATTTCCTTATGGTGTTGCTCTTATGGTTCGTCTTTGTTCTTATTGGTCGGTTAATAATTGATGGTGTCTTCTATTGCCTTAATACAAAGCCGTAATGTAGTGTTGGAATTCAAACTACCGGTACCCTTTTCAAAATTTAACATTTTTTAAAACATGAGGTTTATCTTCACTATTTCAATATGAAGTTATCTTTTGATCTTGCCTTATATCCAATCAGATTAGACTGAGAAAAATTCAGCCATCCAATTAGAATTAGAAGTCCCAGGGTAGGGAATACATATTGGGTGGGGTTGTACGTAAGGGAGGAGGGGAGGGGTGGCAGAGAATGATCGTAAGACTAGATGAATGCAATTTATACTAAATCCCCCCTAAAAATGAACTCGAAACATGAAATTAGTGCTTTGGGCATAATCCTTATTAGTCCTTATTCTGAGATAGATGTCCTTGGACCATTCAGTATTGAAGTCACAATGAAAAAACAACTTTCTATGTCGCTAGAATGACACACTAATCCAGCATTGTGTTAAAACGAAAGAAGACCCTCAAATTGAAGTTCATTTTGTAACATACAAAGACTCATGTTGTCTTTTACTGTCTCCTAACAGGTGGTAGCTTATCACATATTTCAAGTTTTTTTGTTTAGTTTTCGTAATTTAAATACAGATGTTAAATTTACATTGTGAATCCATCCATCTGGCTCTATAATATATTATCCCATAATGATTCTTTGTTTTTTCTTGTCCTTTTTTAAATTCATATGTTAACACTTGAATTGGCTAATTAATATTTGTTTTTAATGACATTAACTTGTCCTAATTGTTTTTTAACTAATTTAAGGCAGCTGGCAGTGTGGGTAATTCCACTGTCCGTAAAATCTTAGAATTTTCCACAAAATGTTCTTCAATTTCTCTCCCTGCTTGCATTGTTATGAAAATTTATATTTTACTAAGACGTCATTAACTCATAGAGCACTTTTAAAATAGTTGGAAATTGTCCAATGTTATGGTGCAGTAAAGTTAAAACTGTTTACCCTTAAACTGAAATTAAATTTTAAAATAATCTATCTAAATGAGAAATTCAAATAAAATGTGAAGAATTTTTACCGCTGGGATTATTTTGACCCCACAGAGGAAGATTTACCTATAATATCAACTTGAATTTTATCAAAAGTATGAACATTTATGAGCAGGATGAAACTCTTGTAAGGTTTCCTTGGATTTAAATTTCATGATTGGAATGAACATTTCACTCTTTTCACACTTTTTTCTTAAAAAACTGAAAAAACAAATCGTTCAATTCCTTGTTTTTAGGTATACATGCACAAATATGAGTTTTATCTTATCTACACTATTCATGTCTTTTCCTTATTTCCTCTCTGTCATTTCTATAAAAATGAGGTCAAGTTTTGAAATAAAAAATAGAGTGAAAAAGAGTGGAATCAGCAAGGAATAAATTAAACAGACATGTAGTTAAGACTCTAGATTGTATAGAAATTCAAAAAAATCAGACACTTCATTCAAATTTTAAAGAGAAAATATGAGAAATAGGCAAGCCTAGAGAGACACTTTTTGCATTGGACAAACCATTACATTTTATTCAAGGATGTAAATAAACAATAACTTTTTAACAAGGATAAGTACCTCACAATAAAAAATCAAATTGTATTTAATCTTTTGTATTAAATTGAATTAAAATTAAATTAACATTTTTGATTGAAAACGTTTAAAGTTACAAACAAAGATCATTGAAATAAATTGAATTGAACTTCAGAATTTTGACAGTTCCAATATTTTCTAAAAATGATGATGAAACATATTGCAGCAGGGTCCAATGAAAGAGTAAACAATGTTCAATGTAAACTTACTTTTCATGATTTTTTACATTATACTCATATTTGATTGGTCAATATAGCTCACATGATCAAATTAGGAATTCTGGGTACTTAGGATGTTTGGGCTGAAACTGCACTAACCCATTTCAAGTGATATATGAGGTTGAACTTTATTTGATTCAACAGCTGATTCTGAGTAATGATTCTAAAAAGTAAATGTTTTCATTTTTATTTTCAAGTACAAAACCAAGGACACATCCTACTTAAAAATGAAGAACACATCTCTTATCTCTAAATATTTGTCCAGCAATGAGTTGTTTATTTTAAGATGTTTATCATACTGACCACTAAATCAATAAACAAAAAGAGGATACAATTAAAGCCTCATCTCTAACTCCATCTATTTAAAGGCTCATCTCTAACTCCATCTATTTAAAGGCTCATCTCTAACTCCATCTATTTAAAGGCTCATCTCTAACTCCATCTATTTAAAGGCTCATCTCTAACTCCATCTATTTAAAGGCTCATCTCTAACTCCACCTATTTTAAGGCTCATCTCTAACTCCACCTATTTAAAGACTAATCTCTTACTCATCCTATTTAAAGGCTCATCACTAACTCTATCTATTTAAAGGCTCATCTCTAACTCCACCTATTTAAAGACTAATCTCTTACTCATCCTATTTAAAGGCTCATCACTAACTGAATCTATCTAAAGGCTCATCTCTAACTCCACCTATTTAAAGACTAATCTCTTACTCATCCTATTTAAAGGCTCATCACTAACTGAATCTATCTAAAGGCTCATCTCTAACTCCATCTATTTAAAGGCTCATCTCTAGCTATAACCAACAGATCATGTTTTCAAATGTTGTCCTTTGTGATTTTAAATGTTGCTTCTTATGATTTTGATTTGAGCAGTCAGTTTAACAAAACTAATCATGGATATGGAATTCAATTTGATTATCTCAAATGATATATGTGAAAATCAAATGGTCTAGCCAGTTTTGTCATGAACTGATATATTTTCTATAATGATCCAAAAACCATGGTAACCCAATGTCACAGCAAACCAATAAAAACAGAAAATCAATTGCATGATAGCCATACTAAATCTGGAAGTAGCAGTGAAATGAATATTCCATGGATACTGCAATTAGTTTACATTATGTTTGAAAGCGTTATTATAGGCAATATCTGTTACCAAGGCAACGAGTCACAATAACCCGATTTAATTGACTTAAGACACATATAGACAACACAATCTTACATCATCTCAACACAGGACTCAGGCACGTTGCCGGGGGGTGGGGGGGGGGGTTCGGAACTGGCCAAAAGTTATTTCTAAATCAAGCAGTTTTTCACCATTCTGAGCACTAGTAGTTTTCAAGTGGTTTTGGCCAATTTTGGGGAGAAGTTGTCAAAAGAGAACCCCCCTTGAAATTTTCAAAGAGTGAATCCCCTCTTGGAATATCCTAGCTACGGGCCTGGGACTCCAGACATCATCCATTATGTTCCTTCAGAGTAAACGATGACGCCCAGAGCACTGCTTTCAAAGGATGTTAATTCCATGAAATTTATTTTATTGTGTGTGAATTATATGATGATATAAAACATCTGACAAATCATCAGTTATCAATGCAAATAAATCATCATCACATTAGTTTTCACTATTCCCAATACAGTACACCTATATATTTGAAAACATCTCAAACCCAAACACCTATCAATGTGAACACTTTTCTCAGTTTTTTTTATCCATTCACATATTTAGAAACCTTGAAATGTGAACACTTTTCTCAGTTTTTTATGGCCATTCACATATTTAGAAACCTTGAAATGTGAACACTTTTCTCAGTTTTTTATCCATTCACATATTTAGAAACCTTGAAATGTGAACACTTTTCTTAGTTTTTTTTATCCATTCACATATTTAGAAACCTTGAAATGTGAACACTTTTCTCAGTTTTTTATGGCCATTCACATATTTAGAAACCTTGAAATGTGAACACTTTTCTCAGTTTTTTATCCATTCACATATTTAGAAACCTTGAAATGTGAACACTTTTCTTAGTTTTTTTTTATCCATTCACATATTTAGAAACCTTGAAATGTGAACACCTGCTAATCCAAATATTGTGGATATAGTCAGAGGTGTTCAGATTGATGTAACTTTCAGTACTGTGGGAATTTTCATCTTATAAGTTTTACTGTCTTCATTTATTCGATTCATTTTCATGGACGTAGCCAGGGGAGGAGGTGCGATGGGTGCACCCCCTCCTCAACAAAAAAGAAAATGTTTTTTTGTAAAATTTGTTGAAAAAATATTAACAATTATTAGTTTGAAATGCTTATAGAATGCACCATATATAATGTTTTGTGAACCCCCGTACCCCCCTTTTTGAGGCTTGCTTTGCTGGCGCTGAGGTAAATCACAAAAATCGCACCACCTTGACAATTGCTGGCTACGCCCCTGATTTTTGCATATTTTGATTATGGCTAGAGCCTTTTAACTTACCTTCTTCGTATCGGCATTTGACGAGAAAAAATCATCCAAAAAATCGTGAAAAGACATGATTGCATCGTGCAGCACAACACAATCTAAAATATAACAAAAAATTGGTACACTACAAAATAAAACTACATAAGCAAGCACAGCAATATATCAATCTGCACCCTATGGGCAATATCATATTTCCCCTCTGGATAAAAATCCTATCCTATCCCTCCCAGTAAATAATACCTATAAGGCACCACTAGAGTTTTTGATTACAAAATAACTTTAACCCTGCCTTGCAGTTAAAAAAATAAATTATTATATGTTTTTGTTCAAATTTTTGAACTGATGTAGAAACCCCTCCCTATTGGGCAGAATTCTTTTTTTCTGGACACAGGGTACACAAGTATTGATACACCGATACGCTCTCCTAGCTCAGCTTAACAATGCAACAACACTGAACAACAATACAACATAACAAAAGCAAAATATAGCAACAAAAGAGACACTAAGTGCAACAATACAAAACACAAGCAGCACAAAATAATTATATATATTTTTTATTATATTTTGAATTGTGTTAATAAATCAAATTATCCATTTTTTCCATTCATAACATGAAACTGATATCATGCAGCATACCATATCTCATATCATGAAGCATATAACATATATCATGAAATTTATATCTCATATCATGAAGTATATAACAAATATCATGAAATTTATATCTCATATCATGAACCATATAACATCTCTTATGATGAAATTTATATATCATATCATGAAGTATGTAACATATATCATGAAACATATATCTCATATCATGAAGCACATAACATATAAAATGAAACATAAGAAACATATATCCCATATCATTAAGTATATAACATATATCATGAAATTTATATCTTATATCATGAAGCATGTAACATATATCATGAAACATATATCTCATATCATGAAACACTCCATATATCATGAAACATATATCTCATATCATGAAGCATATAACATATATCATGAAACATATATCTCATATCATAAAGCACATAACATATATCATGAAACATATTATCCCATATCATGAAGCATATAACATATATCATGAAACATTATATCTCATATCATGAAACGTTACATATACAGTATACATCATATCATGAAGCACACATCTCATATCATGAACTACATATCTAATATCATGGGGCATTTATCTTATTTATATCTCAAATCACAAATCAGATAAATAAAAAAATCTTAGGCATCACTAACAAATAAGATTAATATAAATAATCATTCTCATTCAAAATAAAATCCTACCTTTGAATAATCATATCCTTGTACAGATTTGAATAAAAACAACTGATTTTTACGATAATTTAAGTATCAATTCACAATGTCATGTGACTTGTTTTATGATCTACTTAGGATATTTTGATTTAATTCAGCAATATGGATTTCGCATACAGACTTCAATTAAACTTTGTACCTGTATATTAGCTCATACCAGCATTTAAAGCAAAATGAAAGCCATTGAAAGGGTGGTGTTGTTTGATTATTTGTTTGTTCATTATTAGATGGAAATTTGCCAAATGTATGATGCATTTAAGTACAGTATTACCACACTGCTAGTGCTATTCATACGAAAGGAAATATTTGACAAAATAAACAAAAAATGCAATACCTTTCATTTGTAAATACAAAAATATTATATCACGGTTATTTATTAAATCTGATGTCATTATTAAATTTTCCGCCACATTTTGACAATCAAAAATGAATATGGGACACATCATGTTCTGCCCGTTAAAAGAGATTTTCGCGTCATTTAAATTTTCCAGAAATTATACTGACGCTTGAGATCGGATGGTCAGTGACATTTTCTTTGATTTGACAACAGGCTTTCCAGGATGGAATAGGATTGAAGCCAAGTTTGTTTTATCTGTGCAGATCCCACCCTTGCAATCTTATTCCCATTTGGGTCATTTGAAGGGACTGTGATTTAAAATTTGATTGGTCAAACTTCAAGCAGGCCCGTAGCCGAGCGAACCCATCAAATCAACTAAAATTTGTCACAAGTGACCCCCCCCTAGAATTTTTGAACCCCCTTGGCAAATCCGGGCTTCGGGCCTGTCAAGTGATGGCTTTTTCTATCAACCATCTCTGTGACACTGCCCATGATCGGATGCCCCTCATGCACAGCATAAAACTCATGCTTTTGCCCACTCTTATCAGAATTTGCCTTCATCCTATACATGTTTATTCGAATATCACAATAATTTTCATTTGACCATGGTTATCCCGTTCCAGACTAGGCCTATAGTCTATAGTCTAGTCTTGGAACGGGATAAGACCATGGCCTTTCAAACACAGACACTGGAACAAGAGTTCATCCCCCTCCCACTCACTATGTATTACTAGGTAGAAAAATTAAATCTTCCTGTGCTTTCAAAATTCAACTCAAGAGAAAGTCCATAGGTCAGCTTGACACAAGACATATAAACTCAGATGGGTGACAAACAGAAAGCAACAATGAATACTTGACATGCATACATCAACATACTTACCAATTTATAGTAGTTACTGTTATCTGGAGATTCACGTGAACCTTTGTCTCTAAAGTTTCTATTTGCGTTCAATGTTAGGACATATGTCATTTATTGATTGGTCACGTGATCATAATAACATTTGCTAAATCTTATAAATGCATGTTTTGCCTCAAATTATATTTTTGAATAGATAAATAGTATATATTACTGAAATTATATGCATGGAATCCCCAGTAATGCATCAAATATAGACGTAATTGACTTTAAATTTGACCATAATCTTTATTTTGGCGTGTCACTTATATTCACTCCGTAGACCAAAATAAAATTTTGGAAATGGAAAAGTCTCTAAATCTGCAGTAAAACCTCTAAATTTCCTCTTTTAGAGGCTTGCAAACTTATGAATTTAGATAGGATTAATTATCTGACTCTCCGCCAGGATATGCATCTAAAAAAAAGTACAGGTAATCTGAGATTCAGCCTGGAAGTTGAATCGGAATTTTCAATATTTTCCCCCGCCCGTCTGCACTGCTTCTCACTCTCAGTGCAGAAGCTTCTTAGGATCCAGGCCAAAGCCGTTGATAAGGAATCTGTATTGAATCTAGGAGTTGAGTCATCAGTTTTTTCTTCCTTGGCTTTAGAATCTTGATTTTTGTTATTTTTGATTTATTTTACGTATATCTCAAAAGCAAGTTAGAGCTGCAGAGGACATTAGGACATGTTTCGTCAACATTTTATACCTTTATACCTTTACACCATTAGTTCTGGAAGAAGCATGATCCAGATCTTTTTGTGTTGTGTCTTACTAATTAATTTGGGGGGGGGGGGGTAGTTGTTTCATTATGGAGTAACTTTGACATTTAGGATCATACCTTGTTGGTTGCATGTTGCAGCCAGGATTTACCTGGGGGGAGCGGTTTTACCAAGGGGGACGTTTTTGCCGCGTTTTTGCCAAGGGGAGGGGGCTTTTTGACAGTTTTGGCAAAAAATCATTCGTAAAGTGCTCAGAATGGTGAAAAATTGTATGATTTTGAAAGAATTTCTGACCAAGGGGGGGGGGGAGCTGCCGCTCTTTCGTCTGAACCTTAAATTGAACTCAGGCCCCGATAATACTGCCAAAGATGAATGCTTTTAAAACCACTTGAACTATTATGAATCTTTGTTATTTTGCAAATTTATTAAATGAATGTTCCTGCTTTTTCAGGAGAAGTTGATTATATTACAATGGTACATTTCATGGAAAACAACGGGTGGAAAATCTACAAAACAACAAATCATCCTTTCTGAACAAAAGACAAATTACATCCAAATGAAAGGCTCAATATTTCATATGAGAAAGGGATATAATGCTTAATCACTGTTGAGTATGGAGAGACCTGGATTTAACATTGAAAAACATTGAAAAAGTGACATAGAATAAAATCTCCTGAAAGTTAAGATTTTGAGGAACTTGGAGTAGTCGCAAAATATAAAGTCTTATTTGAAGTGCACCAAAACAAAATTCCAAAATGGTGAAGATCAAATGCTTGACAAACACGGAAACGTGTGAAACGAATCAGACATTCATACAACAGATTAATGACGAGCTGGAACCACTGAAAACGTCATTTATCTGGATGATGATCGCATTGATTGTCGCCATATTGTGGGTCCTCTACATCACTTACTATAATTCAAGGATGTTTGGCGCCCTTGTCAGTGTTATACTAAACAGATTTGTCAAAAAAGGACATATACAATTTGGTAAGAATTATTCACATTCTTCGTGATGTGGATTTTATATTATTGGGATGTTTCTTAGTTTCCCATAATGAATAAATTATAAATATTAAAACTGTTCTGTTTTAGGTGAATACATTGTAAAATTTTCCCCTCATAATATATTAACCCATGTGCCAGACGAAATTTATTGAGAAAATGATAAACATTTATAGTACAGTATGTTGTAAGGAAATAGATAGAATATCATGTGAAGCTGAACGCACTTGATAAAGTGAGATTTGACAAAGATTATATTTTAGTACAACACTCCAGTCTAATGAATGCAATAAAAGTTCCATTTAGTTGTTTCAAATTTTCAGGTTCTTAGATTTTTTATATGACTGAGCCATAACTAAATAGTTTATACAAGAATAGTATTCAATTGTTTCAATGGTCAAGATATTTTATTTATTTTTAGGTTCACTTTCATTTTCTGTGTTGACTGGGAAGGTTATGTTCCGAGACGTTCGTTATATAACAGAAGACTTTGCTATAAGAGCCTTAGATGGTTGGATGATATTTATGTGGTGGCGTCCTTATGTATATAAAGATATTGGTGAAGGTAAGAATAGACCAAGACTTTGTGTAAATATTGCCTCACCTACGTAGCTATGAGACAACAGAGACATCCAAAATGTTTTTCCATGGGCATAATTGAGATGCATGTGAGGCAAACGCTTTACCAAAATGTAAAAGAATTTTTTTTTTGTTATTACATGGACTGAAACTGTGTCCAATTGTATATGTCCCATCATTGATTTAGCATCCTATTTGGCTAAATACTTTGTCTTGCCTTTTTAAGTTTGCCTCTCCTGAAAATGTCAAGATGAGTGCTATTCTATTTTCTAAATGTCAAAGTGGGTGCAACACTATTTTCAACATGACAAAGTTGGTGCAACACTATTTTCAAAATGACAGAGTGGGTGCAACACTCTTTTCAAAATGATAGAGTGGGTGCAACACTATTTTCAAAATGACAAAGCGGGTGCAACACTTTTAAACGTGACAACGTGGGTGCAACACTATTTTCAAAATGACAGAGTGGGTACAACACTATTTTCAAAATGACAAAGTGGGTGCAACACTATTTTCAAAGTTACAAAGTGGGTACAACACTATTTTCAAAATGACAAAGTGGGTGCAACACTATTTTCAAAATGACAAAGTGGGTGCAACACTATTTTCAAAATGCCAAAGTGGGTGCAACACTATTTTCAAAAAAGTGGGTGTAATTTTATTCATTTTTCTTTTCAGATCATAGTCATTTAGACACGAGGCTCAATGTACTAATGACAGGTTTTGAGCTCCATGTATATAATAGGTAAGAACATTAACACCATTATATAATTATGAACATGCAAGTTAGAATTTACATTATTCCCTTCATAACAAAGTAAAAACTATTCTCTAAAAATCTTATTTTCTTCAAAATATATTTCTCTTCAAAACAAAATTCTGTTTCCTTGAAAAAAATGTCCCTTAATGGACTCACCTATTTTTATGTCACCATCAGAAGTAATGAAATATTGTTATAGTCTCCAACCTTTTTGTGGACGGCGTTCGGCATCTGTAACAAATGACAGGTGGTGCCATTTAGCATGCTAATGCCTTGTTATGTTTTACACTCTCTATGACTCTTTTTTCCTTATGTTTTTTACCTTGTAATGTTGATTTTAGGTCAGAGCACTATATACGAATAGAGAAGTTGTTTGGTTTGGATCAACTGATGAATCTAGCAAAAACTGAAGAAACAGAATCTGAAAATAAAAAGTAGGTGACTAGTTATTTTTTGGCTCTTCGCTATTGGAATTATCCAATTATTAAATTATTTGTACACTACTACATCCAGTAGATGTACAACATTAAAATAGACAATTATAAACCTGTCCATGGTGTTAATATTGATATATTTTTTTACAGTTGCAATTTTTTGTAATTTGACTAAGGGGGAAGAGGGGTCAGTTTTTAAAAAAATCTAGGAGGGTCCTTTGACAATGTTGACCCCAAATCACTTCAAAAATGCTCAAAATGGTGAAAAACTGCATGATTTTGGAACCCATTGGCTATGTGTACAAGCCTGGGTGTATTGCATTCAATACATGTACATTCATAATTCCATCATGTGTATTTATGTTGCTTTTCAGTGGGAATAAAATGACTCCAAGTCAAATACAACAACAACAACAACAAAACAAATGGCATTGGAGAGACCTGATTCCTGTCATTAAGGTGGACATTGAAGAGGTACTGCTCATCTTAAAACTTTTTCTACAGCCTTATAGCTTCAATAGTTTAAATTGAATCCTTTATTGATGTGAATTTATATTTCTTTTGGTTGCTATTTAATTTGTACTTATTTGTATTTTACTTGCACCCAGGTGCTATTTTTTGCACCCAGTTGATGATTTAACTATTTTTTTTACCTAAAAAACAATCTAAAATCATTTTCCAATAAATTTCTAGTTTTTGATGTCTATTTTAGGGAAAGTTTGTGTTTGGAAATCACCTAGTCCCTACCTGTCTGTCATTCAACTTCAAGGTTGCTCATATCATGTAAGTAGAATTTATTTTAAAGTCACATCCAGTGATAATTTATTTGATTATTTATAATTGCATACAATTAACAAGAAGCAAGGTTAAAGGCAGTATCAGATTTAGCAAGATGGCACTGCGTTAAATTTTTTTAATTTTGGAATATTTTAGGCTCAACTCATTCCTTGTAAAGTCTATTTTCCCAAATATCTACAAAGTGTATACTTTATTTGAGGAAGATTTTTAAAATAATGCATTCATTTTTCCCATTTTTGCACTTTGAAAAACAATTTGATCAATCTTTTGGGAGATATTATATTTGAGATTGTAGGGAACAATAGTTGGTCAACTGTATATGTTGCTTGCAATTTTAACACCCCCTAATCCCATATTATTAAGGAGGGGGGACTCCGCCAGTGATCTTAAGCATCATCATTGTCTCATTCATCTCTCCTTACTGTTGATTCATTCAGCAAAGCAATAAGTCTCTCTTGATACTGTTTTATTATTTGATAATGTGATAATTGTGGATTCAACTGAGCTTTCCCTGTTGGAGCTTGAGTTTGCTGTGCCACATCCTGTGACCCCATTATCACTTGAAGAATGATTTCTTCATCATTAATTTGACTTGGTTTAACATATATCATAGCCTCAGGATATGGATCAAAATCAGGGGTTGAAGACCAGGTCTTTATTTTGTTGTTCATTTCTGGAATCATATATACAATATCAGCAGCATGTCCATGCTCTTGCAGAGCTTCTAGCTGCTTAACCGTGCCATCGATTGCATCCTTGTCAAATTGTAGATCAGCCAAATAGCCTATTTTACTCTTAAAAGCTGCATTGCCCATAGTAGTTAGCTTTTCATTTAGTGCTTTGAAGTGGGCTTTGATTTTTGTTTCAACGGCTTTTTGATCTGCATCAAGTTTCGATCTGCATTCTTCTATATTTTTTTCGAAATCATTTTTTTGGACGTGAGTTCTTTGAATTCTGTCTTCGTACTTTGCCGATCTTTGCTTACCAATGTCAATTACTGATCTCAAGTTCTTCAAATTCGCTTTCGCAGTTTGTTCAATGTCGTTTAATGGATGACCTTGGTGTTCAAGAGCAAAACAGTCCTGGCAGATAAGACATTGATCTTTAGTACAAAAGTACTTGAGGGGTTCTTTGGTATGTACTTGACAGTACAAAGTTCTTTTCGATAGCATGTCCATAGCAGCTCTAGTATCTTGTATGGTATCTCCGTTTATCTGGAATACATTGTGCGATTTTGTTGAATGTAACAATTTGTGTGTACGACCGCATCCTTTGCATAACTTCTCATTACATTCAATACATTTTAAAATAGCAGGCACATTCTCATCTTCCTGAAGACAGATATCGCAGTTCATTATAACTCTTGATGATGATGATGATAATGATAGGTCCTTAACAGCATCCAATACAGAACTAGCAAAACAGTTCACCTTCAGTCCTGCAGCCCCTTCATCAGGTATAGGGCAAGAGTCCCTGCATATTGGGCAGGGAAATTCCTTATCCTGATATTTGTCCATTGTGCTCTGTATACATTTCCTGCAGTAACTATGCATACATGGCAGCGATCTAGGATCATCAAGAATTTCCATGCATATAGCGCATTTTACTGAGTCAATAAGTGGATCTATTTTCTGTTTAGCTGTCGCCATATTTTGCACTTATTATAAAAAGTCTAATTATTGTATCAGTAAGAATTCATATACTGTTACAATACTGTTAAGTTGATCATTCAACTTCCTGTCATAACTTATCACTGAGTCTATCAGAAGTGTTTCCTTTAAAGGCACAGCGTTATCTTTTATTAACCTCCTAGTTATCAGGTTATAGAATAATACAAGATAGCCCTAGTTTTTTTAACCAATAGGGTGATGTTATTGAGTTGGCTGTCAAGTTTTGTCAAGTAGCTCTGAGAAATCCGGATAAAGTTTACTCGGTATGTGCTGACATCTTTAAATGAGTGCAGTTATAAATGTACTTTTATTTTATTTTACAATAATCAAAACCTATGGACTTGTAAAAATATTGTATACTTGGACCCAATCGATGACTCATACACCAACTTGAAAGAAATATGAAAAAAACTAAAGTATATGATATTTTGCACCCAGTTAAAAATCCAATCGAAAATCTACCATAACTCATAAACTTTTGGTATGCAAATTTAAATTAAATTGAATGAAATGCATGTAGATAAAAAATTGTATTTCTAGGTACACTACAAAACCAGCTTCAACCCCATTTGATCATTTTATGCACATAGTCAACTGTAAAGCTGAAAGTCTGAGAATTATGTTGGTACCAAGTCCTAAATATGTGGGAGCCACAGATGAGTGAGTAGGCCATGGTCTTATTATTGGAAAATAATTATTGATGGGGGGGGGGGGCTTGAAATTAAAAAAGAAATTATGCTCAGAGGATTCAATAGATTATGGTTTAACACTTACATGTAAGTAATGACCAATACACAGCAAACATTTCTCAAGGTCAATTTAATCTTGATATCAAGCTTGATTCAACATAAAAAACCTCAATCCTAAATCAACCTTAAAATCAATCTTGATTCAATATTGATATCCTCAACATTGAATCAAGCCTGAAAATCAACATTGAATCAAGCTTGATGTCAAGCTTAAATTAAACCTGATTTGAATCAACATTGATTCAAACCTAAATCAATCTTGATTCAACATTGATATCCTCATCCTTGAATCAAGCCTGAAAAATCGACACTGGATTGAGCTTGATGTCAAGCTTAAATTGTCCCTGGGCTGAATCAGCATTGATTCAAGCCTGAATCTAGCTTGATTTAATACTGAATCAACCCAAGGGCAATTATGGCTTTATCATTATTTATGCTTATCTGAGAAAATCAATGTTAAAGCAATGTTGATTTTTCATTGAATCAACACTTAGAAATGTTTGCTGTGTAATTCACATTGCATTTACTTAGTTACTTCAAAAATCATCATTCTTAGGAATTGGATTGCGATGCATGTGTATGTGTATATATATATGTATAATCCAGGGTTTTCTTGGGTTATTTGAAATATGTGCTAAAAGATAAATGCTTTGATAAATCTGTTTCCCGGTTTTTATTACATGTAGTTTTGTCAATTTAAAGGTCCCATATATTATCGAAAAAATTAATTTTTAATCTTATTTATAATATTCTGTATTACTTATCAAAAAAATTTTGAAGTTAGAGAAAAATACAACATTCAGCTTATAGATGTGACACAATGGAGTCATATAATGTATAAGTGAAATATGTGTAAATAAAGTAACAATGTATTGTAACTAAAATACATGTTGTAAGTAAAAATGTATTGAATTGCCATGTATTTAATTTGAAAACAATTAGATGTAATGTATTTCAAGTTTTCAACATATAATTTTTTTTGAAAAACTATTTCAATACTTTCAGGCCTCCACGGTACATGGGAGAGGGTTATGTTGTGTTGAAGTCAAATGATGTTGACATCAATTATTATATGGATGAAGCAGGTATATACATTTATTGTTTTTATGATTACATGGGAGAGGGTTATGTTGTGTTGAAGTCAAATGATGTTGACATCAATTATTATATGGATGAAGCAGGTATATACATTTATCGTATGATCTGTAAAATGAAGCCCTCTGATTGGTCAGATCTTGTGCTGTACCAATCTGTATTGCTACTGAGATTGTTCCTGTTGATCATCTCGCGTCGCAATACAGAAAATATTGGTACGGAGGGGACGATCTCAGTAGCATGCAATACAGAGGATCACACGATAAAAACGTTATTGAATGATTTGAAGTGCAATACAGGATATATTCTGTCTCGATATTCTGTATTGGCACTCGACTTCGTCTCGTACAAATACAGAATTTCTCGACCAGAATATATCCTGTATTGCACTTCAAATCATTCAATAACTTATATTATTGTTCTAAGATTTAACATCTATTACATTCACTTTCCTCTTGTTTTACAAGCCAATATAAGCTATACTTTGTGTTTTAAGTGAGGTAAATCATGAGGACCCTAATGTTTCAGTGTTTGTTTAATAGTGAGATTACTAGGGAGTAGAACATTAAAGTGGCTGGGATTGGATGTCTTGGAATTAGCAATTTAATCATAAAAAGTGACACAGAATCTTTAAAGTCACAAGATCACAGAATCTTTAAATCAGAAAATCAAAAAATTCTAAAGTTACAAATTCAAAAAGTACATAATGGCACAAAATCATAGAATATGAACCTCACAGAATCACATAATCGTTCTGTCACGAAATCCTAAATCTTCATTATTCCAGGGCTGGTCCCCTATGAGCCTGAGGTTGTACAGCTGGTGGGAGGAGAGGCAGTCATGAGGCCCACGTGGCCAATCTGGGGGGTGAACGTCAAATGTGGGAAGGGGACAGATATCAGTTATGGACCCTGGGCTGACAGGCAAAGGTAAGTTTACATGTACAAGGGCTGATCAAAAAGTTTCTTACCATTGGCTCTAGATTTTATATAATATGAGGAGTTGGATGCTCAAACTTGCACATAAGACAGAGTAGTAAGTTTGCTTGAGACTGTCTGAGTTTCATTTAAATTGGTTCATTGGTAGTGACACAGAGTCAATACATATTTTCAATATTGTAATTTGACTGACGCAACTTAATATTTTTAGTGTGCCACTGATATAAAAGTGTACGTCTGAATAATAAATAAATAAATAAATAAATAAGAGATTGGTCAATATGAATTCATTAAAGTCTCTATTTCGATATTAATATTGATGTCCTTTGCACAGAATGTTATGCTGTGTTTTGATCAATCCTTCCACTTTTTTTTGACTTCTAAGACAATTGAGCTAGGGAGACCAGGGAAATGAATAGTTCCCCTCATTTGACTTCAGAATGAATTTTATAATAGGCATTAGGGAATGTGTTTTTAATTTCATAGAATCATTATGAAATGTGTTTACAATTTCAGAGATGCATTCTGAAATGTGTTTACACTTTCAGAGAAGCTTTATAGAATGTGTTTATAATTTCAGAGAAGCATTATGGAAGGTGTTCTTTCCGTCTGACTACCAAGATATGACAGTAACAGAGCTAGCAGAACCTGGACAATTAAGACAGCATCGTTCATTTGACTTCAGAATGAATATAATTTCTGATTCTACCATAGATATTTTATTCACTAAAAACAAGGTAGGATCCCTCTTGACTGAGCACTCTTTAAATCAAGGAAAATTCAGCTTTCACAATATCTTCACATTTTACGTTTCAGAAAACGCAAGCCATTCACACAAAAACAGATACTAAGCTTGTATTCACAAATGCAAATTTCGGCAGTTCGCTACCGGATTAACCTACTATTTTATGACCAACTCATTTAAATATGAGTGGAATAGTGACAGGTATTATTCATATTTAAATGAGTTGCCCATAAAACAGTAGGTTAATCTGATAGCCGACAGCAGAGTTGCATATGCAAATTGCAAACTTGGAATCCATGAATTTCATTAATTCACATTTTTGAATGATTCACATTTTCACATTTCAGGAAACACAGGCCATTCATATGAACACTGGGGCTGGTTCATACGTTGAAGTTACAATTCCTTGGATCATAAAAGAACAAGGCTATACGAGTAAAATCAATGGACAACTCTTACATTTAGACGCAACAACTAGTTCGAGGTTCCGGTCTTTCATTGAATGCGAAACACTGGAGGTAATTTCTCTTATAACATGTAGCTAATCTTCTCTACATGTAGATGTATACAGCAAAACACATTGAATTCACTGGACGAATTTTAACAGATTTTACATTTGTGTTTTTTTTACACGTTCATGTTATTGTGATTGTCGCAAGTGTCCGTTTTACAGTATATTGTGATATTTTTTATAGTTTGATGTGAAGGCGGTCTACCCCAAAGTACATAATAGTCACCAGGACTGGCACATTGACTTCAAAGCCTGCAAAGCTACAGTCTTCCTTATATTCTATATTGTTATATTATTTATAGTTTGATGTGAAGGCGGTCTACCCCAAAGTACATAATAGTCACCAGGACTGGCACATTGACTTTAAAGCCTGCAAAGCTACAGTCTTCCTTATATTCTATATTGTTATATTATTTATAGTTTGATGTGAAGGCGGTCTACCCCAAAGTACATAATAGTCACCAGGACTGGCACATTGACTTTAAAGCCTGCAAAGCTACAGTCTTCCTTATATTCTATATTGTTATATTATTTATAGTTTGATGTGAAGGCGGTCTACCCCAAAGTACATAATAGTCACCAGGACTGGCACATTGACTTCAAAGCCTGCAAAGCTACAGTCTTCCTTATATTCTATATTGTTATATTATTTATAGTTTGATGTGAAGGCGGTCTACCCCAAAGTACATAATAGTCACCAGGACTGGCACATTGACTTCAAAGCTTGTAAAGCTACAGTCTTCCTTATATTCTATATTGTTATATTATTTTTAGTTTGATGTGAAGGCGGTCTACCCCAAAGTACATAATAGTCATCAGGACTGGCACATTGACTTCAAAGCCTGCAAAGCTACAGTCTTCCTTATATTCTATATTGTTATATTATTTATAGTTTGATGTGAAGGCGGTCTACCCCAAAGTACATAATAGTCACCAGGACTGGCACATTGACTTCAAAGCTTGTAAAGCTACAGTCTTCCTTATATTCTATATTGTTATATTATTTATAGTTTGATGTGAAGGCGGTCTACCCCAAAGTACATAATAGTCACCAGGACTGGCACATTGACTTTAAAGCCTGCAAAGCTACAGTCTTCCTTATATTCTATATTGTTATATTATTTATAGTTTGATGTGAAGGCGGTCTACCCCAAAGTACATAATAGTCACCAGGACTGGCACATTGACTTTAAAGCCTGCAAAGCTACAGTCTTCCTTATATTCTATATTGTTATATTATTTATAGTTTGATGTGAAGGCGGTCTACCCCAAAGTACATAATAGTCACCAGGACTGGCACATTGACTTCAAAGCCTGCAAAGCTACAGTCTTCCTTATATTCTATATTGTTATATTATTTATAGTTTGATGTGAAGGCGGTCTACCCCAAAGTACATAATAGTCACCAGGACTGGCACATTGACTTTAAAGCCTGCAAAGCTACAGTCTTCCTTATATTCTATATTGTTATATTATTTATAGTTTGATGTGAAGGCGGTCTACCCCAAAGTACATAATAGTCACCAGGACTGGCACATTGACTTCAAAGCTTGTAAAGCTACAGTCTTCCTTATATTCTACCACAAAACATTTATCCAAGGTAATAATTAGAGCTACTGATTAAAAATAAAAAGGAATTAAATGTAGAGGATATTTCTTATATCAACTAGATATAAGTATCAATTTAGGGGATTCTTTCAAGGATTGAAATCTCCGTCTCAGTATTGATTTTAAAGATTTTAATTTTATTAATTTCTATTCTGATAATGATATAAGTAATGTGTAATTGAACCAAAATGAAAATTAAAAAAAACGAGACAAGATCTGTTACATTTTATCCCATAGACCTGGCATGTAAGCTTTTTAGGGCCACAAAAAAGTATTCCATTTGTCTGTTTCAGATCTGATCAAAGATTGGTCGTCAAAAACGAGACGAGATTTATTGCATTTTATCCCATACACTTGGCATGTAAGCTTTTTAGGGCCACACAAAAGTATTTCATTTATCTGTTTCAGATCTGATCGAAGATTGGTCATCAAAAACGAGACAAGATTTATTGCATTTTATCCCATACACCTGGCATGTTAGTTTGATAATTCAGGACTTTGAGCTAATTACAATGACGAATGAGTACAATTGGATTGACTGCTCATCGCATAACCAGGAAAATAGTAAGTAATATTTCATATGTAAATTTCTTTAATTTTTAATTCTTAATTGCCTTTTAATTTGGCAGTTTGACCAATCAATAAGATATGAAGGCTAGCTAGGAAGTCATGTGGCCAGGTTTCTCTTGGTATTTCACTAATTAGCAATGTGTAACCAAATTTGAATGCAAATTGTCATTTGATATTTTTTCAGACCACATAGCATTCGCTGGTGACACATTTGACCTTACCTTTAAACTGCCATACACAGACTTCATGCCTCCTACAGTTCCACTGAAGTTCTTCATAAGGGTAAGTTACATTGTCATGGATCTTATGAAGGGATATTATAATGTTGCATGCATGGGGAGCTTGTTGATATAAGGTATAGGGTAACTAACCATTTTAGATCAATCTCATCCTTCAACCAATTCTTGGCAGTTCAAGAATCTGTTAATGAATTATTCTTGAATAATTCTGGAATCGTTTTTTTTTTTTTTTTTTTTATTAAGAAATATTTATTGCTTCATAAAAATATCATAATATAAATCCCTTCAGTCGCCCGAAGGCATTATAGAAGGGTACATTAATAGCACAAAATACAAAATTATGATTAGGTCAAGGGGTTCACTCTGCACTTGTGGTTGGCCATGGGGTGGAAATATTAAGTGTGGATAATATAAAATAAAGTATAGTATATAGTATGTAGGGAGGGGAAAACGTTATAGGTTCATTTCAATGAATTCAGCGATTGAGGTTTGGAGATGTGAATTTAGATCAAGGGAAATATTGTCAGAGCCATGTTTCATTAAGTAAAGGAGATCATTCTGAGTTAAATGTTTATCTGATAGTCCAGTTATATTAATAATATCAGTTTTTAATTTTGTTATCTTTTCTTTAATAAGGGGACACTGAAAGAAGAAGTGTTTTTCTGTCTGGGGGGCTCCACATTTACAGTTTGGATTCTCAACATAAGTAAAGTTGTGAGCATAAAGTTGGGCTTTGAAAAGAAGATCAGCTCTAAATTGGTTAATCAAAATTTCATGAGATCTTTTTAGATTGAGTTTGGAGGTGCTAATAAAACTTTCTTGGTTTTTAAACAAAATCTTTTGGTGTTTTTTAAAGGATTGGAGAGTTTTCAAATTACGTAATCGTTTTGGTAGTCGTGACCAGTTTGATATTGCTGATGGAACTGATGAATTCAAGAACCTCTTTGAGCACCTGGTTGGTAAATTAAAGTCAGATCTATCACGCAGATTGCGTGTTCCCTGATTTTTGAATTTATCAAAAATTTCATCTAAAAAGAGTGGATTTGGACCATTTACAACTTTAAACATAAAGTTGTTAATTTGCATTTTTCTTCTTGTGTCTAGAGAAGGCCATTGAAGGAGATTCAAAACTTTATCAGTATTACTGCCATGAAGACAACCAGAGCACAAAAGAGCAGCCTGATAATAAATTTGATCAAGTCTATTTAGAAGATATTTTGATGCAGTGTTAAAAATAGCAGTACCATAATCAAAATGAGGTCTTATAAATGAGTTGAAAAGCGTTTCCAGATCTCTTGAGTTTAACTTTGTTTTAAGGTTCTTCAGGGGATTAATCATTTTCCTAACTTTATTATATATTTCTTCAATATGGTTTTGATTGGTCAGATTATGATCAAAAGTATATCCAAGGTGTTTATATACATTTGTTCTTTCAATTTCAGAGTCACTTAGAAAGGATTTGCTTACATTTTGAGGATTTGCTCTAACTCCATGGAAAATAACTTCACAGCTCTTTTCTGGTCTAAATTGTAATTTCCACAATTTGGACCAATTTTCTATCTCAGTTAGATCAGATTTAACTAGTTCATCAATTTCTTGGGGCTTTTTGGGGTCAAAAATAAAATGAAGAGATGTGTCATCTGCATAGATATAGCATTTGGAGTTTACATTATCAGGAAGGTCATTAATGTATAAAATAAATAGAAGTGGGCCTAAAATTGATCCCTGTGGCACGCCACAGTTTAGGAAGCCTGCTTCAGTTGTTACTGATGACTCACCAGCAATGTTTACAAAAAACCGCCTATTTGTCAGATATGATTTTAATAAATTTAGAAGTTGTCCATGAATACCGTAGGCAAACGTTCATGAACAGTTCTTGTAATTTTCACTTCGGTTTATCCAACTGGACTAAGTGTAATTGATATGATGTCACAAATGTTGTTACTTTGGGGATGAGGACAACATGATGAAAAAAGAAATAGCACATTTTTAAGGGGTGTTGTTTGGAATAGCTCAAAATGTTTATTTGCAGGGGGGTGCATATTATAGCTCAGAATGTTTATTTTGCAGGGGGAGTGTGTGGAGTGTCGGCTGTTCCTCCCAGAAACCAACAGTACAAGACAAGTTATCCTAGCTCTTGCCGACAACATCAAAATAATGGACAGAGATGGTTGTGTTCTGAATGAAATGAATGAACCATTTGGCAAAGGAAGTGATCGCAAGTGGCGACGTTTCACAGAAAGGAGGTAAGACATTAATTGAGATTTCATGACAAGGTATGCTTTCATATTTCTGTTTCGTAGTAGTTTTATGAAACGTATTACTGAATTATAAATGTACCTTTCTGAGATGAAATGAGAAACTAGACTTAATATAAGAACCATATATTTGATTTCTAGCCGAGGCTGGGTAGATTGTTGGGCGACACCTATTGTCGCGATTAGTATTGGATACACCTACCACCCAACTCCTCACCTTGGTGACTATCAATCCACGCCTCCCATAAATGAAGACGTCACAACCCCCGAGAAAGAAGATCAGCTGCTAATTCCATTACGACCAATGACTTCAACATCAGAGATGACTCCAATGGCTCCAGAGAACTTCGACCCAACATACATGGATGGAGATAAGATAACGGTTGAATTGGAGGTCGGCCCTAGTGTTCTTTGTGTCTATGGAGCACTGCTTAGACAGTTTTTACATGTTAAGGTAAAGTATATATCTACAAAGTAACCCATAGATAGTACAGTGCAACATTGTTATAGTAAAACATGAGTATATAGTAATCCATGTGCAATAAGTAAAAATGTTTTCATTATGTACTTTCTGTGGCTTGTTTACTGTTTGGAAAAAAAATTTCTTATGTGTCAAGGTAGAGTATTACATATACATGTACATATAATAAAGTATGGTACTGTGAACACTATACATTACTATGCTCCAATGGTACCATACTCTTAATGTACCGTAGTACAGTACTATGATTTTAGAGTGCGGATTGGGGGTGTATAGTCATCCATGTACATATTGTGAAAAGTTGAGGTGACATTACAGCTGGTGTTCCGGGTTTAGTTTTAATGTCACTGGTTTGCATTTGTAACAAATTGTTACATTTTAGTAACCATCTGCAGGTGGTGACATTTTATCACGTTTGTGCCATATTTCTTTCTGCTTTCAGGAGAACTATTTCGGAGAGGACCAATCATATTCTGACTTTGATGACGTTACTACTAAATTGGATAAACATTCTACATTTACCCATACTTCTTCATCCACAAATAAATCGACCAAACCATTTGATCCGAGAAACTATCGACCACTAGAGGTCACTGTACAGCTGACGATACATGATATACAGGCACATCTCATTAAGGTAATATTGTATTCTATTTTATCCCATACTTGGACGTTTTTCAGGTAAATAAAGCAGGTTTGTAAAAACTTATATTCGAGAGCATAAATGTGGATGAATATCTGAAAGAATAGAAAATTCCTACTACGGCCAAGAAAAAAACTAGTTTGTCTTTGTAATAAGCATCTACAGCTTCACTCTTTGCTAGTCATATGGCTGAAACTACCAGGCTTTCTGTGATCATTTATTCATACTGAAACTTTAGTCCAAGTGATTCTAGTTTGTCTTTGTAATAAGCATCTACAGCTTCACTCTGGGCTAGTCATATGGCTGAAACTAACAGGCTTTCTGTAACTGTTTATTCATACTAAAACTTTAGTCCAAGTGATTCTAGTTTGTATTTATAATAAGCATCTACAGCTTTACTCTGGGCTAGTCATATGGCTGAAACAGGCTTTCTGTGATCATTTATTCATACTGAAACTTTAGTCCAAGTGATTCCAGTTTGTCTTTGTAGTAGGCATCAACAGCCTCACTCTGGGCTACTGTCATATGGTTCTTCCAGTCATCTATGGTCCCTGAAATGATATTCGTTATGTGAGGATAAATAGATTAGCAACAGTGACTCAGGTCTGTCAACTGTCCCTCAATTTGCGTATTTGTCACATATTTGCTGAAGAAATTGAAGTCAAGCCAGTTTTTTTTGCGTGACAGAATATGTCACGCAAATACACATTTTTTCTGATTATTGTCAAGCAAAAAAATATCTGGAGAAGAACATCAAAAAATGAATGCCGAAACATCAAAAAAACAAATGCCAAAAAATCTCATTTATTAGGAATTTTCACATGAATTGCACATGTCACGCATTTGATTCGAATTTTTCATCCCTCAACTAATCCCCTAGATTAGTTTAGAAGGTTGCCCTTGGCCAATATTTCCCAAGTCACTTGACATGTCACATCATCAAAAAGTTCCATGATGCCCAATGGAACATCCTCCTAAGCAGGTATCCAGAATCCGTACCTCCTTCTTCCCCCTGCTATAACCAATTTGGAAGCGCCCGATTAAACTGAATCACGTGATCTAATTATGCGCAATGACTTATACATGATTTCTGTCGCAGTGTTGCGACAACCAATCAGATTGCGAGTTCTTAATCGGGGAAATGCTAACTGCTTATAGCAGGGTGTAAAAAGAAAGAAGATATTCTGAATTTTGAAGCCCTGTGATCGGAGGATGCCCACGGAAAGAATGAACATTTTCATTTTTGATGAATTTTTTGGACTTTGATCAGTCGAGTCCCAACGAGTCCCATGTTGGACCTCATGGGACTCGATTAGGCAAAGTCGGATGAAGCGGGACTCCATTTGGGCAAAATCTCATTGAGTCCCACAAGGTTCCATGCTATGTTAAGTCTATGGAGGTCCCTCTGTGCCCAATTGGTGTATGTTGGGCTTTACATACCTTTCCTCATATGTGGGGAATTCGAAGAATCCTTCAAACTGACACTCTTTACTGCATCTGCAAATGCATCGCCAGTGGCTGGATTTGCTTTCATCTGTTTAAACTGAAGATGGTGAACCATTTTAGCAAGTTCTTCATCAGTAAATTCTTTTCCTAGGAATTTGGCGACCGATTTCACAACACTTTTGGTGTCCTGGAATATTAAAAGCTGTTGTGTTCATCAAAACTCAATAATTTATGTTTTATCGTCAAAATTTGTTTTTACAGTGAAAAGTGGGCAACACTATTATCTATTTGAAGATATGGCTCATTGGCAGAGTTAAGGTTATCGCTATCACATGGCCCGGGTTCAATTCCCGGTTCAGACAAGTTTGTTTGTCTGTTATGCAATTCTGGGTGTTTGACTGAGTGCTCCACAACTCATATACTCATGTATATGTGCATATAAAAGAACACAGGGCTAATCCAAGCAGGAGTTTCTGACTCTGTCTTCGAGTGTAAATGATGTAAAACACTCAACATACCAATGATGTAATACTCACCAAATATGGCGGCAACCAAGATACAATACAATACCAATGATGTAATGCTCACCAAATATGGCAGCAACCAAGATACAATACAATACCAATGATGTAATGCTCACCAAATATGGCAGCAACCAAGATACAATACAATACCAATGATGTAATGCTCACCAAATATGGCGGCAACCAAGATACAATACAATACCAATGATGTAATGCTCACCAAATATGGCGGCAACCAAGATACAATACAATACCAATGATGTAATGCTCACCAAATATGGCGGCAACCAAGATAAAATACAATACAATTTATAAGAATGTAATTATTCAGTATACCTTGACCATGTCCTCATAGAAGATTACTAATAGTTTATCCTTTAGTTGTTCCTTCACCTTCATCCAAGATTCAACATGTTGAAACCATGTACCACAATGCACTAAAAAGAGATTAAGCCTTGTACAGTATATTGATACAATATAGCTTCGTACGCATGTATGTTCATGTCCAATTTTATTTACTTTAAAATATGAAGACTTCGTTGTGTACCCAAGTATTTTCTCTGAATTTAAGAAAATGTTACATACAACATGAGTTTTGGAGAAAAAATCATGTTTTACTCGGATAAGTGCCACACCCACTTTTGCAAAAGATTGACAGTTTAGGGGCCTCTTCCCAAAAAAGCAATTTAACTCATGGTCCTTTAGGATCTCAAAAAATTAAATTGCAGATAGATAAATACAGTTATACAAAACTTAACTTCCAGGAACTCCCAGATTTCACAATTTGATACCAGTGTTTTTATCACTACTACCAACCTACTTTTTTCTCCACTGTCTGTCATTAACGAGTTCATGATGATATCCACTGTAATTGGCTCTGTAAAGGCCGGTCCAAAACCATCGAGGGAAAATTTAAGGCTAACGGTCACAGACTTTGGATTTCGTAAGACAAGAATTGTCTGAAACAGGACAAAGTATTAACTAAGAATTAGATGAGCTGTTTTTATGGCAATGGTGAGTTAAATATCATTTTACACAGTTTAATTGTGATTATTGGTTAGATTTAGTCCACCCCTTCACAAAGCAAAGAATATATAATGAAAAAATACTGGGTTTACCAAGAGACATCTAGTTTCTGAATAATATGTCCAGAATGGAAACAAGTAGAAGAATACAGGCCAAAGCAACAGACTCCAGATTTTCAATCTGAAGTCTAATTATGTACCTTGCATATCCCATTGATAACGCCATCAGGCATGAATTTAGCTGAGAGGTGAGTTGCCATTAGCCTTGGAGACTGCATTTTCTCCAACTCTTCAAACCAGCTCCCAACAACATCTGGCTCATCTTCAAATACATTCAGTTCACCTCTCCATGCTGGAGTTTAAAATCATAACCTTATAATCGTTTTGACTCAATGCAGGAGTTTCACTAGGATTTCTCACAACAGGCTAAATAAATGAAAAACAGGCAAAATTAATGGAAATCATAAATTTAACATGGAAAAGTTGAAAAGTTCCTAAAAACAACGGGCGATATTGTGAAAACAACCGGTGAAAATCACCTTTTGCCCGCTGCTTATGAAACTCCTGCATTGTTGTATTCCTCAAGGAAGTAGCCTCAGGGAAAGAAAAGGGTTGTACATTTTGAAAACTGAAGTCAGAGTGAGCAAGATTTCTAAATCCTACCTTTGTTTGACATGTCTAGCCAAGGTACTCTTTCATGAATTTGTGCTTTTATGGCATCTGTGTCACCATTGTGCCTCACCAAGTCTACCAGCTCAGCGGCCCAATGAGTTCCTATAGATATACCAATAATCTCATTTCAAAGGGCAATATTGTAAAATATTTCAATGTTTCGCTATGTTGCCCACTGAAATGAGATTATTGATATATTTCAAAGGGCAATATTGTAAAATATTTCAATATTTCGCTATGTTGCCCACTGAAATGAGATTATTGGTATATTTCAAAGGGCAATATTGTAAAATATTTCAATATTTCGCTATGTTGCCCACTGAAATGAGATTATTGGTATATTTCAAAGGGCAATATTGTAAAATATTTCAATATTTCGCTATGTTGCCCACTGAAATGAGATTATTGGTATATTTACCACCTTATGCCCTTAGAGGACTGCAATAGCAAGCACTGACTGCCACATTGTCAAATGTGACCCCCCCTAGATATTTTTGAAAATGACCCCCTCCCTTGGCAATAGCTGACTGCTGGCTTGTCATGTTCAGCTATTCAAAATAATAAAAGTAGATTAAAGACTACAAAATTAGCTTTTTAAATAATGATGTGCTTATTTCATGTGGAATCGTAAAGTATTATTTGTTGGATCCAATTTGAAACACAAACCTGATCTCATATATGAAGATATTAATATATCATCCTCTATCATCGACAAATTCCTCAATTTTTTTATAGTTGGCCAGTCACTATATGCGGTAAAAAAGCAATCCTCTATAACTTGACTTTTTGTCAGACAGACATCACGCAGTGTTTTCTGTGTCATTGTGTTTTTCAGTGTATTTTGTAGTCGTCTTAAATAGACGAGCTAAATCAAACCCTCTCTCTTAATAATTTTACTAGCTAAAATGATTCACTGTTATTTGAGTCAAGTATTGTATATTGAAGTCAAGGCCATTGAGATTTTTAACAGTTAAAACAGTTGCTGGCATTAAATCAAAGTCGAGTGTTTAGATTGCAGTATGTGATAAACTTCATGACATCAACATAAAAAAATTCAGTAAACAATACGGTGCATATTAACAGTCAGACTGTAAGACTGTCAGTACATGTATATTAGAAATAGTGTTTATTAAAGGGACCGAACATATTATTATGGTGCCATATTTTACGATTTTCATGAGGGAGATTGGGAGGGACTTACAATTTCTTTTCGATATCAAAAATATTCCCCATTGTTATTCACCTGGAAGTAGTAGTATCATGGGACCAAAAGTAGTTATTCACTGGGGGGGATTTGATATGGGGAATATCACAAGGATGATATCAATATTTCCTGAAGGAACACAGTGACCTAGGGAAATATCAATATCATCCAAGGGATATTCCCCATATCAAATCCCCACAGTGATAAACAACCTTATACCATGGTCTAGAGCAATGTCTACCTCAAAAATCATCTGTTAGATGAGAAAACAATAAACTAATTTTGGAAAAATAATTGTCACATGAATTTCATATGACTGTCAAATAGCAGTCATGATTGTGCAATGGGATTTGCTATGCCCGGCATCGCTGTTATCTAATTGTATAATGTTTACATGTCATTGATATATTATGTTTACACATTGTTGTATTATGTTTACACATTGTTGTATTAAGTTTACACATTGTTGTATTAAGTTTACACATTGTTGTATGATGTTTACACATTGTTGTATTCAGTTTACACAATGTCATATTATGTTTACATGTCATTGATCTATTATGTTTACACATTGTTGTATTATGTTTACACATTGTTGTATTAAGTTTACACATTGTTGTATGATGTTTACACATTGTTGTATTCAGTTTACACAATGTCATATTATGTTTACATATTGTTGTATTATGTTTACACATTGTTGTATTCAGTTTACACAATGTCGTATTATGTTTACATATTGTTGTATTATGTTTACACATTGTTGTATGATCTTTACACATTGTTGTATTATGTTAACACATTGTTGTATTATGTTTACACATTGTTGTATTATGTTTACATATTGTTGTATTATGTTTGCAGCATTGCACAGCTGAGGATCCACCATGTCCGAGCATCTTCCTAGAGAGAGTGGGATTTGAGTTGGACAAACGTTACCTAGAAACAAAACTGCAAGTTCTAATATCACCTGCTATTATAATAGCTAAAGATCTTGTCCAGGTAACATATAGCAAACCATGTACATATCCAAACACCTGTCTAATCAAAACACCTCTCAGAGTGAACACTTGGTCCCAATTTTGTTAAATCTTAAGCTCTCATTGACTCAAAGCCGTGAAATGTGAACACCTGCTAATTCAAACTCTATTTTCTGGTCCCAGTTGAGTTTGGATAAGATTAACTGTACAGCTAAAATGATCAAATTATGCATTTTATTGTTTCATATATCTACGAAAATCATTCACCAAAATATCCCAAGTTTGATTTGGTTCATTTCATTACAAGTATCACATTTTCTCAAATGTGCCACTTTAATATATCTTATTTGAGTGGTTCATTTCATTACAAGTATGAGTTCAAGCTATGTTCTCACATTTTCTCAAATGTGCCATTTTAATATATCTCATTTTTTGATTTGTTCATTTCATAACAAGTTTGATGTCACGCTTTGTTCTTGTATATATGGGCCATCGTACCACTAGCACAAGGTTCTAAACAGCTCCAAGCAAATTCGACTTTTTATGATTTCGTAACGTTCACAAGGACTAATAACAGTATCAAGGTACACGTGGAATATTCGGAGAGAATGGGTAAACCAAAACCAGCAAGAAAACCTAAACTGGATAATCAGCAACAGAGTATGAAAACTTTGACAGGAACGAAATCAAAAATTGAAAAATCCAATATGGCTGACAACATTGAAAAATTATTTGGATAAAGTAGTAGTACAAAGGGACCTCAAATGGACGCAAACACGTCGGCCTCTATAATGACACTGGGATCTTCTATCCAAACGTTGCAGGGGCAAATGACTAGAATATTGGATCACAATAGCGGACTCATTAAACAGATGGAACAACAACGAAATGAACTGGTTAGTTATTTTGACACAAAAATTGAACAGCAGAGAAATGTGATGTTACAACATGTAAATACAGTTTGTGAAAAAATCAAGGATTTACAAGACCGTGTTGACGTTTTGGAAAACTCAATGTGTAAACATGCAGACAAAAGTAGTAATGAAACAGAACCGATTATTGTCATCAAGAATTTGCCAGAAACATCAGCTAAAGATGATTCAGATATGGTTAGTGATGTATTTTCTGAAATTGTTTGTGATGATCCGATTCGAGTGTCCCCAAATGAAGTTAAAAGACTGCCAAAAAGGAATGCTAATGCAGGTATTGTGCTCGTAACACTGAAGTCTGACAAAGACAAATCCCGCATTTTGAGGTCCAAAATAAAGTTGAAGCAATCTAAGGAATACAGTAATGTTTATATCGAAACTAAGAAGACCAGGGAACAATTGGAAACGGAGTATGTTTTAAGGAATATGCACAAAATCTACAAACATGGACCACTGCACTACAACTTGAACCAGGGTGCCGGTGTTACATAATGTGATTTTATGGGCCATCATACGTTTTAAGGAATATGCACAAAATCTACAAACATGGACCACTGCACTACAACTTGAACCAGGGTGCCGGTGTTACATAATGTGATTTTATGGGCCATCATACGTTTTAAGGAATATGCACAAAATCTACAAACATGGACTACTGCACTACAACTTGAACCAGGGTGCCGGTGTTACATAATGTGATTTTATGGGCCATCATACAACTACCTGTTGCTCACTTTATTCATGTTTTGGACTACAGTTTATACGCAATGCATAAACAGCATGAAACAATCATTTCTAATTGTAGATTAGATTTGTATACATCTCTTTGTGAACTGAGTGTTATGTTCAATATGTGAAAATATCATGGACTTAAATTGTACTTATATTTATAACTTGACCACATTTGCATATGATCAACAACTGACTGAGTGATCGAGTTCATCAATCAATGTTCGTAATAGAGGTCATGAACTTTTGCTTTATTCATAATCATATTTCTGCAACTGACTCAAATTTAGGCATCTTATTATGTATATGATTTATTTTGATTATTAATAGTGTCTCATAAGCCATTGCTGGCTTGAGGCTTTTTGGATGATTGTATAGATGTTTATGTATGAAATTAAGCCTGTGACACTTAAATAAAAACAATACAATACAATACAATTTGGACTTACACCTCACAGTGATATCACTCATTTGTTTGGTTCATTTCAGCGTCCTGATGACCACCAACATTTGAAAGATGGTCACTTGGCCCTGTCAGGATTACAAGTGCGAGGCCATGCAATGTTCTCCCATGAGAATCTACCTCTTGACTCGGAGTGTCTGGAATATGGTTGGCTTATTGAGGGCACTATAGGAGACCTCTCTGGCCGCTTGACTGCCCCTCAGGTATGTTTACATTGAGCTATAAGTATGCCTATGTTAGCCCCTGGTGGTAATTTGATCTAATACAGTATTTGCTTATTATTCCTATGCTGATGTTGCTTCAATATAGCATACAATGATCTCACAAGATTTTTTGAAAAGGGTGCTAAATACTGATTTTTTCTTGTTTTGGGTTATTATCCCACTATTTTACCCATTTGGCAGGGTGCAAAATATTTCTAACAAGGTGGCATGCTATTTTTTCATATTTGCAACAGGGAACAAAAATAATTAACAAATGAAAATATTTTCAAAAGCTATAAATATTTTTTGTTTGTATTTTAGCTGCAACAAATCGTTGATTTTGCACAGACCTTTATCTTCCAAGTGGAGGATGATGAAAACGGCCTCCAGAGGGCAGTACCATTCAATGTGTGCACCCATGGCGTATACCAGTGGGAGTGTGTGCATAAAGAGGAATGGCCATTCCAGTGCCCAACAGAGCATGATATTAAGTATAAGATGACGAGGCTTACCGTTGACTCCATAGATTTCTACGCTGTGGAGAGTGGGACTGCTCTAAATGTTCAGGTGCTTCAAAATTTTAGATTATTAACATAAGCATAGAAGGAACAGGCCTGTAGCCAGAATTTTTCATGGGGGGTTCACTTTCCCCAAAAATTCTAGGGGGGTTCACTTTGGCATATTTGGCCACAAATCACACAAAAAATGGCCAGAATGGTGAAAAACTGCATGATTTTGAAAGAAATTTTCGCCCTAACCCCCCCCCCTTGCTACGGGCCTGAGGAAGATCCTGTTTTCAGTATGATTTAGAAGTGATGACATATAGTAACTGCCACCATTTTTAGTGACCAACATTCAGCGTCCATTTTCACTATATGCATTTCAAAACATGGCCATTAGTTTGATTTTCTTGCATTTTTATTATGGAAGAAAATAGTTATAGTCTCCAACTTTTTGTGGATAGTGTTCACTGGTTGGTGTTCGACATTTGGCAGTTGTCATCTGTAACAAATGACATCGCTATTTAACTATTCATTGCTAACTTCTCCTTTTTGTACTTTATTTTACATTTTAGAAAATGACCACAATGCTATTTTTTCTCTGGTTTCAGGTGTTCCCGATCAGATTGTCGACATGTAATTTACATGGCAGAAACAACAAGGCCGGAATCACAGCTCTGATTCAACATGTCACGCTGCGTCAGTTCATCATGGCACCATGCGTCAATAATCCAAATAACAGCCTATCAGATCTGTGGTTAGAAGCAGGGGGTGTGGCCATTGGACCAATCACAGTTGACGCTGCTATGGCACTAACTCACCCCGACTATCGGACTGCTCAAGATGAATTCTTGAAAATCCACGATAAGAAAACTCACAGACTCTGGTTTTTGTGGGCACCAGATTATAGCGTTATGACCCCAAGTACAACAGGGAAATGTGGCTGTCTCGGTGGCTGTAAATTTTTCGGGAATAATCGCACGGGTCAGAATTTTTTCAGTCGTAGCAAATTGGATAAATCTGGCTGTCTGAATTCCGCAACATTCCAGCTCCTATTGGATGGTCCAGATCTTGGATACGGGCAGAGTATTCTCCACAAGGGGAAGTTGATATTTGACATCAATAGTTCAAGCTTTCCTGGGACTCCTATCAAATATGCGTATGTGACCTCCCCCACGAGTCCAACCACCCCCATGACAAACATTACCCTGATGGATGTCACCCCCCAGAGTGATACCATTGATGACGTTACATTGACTCGTGACCAGGACCCACTTCAAATTGATACAATGCGTCTCAGCGAGTCTACTCTACAGGGCTCAACTACATTACATACTCCAAGAAGTGTGGACAGTTCAGTAGACTATACAATCCCTGTTGATAGTGAGTCTGAAACTGATACCGGAACAGCAACACCAACTAGAGATGATATAAGCAATAGTGAATCAATCCCGAGTAATTTTTTCCCGATGGATGCAATTCCTGATGCTTACGATACAGACCGTTATGCAAGTAGCCAATCAGATTCCACTAGCTGGGGTCCCGGTCTTCCAGGAAGCGTCACGAGTCTGCCGGAGGTTAGCAAAGCTTTTAAACCATCTCATGAGAGACAAAGGAGTTGTGACGTCCCAGGGAATATACAATCTCTAATATCTGAATCACGGAGCTATCATGGGACTCCTCCGCCAATTCCACGACGTCTTTCGAAAACCTCCAACCCCAGTTCAGGCTCTGGGGGATTATATCAAGGCAGTACAGCTGTAAGCCCGACTCTGAAACGTTTGGCGTCAAAGGGCTCGATTCATCGAACAATATCAACAGTATCTTCAGGAAGTGAATTTTTCAGTGCAGCTGAGGACAGTTTAAGTGAAGTAGGATCACCCCAGCCTGTTGATTATGATTTTCCCGATAGCTTCCCTGTGAACTATCCCAGGGTGCTTCATGTTTTAAAGGAACGAGAATCATCATCAGAACGGAACACCCCAGAGAGGGGGACAGGCAATGTTAAGGATCCTGAGACTGTTATCTTCAATCGGCAACTTTCAAGACGTGATAGACGTGCCTCTGATAGTGCATCAACGGAATCGTTTGTCTCGGCACAATCCTCGTCTCAACTCTCTGGAGATTCCAACTTGACGGAAGTACAATTAACTGAGCATGAGATGAACATGTTAGATTTACACGGTCAAATAAACAAACCAATCACAAAATCTCCACTTTTGATGGCGTGCTACAACAACCATGTGACCCAAATGAAGTGTGCTCATTGGTCAACGCAATCTCCTCTTCCCCAGTATATCTACCAACCAATGACTCCGGGTGATGATGTTGACAATGATTCGTCAATGCCTGCGGAATTTTCCGTCCAATCACCAACCACTTCAAAAGCGCAGACGCATAATTGGGTACCAAAATTCATGCCGGTTAGAAATGGATTCTCGGCTGGTTTTATGGTGGAGAAGAAACGATTCCTTGACCCCCCAAGTCCCAGCAGGGTGCTTCATAGTCCTGTGAGTGACACTGACCCCTGGGAGAACCCCCGGGCAAAGGGGCTCTTTGAGGGAGAGGACCAAATGGAAGGTTTGACATTTTTCTCAGAGAGTTTGTAGATTGTTTTCTTCTTTTTTCTCATTATTTAGACTATAGTGTGATTTGTTGTCTTTTTCTGCGATTAAACAATGATGGATTTACATGCATTTTTATCAAAATGTGATTTCAAAATGATTAAAAACTTTAATTTAATTCATTATAATGAATGTTTTAAGTTATAGAATTTGTTAATAGTAAGTAGCATCTTCAAGTTCCAATCTTTATGAGATGTTATAAACAATGATATTAATAAACTGATTTCATAATAATGATATTTTATTGAATCCTGATTTCATTGCAATAATATTTTATTACATTTTGTTACATTTATTTGCAGTGGGTCCTGCAATGTCATATGAGGACCAGACTTCCAAGACAACAGCTATTGTGAAACTGGCTGGTTCAGTTGACATTCTAGTCTCCCCTCTATTACTAGAGTCTCTTCAGAGGTAAGTCCATAGAAAATAGGCATCTATATATAAAATAGGCATCTATGTAGAAAATAGGCATCTATGTAGAGAATAGGCATCTATGTAGAAAATAGGCATATATATATAAAATAGGCATGTATGTAGAAAATAGGCATCTATGTAGAGAATAGGCATCTATGTAGAAAATAGGCATCTATGTAGCACTCATTTGGAGTGTTGAACCTATTCTGGTAAATGTGTTTTCCAATAAATTAATTACGAGTGACGTTATATGTGCATTAAGAATTTTTTTAAAACAAAATATGAAGTTGAAATCGGATTATTTTCCAATTCTTTTATTAATTTATTTTTTTGCATTACAAATTGCATTCTGCATCTGTAACAATTTGCAGGTGGTGACATTTTGCTTCTTAATGCCTTGTATGTGTATGTTTAAGTCAATTTTTCATTTATAGGTATATTGAAGCAGTGACCCCTACTATTACAAAGCTTCATCCCTCCAGTATCGTTGACAAGCTCCACTTTCGCAGTTCAAGTGCCGTCAAAGCCCAGAATAAGCTCAAAGAGCAGGGGGTAGGGGGCAGCACTGATGAAAATGATGGCGAGAAAAAAGATGAGAAAAAATTAGCAGAGGAGACAAAAGCATCTCAGTTCCAACTCATGGTCACTATGTCAAAGGTATGGGATTATATCAAAAGTATGGGATTATGTCAAAATTTGGGATTATATCAAAAGTATGGGAATATATCAAAAGTATGTGATTATTATCTAGGTAATATGATTATGTCAGAAGTTTTGGATTTTGTTTATAATTAATGGTTATGTCGAGACTGTTAAATGACATGTCCTTGCTTGTTCTTCTCTTATTCCACAATTTTCCAATATTAAAATGAGTCGATTTTGCTAATATGATTTAACGCAAACATTTTCTTTTTGCAGATTAACCTTTGCGTTCTACAAGCATCTATGGTGGAGGAAGTGATCGCACTTTCCGCATTGGAACACGTCAAGGACCTAACGTGTGTCTCCCTATTGGCTGTCTGTCTCGACAACATCTCATGTCAATTTCTAACCAATCACCAATCAGAAAGAGCAATTGAAATGCGCCAGGAAACTAGTCCTGATGAGACTTATAAAAAGTTCGGGAAATTGCCCATGGGACATAAAAGGAAAATGGCGGAAAAGGCTGCTACAGCTGAGCTTCGTGAAACAGTTGTTGAAAAGCACAAAGAAGATCTCGTTGGGAATTTAAATATCTCAAAGATACATTTCCAGTTGCGGAGATTAACAAAAGATTGTAATTTCACGCAAGATGTGGTGCTGACATCTATACCGGAATATCGTTCGAAAGTCTTGTTCACATTCGACAAGGACAAAATCAGTAATATTGCCCCAGTGACAAAACAGAATTTGACAGGACAGGCATCACCAACTTTGAAAACAGGTACTAGGGTGGAGCTGACCCCAGAGGAGCAAATCCTTGGGGTCATAATGTGCGAGTGGGGGTTGGAAGACATCAGCTTAAGAGCAGCTAAGAGGAGTGGATACGCATCAAAACCATCAGAAAATACACCAGGAATGAGTTTAACTGAAGCGAAAATCAATGAGCTTCAGGAAAGAATACGAGAAGAGAGCTCCGGTTCTAAATCATACTCCAATGCCTCAACAGCAGGATCAAAAACTGTCCCCCAGGATCAAACTTCCGTACGGCTTGAAGACATGAACTTATTAGAAAATGAATCTTGGGCCTCCCGTGAATCGATCCCATCAAGTGCGTCCACAATGAGTGAGGAAGTACTGCCGAGTAAACTTGAGGGGGACGCATCCAACTGCTCCCTTGAGATCAGAGGGGTGTGGTTCAACTTTGCAGCACCCCCTCCCTCTCCTAGCTCCAGGAAGTTGGAATATACAAGGTAATTTTAGATTTGCAATTTACGTGCGACAATTCTAGCAATTCCAAATTATGAATAATTAAAATGCAGCACTTAGAAAGTAGAAACGCAATTCTGAGATCTGTGAATACGAATGGTATTTGGAGGAATAGACCAATCCAGTAGTCATGCCATCTATTGGTTATGATGTTATTCTTACAATTTCAGTGCAGAAATAGGATTAAAATATTGCTAATTTTCAAAAACTTCTTTCAATTTTGTTTACAAACGCAGCTGCCTGTAGAGTATGACATCATAAATCCTTGGTTATTTCATAGTTTCCTTGGTTCACAAAAAGTGGTCAGGATTTATTGGAAAGGTCTATTACTCTCTTTCTAGTATATGGACAAACCTGTCTAAGTGGAACATATTTGGTACCTCAGAAGAGTGTTCCACTTGGGAGGTGTTTCACTTACAGAGGTTCAGTTAACTGCATTGTGGAAGTGTTCTTTATTAAGAGATCTCCCACTTTACATGTTTTACACTGTAATATTAATCCGATGTAATTATTGCTTTCAAACAAGACTGGAATCTTCTCAGTACTGCGACGCAATATGTTATACTTATGGAGGTGTTCCACATTTAAGATTGTTCTACATTAAGAGGTTTTCCACCTTACAGATGTTACTGTAGTACTACAACTAATATATTTATTGCTTTCAGACTAGACTGGAATCTTCTCAGTACTGCGACGCAATATGTTATACTTATGGAGGTGTTCCACATTTAAGATTGTTCTACATTAAGAGGTTTTCCACCTTACAGATGTTACTGTAGTACCAACTAATATATTTATTGCTTTCAGACTAGACTGGAATCTTCTCAGTACTGCGACGCAATATGTTATACTTATGGAGGTGTTCCACATTTAAGATTGTTCTACATTAAGAGGTTTTCCACCTTACAGATGTTACTGTAGTACTACAACTAATAAATTTATTGCTTTCAGACTAGACTGGAATCTTCTCAGTACTGCGACGCAATATGTTATACTTATGGAGGTGTTCCACATTTAAGATTGTTCTACATTAAGAGGTTTTCCACCTTACAGATGTTACTGTAGTACTACAACTAATATATTCATTGCTTTCAGACTAGACTGGAATCTTCTCAGTACTGCCACGCAATATGTTATACTTATGGAGGTGTTCCACATTTAGAAATGTTCCACATTAAGAGGTGTTCCACCTTACAGATGTTACTGTAGTACTACAACTAATATATTTATTGCTTTCAGACTAGACTGGAATCTTCTCAGTACTGCCACACCAGCCATTAATGCCTGGATGAATCCCAGTGATAGACTGATCGTAGCAACGAAGGTCATGCTATCTTCCCTGAGCATCAGAACTAGTGCAGTTATGGCATGTATTATGACAGAGGGCTTAGATGTACAGGGCATACACATGCCATTTAAGGTGAGGGCATGCATTATTTAAACCAAAATCTAGAAAATAGATAATTAATAAAAGGCAAATAATAGGCATTAAAGGGTATAACTTTTTACTATAGATCTGAGCTAAATGTCCATATAAAGGCAACAGGGCAGTTTTTCAGATTTGACCGTCAATTCTGAATTTTTTATAAAACAACATTGTATTTAATTATGTACACCAACAAGCCACCAACTGAATGAAAAGAGATTATCTATTCTGTTTTCAATAGGCTGTAGAACTGTAGAATAGATAGAACTGTAGAAATATTTCAGACATCAAACTGAAAATAAATTATTCCATTGCATTTGAAATAGATTGTTTTTTCTTAAAAATTATCAAATTTGATTATTTTTCCTTTTCAGAGTAAATATAACAAGATGTCTGGTCTGTCAAAAGCGTTACAAGAAGACCCGTCCTGTCAACTACTAACTGTGCTACGTCGTTACATCACCCTGACACCTATTGAGAACATTGAGGAAATGGTAGCCATGGAAACTATGCCCCAGTTGTTAACGATACAAAAGGGATTGTTAGCCCTAACAAGGCAATGGAAGAATATTATCTATCTGCCAGGTTTGGCGGATCCAAATTTTCAACACAGTAAACGTGCGCGACCTCTGACTGTATCGTTTGCCCTGCCCCCTGGTGAGAGTATTGAAAACTTGGATGATGAAGATGATTTATCGGATGTTGATGCGGAAAATGAATCACTGTTGAATGCTGGGAGCTTGAAAGGATCGGTTGACAATCTTCGAAGTCGCAGTCCTGAGAGACTACGTCATGAAAGTGGTGATTCTCAGGATGCAGATAAAGTACTGAAATCGGGGGGAAGACCAAGGAACGGACGAGAATCATCCCAAATACAAGATTCTCCTTTACCAACATCGTTCAATCCTCGTAACTTGTATAATAGTCTTGCACAGCAGGCATCAAATATATTCCGACGAAACGAATCAAAGCTGAGCTTGTCCCAGCGTTCTGCTAGTTGCCCTAGCCTTGGGGGTGAGTTTCAACTCCCCGGGGGTACTCCTGTGGGAGGGACCCCTGTCAAAGGAAGTGCTCTACCATTTGGACAAACTGGGCGATTGGAGAATGAGGACCTTTACCAATGGATGGCACGACAACAGGATATGAGTGGAGAGTATTATTTCACGACGCGACAGGATTCAGTTATGAACACTGTTGCTAGTGAATATAGCCAAGATGAAACTCAAGACGTCAACTTTCAGCGTTACGCTGTGGCCACAACGCTACAGCTTGCTGACGCTCAGGTTCTATTCAAACCGCTCTTACAGAGCCTTGGACTCCAAATAGAAGGAATTCGAACATCTCCGCTAATGAAAAAATTTGGTGGAAATATTTCACTGACTGGATTTTTGATATCACTCAAAATTGATATAATCGATTCTGAGGCAGGCTCTAAGAAAACGAAAGGGAAGGGAAAGGGGAATTCCAAAAAATATCCTCGGATTAATATGGACACTGGATCGGAGCTTCCAGCCTTTCAGTGCAATCTGTTTTCAGCGATGGTACAACTCAAAGACGTTGTTGATTTTGAGAAAGATTTTAATAATATTGATAATTCCGCAAGGAGGAAATCAATACGGACATTACAGTGGGCTATGGACAGCCTAGAGGGAAAGCCGACAACAACAAAAGCCAATTTGAACGTCAATTGTCAATCAGTTAACCAGCATGTTAATATATCCCTTGTGAGACTTGTTCACCAGGTAGTAACTATGATAGACAATATTGCTATCACAAAGAAAGAACTGAAACGAAATAGGAAAAATAACGAGGCGTATAAGACACATAGGAAACAAGATTCTAAGGGGTCTTCGGGCACTGATTCACAGAGTATTCATTCTGATTCAAGTCGAACACCGGGAGTAAGTCCACTTGTTGACCAAGAGATCAATGAAGGAGAAAACCTTGGAGAGAGCTTTTCCTTTACTCGCACATCCTCCCCTGGAGATGAACAAACAAGTACAGTAGATGGTAAGAGATCAAAGCGACCAGAACGATTGGTTCTTTCAGGCTCTAAAAAATCCCCGAAGAAATTCACCTTCAGTAAACGGACCCGGCTTTCTGAGCTGCTAACACCAACCAAATCCTACAGTCAACCATTTAGCGATGACCATCCAGATAGCTCTTCCCCTATTCTAGCTGAGAAAACCATTGTGGATGAAATCAAAGAAAATACACCAAAATGTTGGCGCACACTGTATCATCTCTTAGACTTATACTCGACCATGCCGGAAACCAAAACTGTCGGAGCGAGATTTATTCAAGCCCGGCTTCCCGCGATTTCAGAGGAGCCAGAACGGGAGACTCCACCCTCAGGCAAGGGTGATACCCCCAAGGCTAAGAGAGAAGAGGAGGATGTAGAACAAGGTCTGAGGGGGAGAAGCAATTCTCTGGGAAGAAGGAGAACTTATACAGTTGGAACATCTTTTAAACAAAGTAAGTTGGTAGCCTAGTAGTAAAGACTACTAATTTTCCAAATAAAATTAGTGGTCCTACTTAACCACCAAATAACCCTTTTAATTTAAATGAATTTATGACTCATTCATCTTCATATTTTATTTATCTTTAGTATAGATCAGACAGAATTGCTTTTGATAGAAAACTCAGACAGTGACTCAAGCTCTTAAACTCAAAATGTTATTTTCCATTTCAGGTATTTACATAGGGTTTTATTGGGAATGACCAAGATTTGTCACATCCATATAACTGACAGTGACTCGAGTGCTTAAACTCAAAATGTTATTTTCCATTTCAGGTATTTACATAGGGGTTGTATTGGGAATGGCCAAGATTTGTCACATCCATATAACTGACAGTGACTCGAGTGCTTAAACTCAGAATGTTATTTTCCATTTCAGGTATTTACATAGGGGTTGTATTGGGAATGGCCAAGATTTGTCACATCCATATAACTGACAGTGACTCGAGTGCTTAAACTCAAAATGTTATTTTCCATTTCAGGTATTTACATAGGGGTTGTATTGGGAATGGCCAAGATTTGTCACATCCATATAACTGACAGTGACTCGAGTGCTTAAACTCAAAATGTTATTTTCCATTTCAGGTATTTACATAGGGGTTGTATTGGGAATGGCCAAGATTTGTCACATCCATATAACTGACAGTGACTCGAGTGCTTAAACTCAAAATGTTATTTTCCATTTCAGGTATTTACATAGGGGTTGTATTGGGAATGGCCAAGATTTGTCACATCCATATAACTGACAGTGACTCGAGTGCTTAAACTCAAAATGTTATTTTCCATTTCAGGTATTTACATAGGGGTTGTATTGGGAATGGCCAAGATTTGTCACATCCATATAACTGACAGTGACTCGAGTGCTTAAACTCAAAATGTTATTTTCCATTTCAGGTATTTACATAGGGGTTGTATTGGAAATGACCAAGATTTGTCACATCCATATAACTGACAGTGACTCGAGTGCTTAAACTCAAAATGTTATTTTCCATTTCAGGTATTTACATAGGGGTTGTATTGGGAATGGCCAAGATTTGTCACATCCATATAACTGACAGTGACTCGAGTGCTTAAACTCAGAATGTTATTTTCCATTTCAGGTATTTACATAGGGTTTTATTGGGAATGACCAAGATTTGTCACATCCATATAACTGACAGTGACTCGAGTGCTTAAACTCAAAATGTTATTTTCCATTTCAGGTATTTACATAGGGGTTGTATTGGGAATGGCCAAGATTTGTCACATCCATATAACTGACAGTGACTCGAGTGCTTAAACTCAGAATGTTATTTTCCATTTCAGGTATTTACATAGGGTTTTATTGGGAATGACCAAGATTTGTCACATCCATATAACTGACAGTGACTCGAGTGCTTAAACTCAAAATGTTATTTTCCATTTCAGGTATTTACATAGGGGTTGTATTTGGAATGGCCAAGATTTGTCACATCCATATAACTGACAGTGACTCGAGTGCTTAAACTCAGAATGTTATTTTCCATTTCAGGTATTTACATAGGGGTTGTATTGGGAATGGCCAAGATTTGTCACATCCATATAACTGACAGTGACTCGAGTGCTTAAACTCAGAATGTTATTTTCCATTTCAGGTATTTACATAGGGGTTGTATTGGGAATGGCCAAGATTTGTCACATCCATATAACTGACAGTGACTCGAGTGCTTAAACTCAGAATGTTATTTTCCATTTCAGGTATTTACATAGGGGTTGTATTGGGAATGGCCAAGATTTGTCACATCCATATAACTGACAGTGACTCGAGTGCTTAAACTCAGAATGTTATTTTCCATTTCAGGTATTTACATAGGGGTTGTATTGGGAATGGCCAAGATTTGTCACATCCATATAACTGACAGTGACTCGAGTGCTTAAACTCAGAATGTTATTTTCCATTTCAGGTATTTACATAGGGGTTGTATTTGGAATGGCCAATATTTGTCACGTCCATATAACTGACAGTGACTCGAGTGCTTAAACTCAAAATGTTATTTTCCATTTCAGGTATTTACATAGGGGTTGTATTTGGAATGGCCAAGATTTGTCACATCCATATAACTGACAGTGACTCGAGTGCTTAAACTCAAAATGTTATTTTCCATTTCAGGTATTTACATAGGGTTGTATTGGGAATGGCCAAGATTTGTCACATCCATATAACTGAAAGTGACTCGAGTGCTTAAACTCAAAATGTTATTTTCCATTTCAGGTATTTACATAGGGGTTGTATTGGAAATGACCAAGATTTGTCACATCCATATAACTGACAGTGACTCGAGTGCTTAAACTCAAAATGTTATTTTCCATTTCAGGTATTTACATAGGGGTTGTATTGGGAATGGCCAAGATTTGTCACATCCATATAACTGACAGTGACTCGAGTGCTTAAACTCAAAATGTTATTTTTCATTTCAGGTATTTACATAGGGGTTGTATTCGGAATGGCCAAGATTTGTCACATCCATATAACTGACAGTGACTCGAGCTCTTAAACTCAAAATGTTATTTTCCATTTCAGGTATTTACATAGGGGTTGTATTGGGAATGGCCAAGATTTGTCACATCCATATAACTGACAGTGACTCGAGCGCTTAAACTCAAAATGTTATTTTCCATTTCAGGTATTTACATAGGGGTTGTATTGGGAATGGCCAAGATTTGTCACATCCATATAACTGACAGTGACTCGAGTGCTTAAACTCAGAATGTTATTTTCCATTTCAGGTATTTACATAGGGGTTGTATTTGGAATGGTCAAGATTCTTCACATCCATATAACTGACAGTGACTCGAGTGCTTAAACTCAGAATGTTATTTTCCATTTCAGGTATTTTCATAGGGGAACACATCCCTCTGGTAGTGTTTGGGATGGCCAAGATTCGTCACATCAATATCACTGCCTATCTCAGTGGTCTAAAGCTGGAAAGCAATGTTGACCATGTACATGCAAGCATTACACATAGGGAAAAAATAAAAGGTAAATGAGAGGTAGAATTGGTAAATTTGACATTTTTCATTGTTTCTCATTTTGACTGAAAGCATCTTGGAACTTTTCCCACATTTGAGGCAACTGTTCAATTACTGAGTTCTGTAGCCAATTCCATCGAGCTCAACTTTGAAATTTTGCCAACCTTGTACTGCAACAGTGTAACCTGTATAATTTCCCCATTTTGACCAGAACTTGTCCAGTTTTGAGCAAAAAAAGTTTCCTGGGTGAAATCATAACAATTACCATATATAATATTATTTTATATCATTCCTTATAAGGTGTGAAGAAAAAGCGGAGCAGTGAATCGTCAGCCACAGCTTATATTGGGCATTCCATGATAGCTCTCCTAGAAGGGGTACCACCTCAACTCCAGTAAGTTATTAATGTCCTAAAAATATCATAATAAGGAAATATACTTAAAGGTTCAACATTATTCGAAATTTCTCTCTACAGTCCTCGTTGCCCCTTTAATGAGACTCAAAGGGATAGAAACAGTTTATATAAGTACATTTTGATTTCATCGTTCCATGTTGCGACTTTTCTAAATATTCTGATTATAAACAGTTCTGAGTAATCCTGCAATTTTTAAGGTTGCCTGATAATCCTTTCTAATTTCTGTGAAAAAATGAATATTTTTAGCCTTTCATTTCGAAGGACAAAGCTGAAAAAGTATAATTTATATAGAAAATGTGATGTGTATATAATACTGAAGATTTGAAATTTTCTGAAAATGATGAGTTTTCATTTAGCCACATTTACTAATGCCTTTGTATGATTTTGTACTGCAATTATAGATAAATCTATAAATAAATAAATGAAAATATATGAAATAAATAATAAATTGATAAAATTTACATTTTCATCTACATGAAAGAGATACTGTAATGAAAATATGTATTATCAATTTTTCATTTTCAGGATGGTTGTCTGCGTGAACATTTCCAAATCACAGGGTTTGTATTCCACGAAGGTGAAACGTCACAAAGAGACCAACTCAGCCCTTGGTACCCTGGGTAATGTTGACATAGATATCCCGCAGCACCCTGTGGCGCTACATGGCATGGTTGCAAGGAGCTCTAAAAGAATATCTAGTACGCTAATGGAGTTTATACCAAAGAAAGGTCCTTCTAAGACCAGGTATGTTCTGGAAATAATTTACACAGCCAATATAATTTGACGCCGTTTCGGCATTGAAAAAATTTGGCGCTGTTTCGGCACCGTTTCGACACCGTTCCGGCACCAAAACCTTTCGACACCAAAATTTGCCTAGTCAGTCCATTTGGTGCCAAAATTTGGCACCGAAACGGCGTCGACAATCAGATTGCATTTTGGGGGTGTATACATGACTGAAGAATATGTAGCTTGTAACAATTACACTTCCACTGTTATACTTTTGTTATTAACAAAAGCTATAAGAATTAATGTTCAGTTTACTTACTGTCAACAGCTGCAGACATTGATATCATTAATTCTGGATTTGTTTGAAAGTATCTGATATATGTAGATGTCTCCCCAGTAACTAAAGACAATGCAGCTTATATTATTGAAATGTATAACATTAAAATGCCTTTCATATTCAGGCCCGTAGCCAGGAGGGTTCGCAGGGTTTGGACAAACCCCCCCCCCCTCCCCCCTAGCCAAAAGTTCTTTCAAAATTATGCAGTTTTTCACTATTTTGAGCACTTCTCAAGTGATTTTAGCCATATTTGGGCCAAAATTGTCAAATGTGAACCCCCCTGGAAATTTTTGAAAACTGAACCCCCCTTGGCAAATCCTGGCTACGGGCCTGATATTACAATTATATGATTATTTTGTGATAAAGCTATAGAAATTATAAAACAATCCCATTTATAGATCTGCAGACAGTATAGATGGCATTCCACGTGATCAACCCTCGAAGCATTCTGACATTAACGAGGATGAAGTCGCACCTGCGGAGGAGAAAGAGCTTCCACCTTCAGCTCCTCTTATGGTTGTTAACTTCAAATTGGCGCTGCAGGGAATGACGATCGGGGCTTCTTTATTACCGTCATTAAAGGCACAGTATAAGGTATAAAACATAGTTTAACTTCAAATTGGCGCTGCAGGGAATGACGATCGGGGCTTCTTTATTGCCGTCATTAAAGGCACAGTATAAGGTAAAAAACATAGTTTAACTTCAAATTGGCGCTGCAGGGAATGACGATCAGGGCTTCTTTATTGCCATCATTAAAGGCTCAGTATAAGGTAAAAAACATCGTTTAACTTCAAATTGGCGCTGCAGGGAATGACGATCGGGGCTTCTTTATTGCCATCATTAAAGGCACAGTATAAGGTAACAAGGCATTAATATGCAAATTGTCAGCACATGCTATTTGGTACAGACACCAACCACCAAACTCCAGCTACCAAACACCAACCATTAAAATACCAACCACAGAACACCATCCACAAAAAAGTTGGAGACTATAACAATATGTCACGGAGGTGACATAAAAAACCATAATCTGCTTCCACATACAAATAATGCAATATGAATAAAAACCCGAGACTAGGCAGATGGGGTGGCATTGAGCTGAAATGTTCCCTAAAGGAAACAATAGGATATAGTTGATATGGTTACTGAACTGTGGCATCGCATGGCCTCGGTAGATTGAGGAATGTACTATAGAACAGTATTAATATTGCGTTTTAGATCGGGAAGCAGAATAGAATGAAAATGTTGTATATGTATGTTTTAGATCGGGAAGGTGTCTAGTCGAGGGGTAACTGGAAAAGAGGCTAGATTCACAGTGGAATATCCAGAACATTCGCTCAGCTTCAATTCACAGGTAGGTTCTCAGAATGTTTTTTTGCATTTCAAACACTACAGTTGCCCAATATTACTTTAGTTGTCCAATATTACTTTAGTTGCCCAATATAAGTTTAGTTGCCCAATATTACTTAAGTTGTCCAATATTACTTTAGTTGCCCAATATAACTTTAGTTTCCCAATATTACTTTAGTTGTCCAATATTACTTTAGTTGCCCAATATAAGTTTAGTTGCCCAATATTACTTAAGTTGTCCAATATTACTTTAGTTGCCCAATATAACTTTAGTTGCCCAATATTACTTAAGTTGTCCAATATTACTTTAGTTGCCCAATATAACTTTAGTTGCCCAATATTACTTTAGTTGTCTAAGTTTACTCCAAGTTGCCCAACATTATTCACATTTTTTTCAAATTTTACTCACATTTTCCCAATATTACTTGAAGTTACCCAAAATTGGTCACAGTTGTCCAATATTACTCAATTTTAGTAACACATTAAAGGTCGTAAAATACAAAAATAAAAAATTTCAAATGATACCCCATAAGTTATGAAAAAATACAGTGTTTTATCCCCGGGATTTTATCAGAATTTCTGGATCGGCCCATATAAACTGCTACAAGAAAAACAATGAAGACATTTTTGACTTCTTACTACTTTATTTTCGAGAAATATGAACTGAATTTCATGAATTATTTTTTTTATGCCTTTTAATACTTATCATTGTCTGCAGGAGGGATGGTTTTTCCCCCTTGTTTAAAAATTTGTCCATGTCGGTGCTCCAGGAAATTCCAGATCTTGGCTGTTCTGTTAACACCCCCTCTGAATTGTACTTGCCATTCAATCTAGTGGCTCCACATCTTGAATACCACCAGCCGCCACCATTTAAAGACTGGGCACAGTGTACTTTGCCATTTGAGTCATTGTCACGGTCATTCGTGGAAAATTCCCTGTTTCTCATACTCAAAGCTTGGGCACCTGCCGTACCCTCCAAAAATGACCCGATATATGCTTTGTAATTCTCTGTCTCATTAGATATTCTGAAATTCTCATGAATCGAGTAGTACCATGTCCCATTTGGGTGATGAAGATCGAAACGAATTTTGTAATCATTTAACGTTACCAGCTCATGAATTTTCTCATTTCCAAGCCAAAATTCACCATTTAAATCGCCAAATCCATTTTTATATTCATCCCAAATTTTGTCATAGAAACTCACTGTACCGTCAATCCGTCTTTGTATGACACTCCATCCATTGTCAGCCATATTGCAATAGATGTGAAATGGCGGTAGATTTAAATTTGGCTGTATGACGTAACTTCCACTTTTTCTTATCCCCCTGTTAAACCAATCTTCACAATCTCTTGGGGCGGTAACAGCCATTGAATACCACCCGGCATCGACAAATTTCGCCGATTCTGGCACAGGAAACTCACCATAACTGACATGTTCACAAACCCCATCTTTAGGGTTGTAATTCACGGCCCAGCATGTTAAATCGCGTGTGCACTCTGCAGCGCAATCCAGTCTCGTGACCCCTATGTCTGTTCGAATTGCCTGAGCTCGTAAAACTTTGTATTGGTTTATATGATAGGTGTTCTGAATATATACATGTCCAATACACTGATGTAATATCCCAATCATAAGTACAGATGTAAACATTTTAATGATTAATTCCTTAATCATTTATACATGTAGTTTTATACATATATTATTTTTCTTTCATTTCATCCTTTGTATGTCTCTTTCATATTATTGTCTTTTTATTGACATATGCAGATATCTCACCTGGTGTATAAAATAAATCCATGAATCAACTGTTGATAGTATTTAGTAAAAGTTAGTTATAACCATTTTTTGTTTAGTTTTAACTTTGTGTAATTATCATATATTTGTCTGATAATATATGTATCCTCTGGTATATAGAATACTGTACAACCATAAATCAATGGTCGTCAATAGATTTCAACAATTACATGTAGTTAATAATTCTTCATTAATTTTAAGTTTGTGTAATTATCATATACATATTTGAAGACTAATGCAAACTCGTGGCATCTTGTTCATACATCCTAAACATTTTTTAGAATAGATCATATTTCTATCGAGTATGTTGATTTAAAACTCCCGGTAAAGGGAATAATAGACACATACATGCTGTCCATCACTAACAGCAGTTTGTCAAAGGTTGTATTTGAAAGTCATTTTCTGTATTTCTTCGATCATTGCGAGTCTTTGTTGATGTAGTCTGTATAGTATCCAGGGTAATGAAATTCCAATTTTGTTTGCTAAGAGTTTCTTAGTTAAAGTGGCAAAGAGAGAAATGAACAGTGTTGGGAAAAAGTGTAACATTTTTAAAATCAGAACATTTTTATGAAATAAATTCACAATTTTTAATTTTTTTTCAAAAATAGGCAGCATTGACTAGAAATTTTGTGAAAAAATGATGAAAAATTAAGACAATTTCAAAATACTATTCCCAACTCTTGTCCATCCTTTAGTGTCCCTTTAAGAATAAATTGTGTTTCTAAATTGTCTATGATATTTTCTTCTTGATTTGTGTACTTATTCATTCTTTGTGGACTTACGCTGCAGTAAATCTCAATTGCTGAATCTAAATGAAGCTGCAGAATCATTAATGAATAGTTAGGCTAAAGCGATTAATTTCTAAGTTTCACGTCACAATTTCAGTCAATATATTTTTCCCAATAAGTCATGCTTTTGTTTGCTACACAAAAGAAACAGAGATATATTGGCTAGATTTGAAAAAAGCAAGCTGCCCGCTTGTGGTTTAAGCTAAAAAAAGAATATTTTTAATGGAGGATGATCACTCTAATAGTTTGTGTTAGAATGTGAGTATGCTTTATCAGAAGTACTTACAGTTACAGTAGACAATTTTTGTACTTTGGTACATTATTTCATGAGATTTATGTATTGCTATTCTCTCAGATGTCAAAGATTGAATAATGAGAAAATATGAGTGCAAGGTTACTGAACAAAATTTTATATTTTTCTTCTATTTGCCATCAATTTCTGATGTTAGCTTTTAGTAGAACTCTAGTTATTGAGAAATAAAAAGCGGGGAATGTTGCAAAAACGTTGAAAAAAATAAAGGTTGCAAAATAATATTGGGCAGTTTTTAAAAAAGCCAGATATGGCCAAATTATCGAAATCGTTGTTCCCTCTTCAAAAGAGAAGACGCGAAAATCTTTCCTTATAAGGGCAAAATATTTCCCATGATGCAGTTCGCGGAGGAACAAATTTATACTTCCTTATTTTCCCTCATAGGTTTAACATGGGGATTTTCACACCTATTTTTCAAACGATATATTCGTTCATATTCCCGTACGAGAGTACAGAAAAAATTATTAGAAACGATTGATCTCTCATTAATCTTAATATAACAGCTATTTTTTTCATTGTATTAATTCATAGCGTGGTGAAAACGATGATTGAAAAGTGAGAAAATATTCTGAAAGAGAAGGTCACGTGATCAGTAGACTAGTCGCCATATTGGAAAAAACAATTCCATTCGACTTTCAATACTTTCATGCCAATCTTACCGCACTACAAACTGCGACATCGATGCAACAACTGAATAAAAGTATTCATCTTCAAATTACATTATAGAGTTACGTTGAAAACCCACAAACAACTGAGCAGTAGACCAAAGAAGATGCGTCGCTATTATCTAGGTCAATCTGTTCAGTGGTCCGAAAGCAAATGTATAGTACTCGTTTCCGAATTTTGTTGTTCATTGTACAATCTTTTATTGATTAAACTCGGTATACTGACCATTAAAGCAATGACAAAGAAGAATACTTACGATGGTGTCATTGTTTTATTTAGCGTGCGGGTGTAAAAACAAAATTGAGTAATTAGTTTGATTTAGAACTTTCGTGTCACGCAAATAGCTACGCGAAATGCATAGTGGGAAAATATTGACCAATCAAATTTTGTCCTTTTTGAGTGCTTTTTCAGTGCATATTTGCGAACGTTCTGATTCAAAGAGCGAACTGCGAAAAGGAGAATTACCAGCAGCTTAGAACCAATCTGATATCAGTATCTAGACAAGGTGCATAATATTTATTTATACTGGCCTATTAGAATTCACAAAAGGTTTTATTGCCTGGCAGTTTGTTTGTTTCTCAAGGGCTCATTAGTTTTTATGCTTATTAATCCTTAGTGATGCAGTTTTATGGCTTAATCTTAATCTTTGATTATGAATCTAGCTCAGTGATTCACTCGTAACATTTTGTTGATCTTCTGTTTTTCTGTCATAGGTGTAAGCCAGGCCAAATAAAAATATATTGATCCGTTCAATCGAAACTGTGAAAATAAATCAATTGCATTTCTGTATAATACCAGGATGTCAATTCAAGGTTTTTACACAATTTATTTTTAACTCAAAAGCTGTTTATTCACCGACAAAAATGACGTACTTATTTATTTGAAGTAACAAATATTTTAATTGATATTTAGACTATCCAGAATAATTATTAGAAGCCTTGTTAAAATATGTTAAAAATTTGTAATCGGAAAACAATCATTCCTTATTGTATGACATTTGTGACTTTTTCAATAACTTTGTATTGGATCATAATAGGCTTCCAACTTATTGTTTGCAATTAGATAAGCATGATTGACATTTTCATCGCATGTGCTGATTCATTTTAGTCGTTGAAGAGCAGCTTTTGAGTAAAAACTTGTGTGAAAATCTTGTAAAAACGAATAGTTTCAGTTACACATTACACATATTAGGATAACATCCCATGATAATTAAGAGTGTTAAATACAAGGTCATTCTCTTCATTCCTTGCTCCTTCCACTCTTTTCCACTTTATAATCTTTAACACATAGCTCTAACAGTTTTCTTCTCAATTTATCTTGGCTGAAAAAATATATCTTGGCTGATTTTCTTCTGATTTATATATTGTTATTAAGAGTGTTTACTTAATGCCTTGCTAATGCATCTCATTTCTTCATTTTCCACTTAAACACAGAAAGCTGTAACATTTTCCTTCTCATTGGGTATTGTATTTTTATGAGGGTTAATATTCATTTTGCAAGGATTAGCAGATCTATGTTAATCTTTATAATCCTATCAATTCCTGATAAGCATCTCATTCCTGATCCAGTTATTGTTTTTACCCTTCCATAAAAATGTTCTAACTATGTTCTATTTTTATATCCCCACAAAGAATTTGTTATATCAATTGTGTTTTAGTGACCAGTGTTTTTTCCATTAGTCTGTTGTTGTATGTTGGTGCTTGGCTTTTGTTACAAACCGTTACACTTTTGTAACCTTTCACAAGTTAGGTGGCATTTTGCCATGTTATATTGTTGGTAATACTGCTGCAATAAGTCCATGGTTTTAGATTTATGTTTTAATGTTTATCTCAGTCTTTTCAGATTTGTTAGAATGTCTCCCTATTTTTCATTTAGTTGATTAAGTTGAGTTGATTGTTTGTAATATTTTGGAAGGGTTCAAGATTGTAAATTGCCAATAATAATCTTAAGCGAATCTAATGCTCTTTTAATAACTTCCTTGCCCTGGCAACAATTTTAAGACGGTCATGTTTAAAATGTAAAAAGAATGAAATAGAGAGGAATTAGCAAGGAATAAATTAAATGGGCTTATAAGCGATACCCTAACTGAAACAGAAATGCTAGAAAATCAGTTTTTTCTTTAATTTTAAAGAGAAAATCAGTGGAATATCCATGTAATTGGAGGAATTTTATCAATGGGTAATAGGAATTTTATCAATGGGTAACATCTTTATCCTTTTTCTCTAAGCTTAATCAAAGGTAGAATTCAAGAAAATATATTTTCTGTGATATAACATCTTTCTGTTTCACCTGAAACACACATGATGTACTAATACCACAGAATTTAAACTTCATCCTATCTTTTTCACAAGTGAATCTATTCAGTGTTCAAAACTGTCATGACAATTTTTTTATTTTATTTATCTGTTTTGATTCCTCAGGAATGCTTTTGTAGCAGCGGCTCAACAATTGCGTTCGTCCATTTGAACATTTTCATATTGACAATTTGTAAAAAGTATTCCTTTTTCCATCCAGAATAATATTTCTCAATGATATGTCTCGATATGTATAATGATGAATATTCAAAAATCTTGATTTTATCTTTCAGATGACAACTTCAGAGACAAATCTCCCTACATCAGCTAATATTGATCTGCCTCCCATGCACCTCCATGCGGAATACCGGCAACATACTGGGGAAAAAGTAAAGTCCAAGGGCCTCACGGAGGGGCTCGTGTTCAGGGAGGGGAACTATTTCAATGCTGTTGCAGAGGTGAGGTTAACCATTTTTTGGTTTTATATTTACAATATATTCAATCTTTATTGTTATCGTTAATTCTAACGCAATTCAATAATTTTACAGAAACTCCAAGCTTTTGTCTGAAAAAATTGATGATATTTTCTACTTTTTTCTCTAACAATTATTTGTCATTTCTGGAATAAAAAATAATAAATATGTTAAAAGGAAAGGAAATATAATGGTACAATTATAATGGAATAATGATTGTAATGGTACAATTATATTTTTCCAGGTTGGCTCTTTTGAACATAGTCTTACAACAGATCTGCTGAATCACCTGGTCTTTGTACAGAAAGTCTTCATGAAGGTAAGAAATCTTGATGAGGATGTTTCTGTAAGCATCTGTAACATTTGGGGATATACACTTTATTAAGTGTCACCCATTTCATCTCTCTCTCTCTCTACTTCTACAGTGAACAACATTAATAACCTGTAAAATAATATGTGAAAATAAAGATTTATAAAAAAAAGTGTCACCTATTTCATGTTTTATATCTTTGTGTGTATTTGAAATAAATAAATAAAAGATAAATAAGAACTACACTTTTTAACCATTTGAGTGATGGTGACATTTTGACATTTTAATTCCTTGTTTCGTATTAGTTTTTTTCGCTCTTTGCAGCAATGAACAAGTTGCCTATTGGGTAATGGAACAAATTCCAATATGCTCAATACTGGCAATCGTGGTTTCAACATAAATGGTAATATATGGACACAAAATCAGTTAAATCGAATGAATATTTTTCTTTAAATTCTTTTGTAGGAAGTGAACGAAGTGATGCAGAAAATATCTGGGGGAGATAAACCAGTTCCCCTCTGGAGTACCGAAGGACATAAGATACAACAACATGCACCTAACCCACTGTTGTATTCACTTCAATTCAAACTGAAGGTAAGTAATATGTTTCCACAGACCACAAAAATGTGGTTGAAGTAATTCTTTCATTTAAGTATTTTGATTGAATGGTTGATTGACTGATTTGCTTGATTGATTGATTTAATTTAATTCATTGATATCCCTTGATTAGCCCTGACTAATATTGCATAAATGTGATGTCTATATATATTGAAATGAAAAATAATGAAATTAAGACAAAATCTACAGGCTGTCCTCTGATATAAATATTAAGTGTAGTGACTATTCGCAAGAGTTAGCCTGTAGACTTATTAAAAGAAAGTTATTATAAAAGTCTATATTTTCAGGGTATTCAAATCACAGCCAATACTCCCACATCATCTGCAGTGAGATTCGAAACTGGGGCCATTGAATTAGAGCTATCTAACCGAGTACTAAACACCCAAACGCAGCTAGCTCCGCAGAACAAATATCTCAAGGTTTTCATCAAGGCGAAGGTTGATTTGAACCTAGCATTAGGAGAGTTGAACAAGGTGTGTCAATACAAATCAAATTTTAAAAGATCTGATATCATTTAATTCATTTATCAAATATTACAGTGTAAAAAAACATTTTTTCGAGGTCTCCTCTGCCGAAGGCAGCGCGAAGTAGGAGCGTAGCGACTACTTTGCGGGAGACCTCGAACCATTGATCACGTTTGCTCCTGTAATTATTCACTTCTTCACCTCTTTAAAATGTGATTTCAATCAGTAGATCAAATTTTCGGACTCTGACCTCAAATTCAAATATTAATATTTATAAGAAAAAATACTGACTCATATCTATATTTTTAAAACTCTTTTAAATAAAGTGAAATGAAGCCAAAATCAGCTAAAATTATGCAATGTCGTAAAATGGCGTGACTGGAATATGATGCAATCGCCTGTGACGTCAGACACATATTGCCACATCAACAACTAAACAAACAATTAATATAGACTTCACTGATTGGTTTAAAGATTATTCGCATCATTTGTGACGTCATAAACATGTTACCAACAACTAAACAAATAACAAATAGGCATATAGGTTCATTCAGTGCCACGCTCTTGAATCAGTTATAAACAGAATAATCAACAGATATATGAGAGGCTCAGGCATTTTTTGGACTTGGAGACCTCGACTCGAGGAGTTTGCTGCATTTTCTTGTTAGCATTTTCATTCAATTTATTGTAATTTAAAAAAACATACTTGCTGAAATATAAAATAAAATGAATTGTTTGCTGAAAGTAAGCGAATTTTTGTCTGTAAATTCAACCCCTTATTATCGCCCATACAACAGGAATCATGAGATGAGGTTCAGATAGCTATTTGCGAGCTCAAATATAATAGTCACCATATATCCTTGCTTGAAAGTATGGTTTGCCATATATGGTTTAACCTCTTGACTACCTGGAGTGACGAGATTTCTCGTCACCTCTGATATGACCTTGAAACCCAGAGCGACGTCTAATTTTACTAAATTGAGCATCTAAAGTTGTATAGGTTTGTAGTAAAATGTCAACTGGGCAAAAATGAAAAATTCTCTGGTTTCAACCGATTTTAGAGCCTGGGATTCAAGAGGTTAAATAAAGTAAGTGTAGAAGAACCGCTTTTTGCCATACATTTTTAAGTTTTTTTTTCTTTTTACAGACTTTATTAAGGTCACGTAAGTTATATGCATCATTTTTTTCAGAATCCAATGTTTGAGGAGGCCGAACCAGAGTTTCAAACATTGGCTTTCTTCAAAACCCGAATTGAGATTCGAAATGCGTTACAAGATGAGATGATTCCTGGCCAATCAGATGATCAGGAAGCTCTTCTGATATCTCTCTGTCGACCAATCATATTCTTTGAACCAATAGCCGCAGATAAGGCAGTGTTGGTCTGGCTTAACTATAGGAATGCTTATGAGTATTGGAACGAGCAGCGCCTTGGGCTAAATAAAGAGGTATTAAAACACATTAAAATAGAGTGGAAAAGGAATAGAATTGGCAAGGAATAAAGTAAACAGCCATACGGTTGACACTCTAAATTATATAGAAATGCAAGAAAATGTAAATCATTCGTATTTATCTATAACCATCAATGACCAGGTTTCAAAGTGGAAATTTAGAGGAGAAAATGGTGAAATTTAATGGAGTATCTTTGTTTGATGAAATGGGCATCTGTGTACCTTTAATAGTGCAATCTAATGGATTATCTTTCTTTCTAGGTACAACAAGCCACAAGACAAGTGTTTGATAGAATTCCAGTGACCAACATACAGCCAGATATATCCACCCTTGGGACACTGTTCCTACAGCTGACTGTAGATGACATGGGCATCTGTGTACCTTTAATAGTGAAATCTAATGGATTATCTTTCTTTCTAGGTACAACAAGCCACAAGACAAGTGTTTGATAGAATTCCAGTGACCAACATACAGCCAGATATATCCACCCTTGGGACACTGTTCCTACAGCTGACTGTAGATGACATGGGCATCTGTGTACCTTTAATAGTGAAATCTAATGGAGTATCTTTGTTTCTAGGTACAACAAGCCACAAGACAGGTGTTTGATAGAATTCCAGTGACCAACATACAGCCAGATATATCCACCCTTGGGACATTGTTCCTACAGCTGACTGTGGATGACATGGGCATCTGTGTACCTTTGAAGACATCCAAGGTAAACTTATGTAAAGTATGATATTTTGACAAATTTTCACTAAACCATTAAATACGGTTTTTAAACGCTGAATCCTATGGCTTATGGATTTTTGCTACTTGAGTTACATAATTTGATTTAGATGATCCTGAAAAATCTAGTGATGAACTATCCCAAACTTCGATGGGTATGACTATTGACTGTTAATTGTTTACTTTTGACTGATCTTTCATTCATTTATAGTTAGTTGTAAAATATTTTACCATAAGTAGGTAAGTTAAATTAAAACAGTAACTACATGTTTAAATAAAAGTTAATATATGATATTGTTACACATTGTTATTTAGCTTTTGACATTGAACTCGATGGCAGTCTGGCCCAACCAAAACAAATAAAGCCAGTTGTGACATCTATTTATTCAGCTTTAATAGAAACTCCCTTATTACCAATTAACCATGGAATTAAGAGAACATCCTATGCTTTACTCATGATATGATGTTAACAGACTCATGGATATTGATATCTACACTCTCTCGCTACGTTTGCTTGTGCAGATATCATATCCATTCATGGATAAAAATCATATCACTCATAAATCTTACATCTACATGTATAAACAAGACATTTACATGCGCAATGTCACAACCTACCATTTGTTACAGACTCAAATAAATCCTACTTCTACATTGGGCATGTCAATGCCTTGTTTATACGATGTCACAACCTGGAATTCTTAAAATTAGATAATGATTTTCAATATATTTTGACGTACAATAAACTAGGATTTTTGTATTATTGTATTATAGGATGTTATTGGTGTTCCTCAATTGAGTCGCATGATGGATAATGAGCCCGGGTCAGCCCTAGTGCTTACAATAGAGAGCACCCTAATATCTGCTTGCTCAAGGGGGTCCCTAGTCAGTAAAGGAGACTTTAAAGGTATGTGTGCAAAAGAAATGGATAATCCTTTTGACCCAGTGGATAATTCTTTTGACCAAGTGGATAATTCTTTTGACCCAGTGCTGCATACAAACTGGGCAAGAAGAATGCCAAGATTTGAGCTTATTTAGAAGGCCGCTTTTTTATTTAATGTTACGAGCTTGACAAAATCCTAATAGGTTTTCTGACTTGTAAAAGGGACTGGACAATTGATTATGATTATGTATTTGTCAGAAGAGACTCTACACAGCCAATATAATTTGGCATCGAAAAAATTTGGCGCTGTTCCAGCACCGTCTCGACACCATTCCGGCACCAAATCCTTTTGACACCAAAATTTGCCACCGGACTAGTCAGTCCATTTGGTGCCGAAACGGCACCGAAATTTGGCACTGAAACGGTGTCGAAAATCAGATTGCATTTTAGGAGTGTATTGTTAATGGCCTGCGCATGTAAAATTTTGGTGAGGCAATTGCCTCATCTACCTTTTGCCTCACTGCACTGATTGTCCTTATCCTCTGTTGCAGGATTCTGTTTGCGTTTCACCGAGGAGTTTGAGATGTCATGGGACGACTGGAAGCCATCTAGCAATATAAGTCCCGTAATGAATGCATGTGTCGTACCCCAAGGGACCTATGAGGTCTGTTCTAGAACCGTCAATAAACCAGGTATACTATTCTGTCTTATTGAATTGTAACTGGGGATATAGTTCTGTTGCACTTTGAAAAAGTGCTGTATTATAGTAGTTGGGCACAACATTCTTGTTATCAAAATTCCAAGTTCAATTTTTACAGAGACAAGAGCAGACAAGTCCCAAGATGTATTTAGGTTTGGGCATGCTTTGTAAATTACATTTGGCCAATTTGTTTTAAAAGTCAATGATGAATGCAGGTTTCAGGTACCCTAGGGAACCTTCATTTTCACATGTTATTTTTCCCCTGGAAACTCTCCTATGGAAAAATAACACCCAACTTTTTCCGCCTTTCTAGTTTTCATGCATGTAATTAAGTGGTGATTAAATCCATCGCTTCTATTAATATTTCAGATTTGAACAGTCAAAATGCTAAATGGATTCTGAATGTCTTATGGGAAATGAAAGGCATTGATATCCACATAAACACATTGATGGGGCATCTCATAGTTTCTCTTAACCTTTCAGATTGAAACAGTCAAAATGTGAAATGGATTCTAAATGTCTTATATGGGAAATGAAAGGCATTGATATCCACATGAACACATTGATGGGGCATCTCATAGCTTCTCTTAACCTTTCAGATTTGAACAGTCAAAATGCCAAATGGATTCTAAATGTCTTATGGGAAATGAAAGGCATTGATATGAGCACATTAATAAGGCATCTCATAGCTTCTCTTAACCTTTCAGATTTGAACAGTCAAAATGCCAAATGGATTCTAAATGTCTTATGGGAAATGAAAGGCATTGATATCCACATTAACACATTAATAAGGCATCTCATAGCTTCTCTTAACCTTTCAGATTTAAACAGTCAAAATGCCAAATGGATTCTGAATGTCTTATGGGAAATGAAAGGCATTGATATCCACACGAACACATTGATAAGACATCTCATAGCTTCTCTTAACCTTTCAGATTTAAACAGTCAAAATGCAAAATGGATTCTGAATGTCTTATGGGAAATGAAAGGCATTGCTATCCATATGAATACATTGATAAGACATCTCATAGCTTCTCTTAACCTTTCAGATTTGAACAGTCAAAATGCAAAATGGATTCTGAATGTCTTATGGGAAATGAAAGGCATTGCTATCCATATGAATACATTGATAAGACATCTCATAGCTTCTCTTAACCTTTCAGATTTGAACAGCCAAAATGCCAAATGGATTCTAAATGTCTTATGGGAAATGAAAGGCATTGATATCCACATGAACACTTTGATGGGTCAACTTCTCTCTGGACTTGGACAGACTCTTACCGGACTTGCTGGAGACCACTCATCTGATTTGGATGTTGTTGATAGTGGCCTACAGAATATTCCATCTATAAAGGTACAATCACTTTATTTTGATTTTTTAGAGGCTGTCATATGTTCACTCTAAGGTTCCATATTGTGATTGAACAAACGTAAGGTGCTCACGCATCTCAAACTTCCGACCTCATGGTTACAGCACTCTACGCTGCACCCGAACCTCTATTACATCGTCATTTTTGGTCTAATTGATCTAAATAAGCCGGTCTAAGAGACATCGTTGCTATACCCCATTTATCGCCCAAGAACACTTGATGGACGTTTTACACAAAACAAAATGCATCGGAGTCCAACGTAATAACAAATCCCCAGGGATCTAATTTGCTAATTTTGCAACAATTATTTTTCATGATTTTACCGCAATCGCGAAGAGCGCGAAAATAAATCGCACGCAAAAAAATACTGGGAGTACAGTAAACAAATAAATGAATAATAAAAAAAATGAAATAAATAATTTATTAATTGTTTAATTAGTCTCGATAACATGATTGTTTAGTCATATTTCCTGCACAAAAGACAGCAGTATACATACAACTGGATACCTTTGTAACCAATATATAACAAAACCTACATTGACCTTCTTACAGGTGGACCCTGTTTTAAGAAAGCAGTCCACATTGACAGAAGTCCTCCCTGAGTTTGTGTATGACACAAGCATTGAGCCAAAACAGCGTGCTAGACTTATAGAAAGAGAAATGAATGAACAAGCAAAGGTAGGCTTATAAGGACCAGAGATTTATTTCAATAGTTTTGTTTCTATGTTTGATTGATTTGTTTCATCAGATTGTTTTTTTCTTTCCCTGCATTTTTTTTGTTTCCCAATATTTGTGTTTTTTGTTTCACCATGTTGGCTGATCCATTCACCACATTCATTGATTTGTTTCATCACACTGGTTCTTTTGTTTCACCAGGTTGTTCAAGACCTAAAGCAACTAGGGGCCAGCCAACAAACTGTTGAATCTGAGGAACAAAAACTACACGAACTAGAACAAGTTCTATCTAATGACTTCCGTCGCGACGTCATCCAAAAACTTAAACGTCAAAGCGTTAAAGCCACTGCTCTTAAAGACAAACTTGGTTTAGGCTACAAACCGGCACATTACAGGTATGTTGTATATATTTTGTTTATATGATTTGAATAACAAAATAGACATTGTAGATTAAATTAAAATTATTAGGGGTGAGGCAGGCTGTGTGGTGTTCTTTGACCGTGCAAGTTGAGGTTGACCAGATTTTTGTACCCTGGTGTATTGTATGAACAGAGCGAAAGGACTAGGCTCTTTAAATGTTTAAAAATAATTAATTGGTATTAATATAGTACAATATAATTGGCTCGTTTATACCTAATACTAGAATAATGGAAGACCAGCTGTAAGTTAATCAACATTGCATGTTGTGCTGTGTAATTTTGAGGAAAGTCATGGTGGCCATGTTTTAAAATGCAAAATAGAGTGGAAACGAGTGGAATTAGCAAGGAATAATGTAAAGAGTCATGTAGGTGACACTTTAAATTGTATAGAAATGCAAGAAATCAGACACTTCATTCAAATTTTAGAGAGAAAAATGTAAAATATGCAAGACAACCATCATGACTTTTCCTGTTGTTCTTTTTTATGTGAAATATTACAACTCAGTTGTTGTAATTGTTGTTATTCCAATGATTTGATTTCAATTACTCACTTAGGGATGTTGTCAAATTATCAACAGTAGTGGAAATTCAAGTTAATTTTGTTATCTAACGAAATATTAAAATGTTGTTTTTTCTTTCACATGAATATTAAAAAATCAACACTATTCTCTAAAGAAACCAGCATTTAGCCCCTCCCCATAATGACATAAACTTCGTTCTTCCTCAACTGTTGATAATTGAACACTATCCCTTATGTCTGTTGATTCATCAAATCAATTGATTCATTCATTAATAGCCCAGTTGAATTTGCCAAATAGCTAAAATACAGTGTGTGTCCTTTTCTTTTGTTGTTTTGTATAATTACTGTTTTTGGAATGTTATATTTTACTATGATAGGCTGTAGTGAATGTTGCCTTGTGATTTGTTGTAAACCTTCCCTCTTTTACAATACCCTACCACCTTCCTTTTCAGCTCACATGTTTAATTTGAAACTTAATAAGAAATTGTTGTGCATCAGATTTTGATATTATCTTAAATAATCCCAATAATTTTAACTTGACATGTAAAGTATTATTATGATTATAAAGATGATAATTATGAGATTATAATCATTCTGAAAAACGTTCTTAATTCATATAGTCTCGGACCCTCGGGGTGGGGGGGGGGGGTCACAGATGTTTAGCAAGACTGTTATTCGATAGTTCACTTTATTGTGATGTTTTTTTCTCTTATTATTCAATTTTGCAATATTCTTTAATGTATGGGATTGGTCACTCAAAATTCAATCTGAACATGCACAAATGTAACATCTTATCTGAGTATTTAATCTGAATATTCAATTTGGACATTTATTCTGAACATTCAATTTGGACATTTATTCTGAACATTCAATTTGGACATTTATTCTGAACATTCAATTTGGACATTTATTCTGAACATTCAATTTGGACATTTATTCTGAACATTCAATTTGGACATTTATTCTGAACATTCAATTTGGACATTTATTCTGAACATGTACAGATCTGAACATTCAGTGTGAACAAACAGCGAAAGTGTCACTGCTGAGACAGTATTCAATAAACTGAACTTTGATGCGTTTAATTCTATTATTCATGAAAAGTATTGGTTTGATGTGAATATGAATACCTTTTTTAATTTCAGAGGGAATTGGAGGTAGAGTAATGCTTTAATCAAGTAAATGTCACACTTTTGTACAGCTTTATATAGAATGCCTCTTTCTGAAGGCATTTTTCATAAAGCACAGACAGTGTGTACCAAGCACACACACACATACTGTATTTTCAAATCATTTGAAACAAAACTCCACCCTTATAGAAAATGCAGTACATTAATTAATGCTATGGTGGTCAGTAGTGCCTTACTTGTAATTTGCTCGTTCTTTAATATAATTATATATTCAACTTTTAACCAATAATACAGAGGCTTGTAAAATAAAAAATGATTATATTTCACTCCTCTGAGTTTTCCTCAAGATAAAACAATGATTTCTGCAAATTACATTCTGCGGGAGGAAAGCCATTTACACTTGAATTCTCTGGAATTTCTTTCAAAAATGTGAGAAATGAAAATATTGAGTTCCTTATGGTGTGCTACCATCTGGTGAGTAAAACAAAATAATTGAAATTATTCTGTGGTTTAGGACGGAATCATGCATTTTATTAATTCTGAAATACCAAATTTATGTTAGCTCAGCGTGAGATTCGTCATTAATTGAACAAAACTCAAGATTCTGTAAATCTGTAAGTGGATTAAAGTCAGATGAGTGATCTTAATGCTTGTACGTTATATCTTATATGTGGCTTTATGCAATAAAATATCAATAAGCAAAATTAAAGTATAAAACTTGCTTTATATTCAAGGCAACAGCTGAGATTGTATACATATCCAATCTTGAATATGGCCTGAATTAATAATGAAATTGGCTTAGATTCCAAAATAAGGCCTCGCTAAAAAGAGGGCCTCTGGGAGTGCCAGGGAACCTTAAATCTGAATCCTATGACCAGCCTTATAAGAACTCAATAATCATACCAAATAAAAGCTTGATGTTTCAGGTTCTCACTCCACTCTTCATTAGTATTGTGATATGAGCCTGGCCATGGGAAAACCGGTCTTATCACAAAAATTAAAATTGTGCTACAGAGCCAAAAATGTGCTCAAGATTAAGAGGAAAATTTGCTAAATTCAAATCAGTCTTTTGGTCTATATCTGCAAGAAAAAATTGTTAACACGTAAGCCATGGCTAATTTGAAAGGTCTCTTTGTGTTTTTTAAGATAAACAAAAAATCAAAAATTGAAAAATATGTGATAAGATCCCTTTTCCTGTGGCCTGGCTCATATAATCTCTATTGCCAACAAAAACAATAACATTGATTTTGAGCTTTGTTTACAAAACAACATGAATTATTGATAAAGCTGCCACATTTATTGATATTGGCATTGATTGATATTATATTATAAGATTGGCCTGGGAATCACTGTGAGCCTCCATCAATAAAATTCTAGATTCAGAAGATTTGTTGTAATGTTTAGATTTATTGGACTTTCCCCGTTTAACATACAAATTTGATTTTGGAACATTTAACCCTTCAATTTTAAAGAGTTAACTCTTGGATCTGGGGCATTCAATCTTTTAACTTGGGGAATTCAACCCTTGAATTTGGGAAAATCAACCCTTGAGGTTGTGACATTCAACTTTTGAATTTTGGACATTCAACCCTGGATAATCATTCCTTGAATTAAGGACATTTCCCCCAAGGATTATTCTATAGAAAAGTTAAAATAATAGACGAAAAACAATATGTTGTGAAATTGATATTTACAACAAATATTTCATTTTGTTCACTTAGGGATGGAGACCCGGCTCATGAGGAGTAATCTTTATTTGAAAATAGTTTTAGATTTAAAGTTTTAGATTTTGCTTCATGGAGATTTCTAACATTATTCAGTACACAACATCTCTCACATCTCTCAGCATAAATTTATATCTTAGTATAGCAAATTCTTTCAGCACAAAAATATCTCGACATAAAAACTGGAAATAAAAGCACATAATAATCATAACATTATCTTTCAGCATAAAATCAAATTTCACCATATTATATCTGAACAATATTATCAATGCTCAACTTCATATGACATTAAAATGACATCATATGACATATAAATGATGATGTCATTCGTCTCAAATCAGTTATCAAAATTTAAAAAAATGAAAAGATGTTGTGTACTGTTAAATGAAAAATCCAGTGTGTTGCTTCGATTTACTTCCAAATGCAGTTTTAGAAAATGAAATTGCTTAAATTGCACAAATGCTAATACTCAATTTTTGTATTGTATTTATTTCAACAAATGCAGTTTTATATATAAAATCACCGGATCCACTCATCGGACCAAACATAGTTGGTTCTTAATAGATGTCTCTCTTTTAGAAGGTTTGACGCACTTTAGACAAATTTTCTGTATTTTTTAACTTTTACACAAATATATGAAAACTTTTATGAAAAATCTTTACATTAGTTCATTACTTTACCATTAGGGGATCATGTCAATATATCAATATTGTCCAAAATGTGATGAATTATTTTTCAAATTGAGCCATCCCCTCAATAGCAAAATGCATAAGAACCTTTTTGATTTTTCAAATAAAGGTTGATTTTTTTACCTTTATTGATTTTTCAAATAAAGGTTGATTTCTTTAAAAAAAATGTCAATACAAATATATTAATTACTTAACATTATGGAATTTTCCCATTTCTTATATTTGATTATGTTTGTGGGCACATTGGTATATTGTCATTACCCTTAAATTTGTGATTGCTTTAAATATTGTAATTTATTCTTGCATTATAAAGACAAAATATAATATCATTAAGTATCAACTCTACTATTGGTAGTAAGTAGATCTAGTTAAAAAAATTGATAAAAATAAAATGAAAAAACTAGTGTTTGTCAGTGCTTTATAGATAGGAATTACGGCAATAGTACATATGTTAATTTATACAATAAAACAGAGTGTTCAAATTTTATTATCGAAATATTGCTTATATTACACACATTAATAAGAGAGAAGGCATATTTATGATCAATTGAAAATTACCTTTATTTTTCTCAATAAAATAGATTATTGTATATTAATAGATAAGAGGTATTATACTACTTACTTCTATTTAAGGTTACACTTTATGCCTTGCTTAAATATTATGACATCAACTTCCAGATCTAAGTCAACGAGTGCAGGGATGCATGCGTGGAAGAAAAAAGATTCAATAACGGACAAAGAGAAACTTTTCCGCACAAAGAAGTCTGTTCATCCTTCGTTATCGCATAATCGCACTCAGTCCTTTGACTATACAAAGATTGAAATACCTACCGTCACATTTAATAAAAGCACAGACCATTCCGACTCTGATTTAGAGTAAGTAGTGTCTAAATATCGTGAAGAAGCTGTAAAGCCAGAACATTTTGATCGACCTTTCCAATAAATCTTGACCGCTTTTGGTAAATTAAAGAATTGGCTTAATTTATGATTTCATACTGTTGGATTTTTAGATTGAAGAGAGCAAAAAAGTTTTTCGAAATTAACTCTCAACTCATCTCTTGAAGTTGTTTTTTTTATTCCCTTTTTTTATTCATAGAAAACATTTTTATGGTGTTTTTAAGAAAGTTTAATTTTAAAAAAGTAAAATTTAATCTTTAACATGTATTTTAGCTTAGATGACATTGATTTACTCAGCAAAACATTGGACGATCCCTTTGATTCCAAGATAAGAAAAAGCCCTAATATTCCGCCAAGACGTCCATTAGAAAGAAAACCGGCGATTATTGCTGAGAAAAGTGATGGGAGCTCTTCAAGTGAGGAGGCTAATTTGGAAGATGTGTATCTAAAACACGCATCTGAAAGGTAACCTAAAGAAATTAAATAAATCGGCTTATTTGATAAAATTATGTATTATTCCTGATGCATTAAATCCAAGATTTTTACTGTTTTAACAGCCAACGTTTCAGCTAGTTTATTTTAATGAAAATGTACAACTGTGATGACACTAGTTTGTGTTTATGTATCAATTTATTAAGTGAAAACTGTCCTCTTTCAGAACTCACGGTCCCCCTCCCCCAGTGGTCACCAGAAAATCAAAGTCCTCTACGAGTAAAGAGTCCACTGCGAGCATGGGAAGTGGAGGTAGCGGGAAAAGTGGCAGTACAACGGAGATTGGAATCGACTTTGAGTTTGATTTGAAAGTTGAAATTGAAAGTGGGCAATGCGTGCTGCATCCAAAACATACTGAAGATGCAGAAGAAAATGTGAAAAAGTAAATTTCATTTTTCAATGTTTGATTGGTGTGGAAAACTAAAAGGCTTGTGATTTTTTAGAGGCTTTTGTAGGGTTTCAAACATCGGCAATGCAAATCTGAATAGGAGGTGCAAAACTAAGTAAACAATATAGGATATTCATGGCTGGGGCATAGTCTTAAAATTGTTCGTCTATTTCCTGTGAAATATTGTTGAGACAAATGCCTCATAGATACTGTAAACTCCCTGTTAGGAGATATTTACCTAGATAGGCATATCTCCCTCTCGATAAACCCCATATCCAAAACCTTCCAGTACATAACCCTTATGTAACATATATGTATGATTCTTACTCCTTTGTTCCGCCATTGTAGGGGAGTTAAGAAAACTATGTCTGGCCTTTCATCGGACAGCAGTCCCATTTTGGGGAGGAAGAAAACAGGGAAGAAAGATTCAACAGCCAAGTTGAAACAACAGCAGAGTCAGCAATCATTAGAGAATACAACGTTCTTCCTCCCTGGATTGGATGTTAAGGTAAATATTTTCAAAATTTAATTAAGATTTAGGGGTAGAAGACCCAATACAACGTTCTTCCTCCCTGGATTGGATGTTAAGGTAAATATTTTCAAAATTTAATTAAGATTTAGGGGTAGAAGACCCAATACAATGTTCTTCCTCCCTGGCTTGGATGTTAAGGTAAATGTTTTCAAAGTTTAATTAAGTTTTAGGGGTAGAAGACCCAATACAACGTTCTTCCTCCCTGGCTTGGATGTTAAGGTAGGTGTCTTCAAAATTTAATTAAGTTTTAGGGGTTGACTACACTAGCCTTTAGGAAGACCCGATACAACGTTCTTCCTCCCTGGATTGGATGTTAAGGTACGGGTCTTCAAAATTTAATTTAGTTTTAGGGGTTGACTACACTAGCCCTTAGGAAGACCAAATACAACGTTCTTCCTCCCTGGATTGGATGTTAAGGTACGGGTCTTCAAAATTTAATTTAGTTTTAGGGGTTGACTACACTAGCCCTTAGGAAGACCAAATACAACGTTCTTCCTCCCTGGCTTGGATGTTAAGGTAGGGGTCTTCAAAATTTAATTTAGTTTTAGGGGTTGACTACACTAGCCTTTATGAAGACCCAATACAACGTTCTTCCTCCCTGGCTTGGATGTTAAGGTAAATGTTTTCAAAGTTTAATTAAGTTTTAGGGGTTGACTACACTAGCCTTTATGAAGACCCAATACAATTTTCTTCCTCCCTGGCTTGGATGTTAAGGTAGCGGTCTTCAAAATTTAATTTCAGTTCTTAGTTTTAGGGATGGGTTACACTAGCCTTTAAGTGGACCTAATATTTTGTCATTTAAGCCTAAAGATGTGTATTTTTAGCTACATTTAAAAAAGGCTTGATGTTCGCTGAAAATTGGTCTCTTTGAAAAAATGGGGATATTTTTATTTAAAATTTGGGCCAAAATAGATTAATGTAGTATTAATGTCAGAATTGGAAATTATATGAGAAAAAACAACATTCTGCCTGCTTTGAATTTTGTAACAAAATGAATTCATTACCGATTAGATTATTGTGGGTACAATCCCATTATTGGCACTGTTATTAAATGAACATTGACGTACAACCAAAAAAAGTCACATTTAAAGATATTGTTAATGTATTTCAATTTAAATGATGTACATGTATTTACTTTGCAAAGCTGTACACTTTTTTGCAGATCACTTATTTTTAGATTTTTAGATTTGCTGTTCTTCGAATTCCAGTTCTATTTTGATATTTTCAGTTAATTTTCAGTCCTATTTTGGTATCCAAAGTAAATATCTTTGTCCAATTTGTGATGGTGCTATACTAATCAAAACATTATCCTATTTCACTATTCCAAGCTCATATCCAATCCTATTTTTCGCAATTTCTCCCCGTAGTATTCATTCATGCGTTCATTTTGGGCAACTGTAAATGTATCTTTCCATCCATCACTCGTACCTACAAAAAGTATCATTTTTGTATTTAAGTATTTTATAATGAGATTAAAATGCAATTTTTAAATAACAGATTTGTATACACAATAGTCCCTTTTTCATGCCTTGACAATGATGTTAATAAATAAAATATTATATTTTACTTTATTTTTATTTTACTTTGACACAGCCCCAAATCATTTATTTCCCATACCTTTTCCCATATGTTGCAAAGAATCATCTTTCATGTTTAGAGACTCCCGTCCAGCCTTGAAGACGTCATTAGTTGCTGGGTTCTGGCTCATGTTTGAGAATTTAAGATGTTCCGCCATCTGGCCTATTGTCTCATCAGGGATGTCTTTTCCAAGGAATTCGGCCACATCTTTTATGACCTTCGGCATATCCTATAGAAAATTCAAACTATATAAAATAAGTTTACTGGTAGGAATCCTTTACCCTATTTTGGCAAAAAAAGGTTCTAGTTCGTTAAAATCTGTACTATTTAATAGGCAGTAGTGAATACAGATTGTAGAATACAGAGTATGGGATATAGATGGTGAATACAGATTGTAGAATATAGAGTATGGGATATAGATGGTGAATACAGATTGTAGAATACAGAGTATGGGATATAGATGGTGAATACAGATTGTAGAATACATCTGGTGACATTTCTTTACTCAAATCATTGGATAACATGAAATACACATACTGACCTGCTTCATGTCTTCAAATCTTATGAACAATATTTTGTTTCCCAAACTTTCCCTGTTCACCCACCATTTCTCCACTGCATCTATCCATGGCCCAAATGGAACTGAAATATAAATTGATTTCTTGACTCAAATCAAGGCCATTATAAGTTATTCAATGATTCAAATGAAATACAGAAAATATTTTTCCCGAGAAGGTCTGTATTTCACCACCCGGTACTAACTTCGACCGTTGATTTGAATTTTTGACCTACCAGATGCTCGAAAATCAAGGATTGCGGGTCTCATACTGCACCGTTTTTTTCTTCAAACTTATACCATTAAAAGCAAAACAAAATTGCCTTTCTGTCGGTGCATTATTTTATTGTAAAGAGTCCCTCATTCTAGCAGCGCTTTGGTCCCCAGCTGTTAGAAGGCCTCCTTACAGCTGGGGACCAAAATGCCGCTGGAAGTAGGGACTCTATTTAAGAGAATAAAGTACCCACAGAAAGAGATTTTTGTTATGCTTTGAATGGAACAAGTTTGAAGAAAAACGGTGCAGTATGAGACTCGTAATCCTTGATTTTCAAACATCCGGTAGGTCAAAAATTCAAATTAACGGTCGAAGTTAGTACCGCATGTTCACGATTCGCTAGCAGATTGATATTCCTTCAAAATCTTTTCGGACTTGTTGTTTGCTAAAATATTTTATTATACAGTATGTTTGATTTTCTTTCTTTTCTCTTCAATTTCATCTGCTGGAAATGCAGTGTAGCGAAACGTTTTTTTACTTTCGTCTGCCATATTGGATTTTTACTAGTTCTTACAAACAATGTGCATGCTTCATATTGATTTCTTATATTAACAGATGCATGTTTTCATCCTAAATTTATAAATTGTGATGATCTACTGAAAGCGATAGGGGACATGCGCATAATTCAAAATCGAATGGAGTTTTAACATGGGAGTGATATCACACACCGCGGCCCAGTCAAGTAGATTTTATCGCTCACTGAATGAATTACAGGGGCCGCGTTGTGCAAAGTTAATTAAAATAAAGTGCGCAGAAATTCCGGCATTCAGTGCGCGATGAAAAAATGATTATCTGTGAATAAAAAACGAATAAAAATTCGTGGCACCACGAATTTGATTTTTTTCAAAAGACTGCGGAGTGAACCAGCGAAATGACAATTTTGGATAATATTGATGGCTCTAACGAGGAGAACTTTGAGATTTCCTGATTCTAGCGCGCAGCACATCCAGGACATGCTTACTTTTATCAGATTCGATTCTAATATGGTTTCAAAGATAATGTTCATTAAAAGAGGGCGTATGCATACAGATTACACGTGGCGTTGTGTTGAAGTGACCCTTGCAAAGGGTTCCATTGAAAATATATTATTTTGGGCCATTTCATATCTTTTAATTGATATTGTATAAAATATTTTCAATGTTTGAAAATTATAATCTTATAAATAACATTTTATGTAATAAAACTGTAACGAAATGGTAAATACGGAATATGATGCAATACAATGCAGTGCAATATGATGTTATACAATGCAGTGCAATATGATGCAATACAATGTGGTGCAATATGATGTAATACAATGCGGTGCAATATGATGCAATACAATGCAGAGCAATATGATGCAATACAATGCAGTGCAATATGATGCAATACAATGTAGTGTAATATGATGCAATACAAAGCAGTGTTATATGATGCAAAAAATGCAGTGCAATATGATACAATACAATGTAGTGCAATATAATACAATAAAATGCAGTGCAATACGATGCAATACAATACAGTGCAATATAATGCAATACAATGCAGTGCAATGCAATACAGTGCAAAACAATGCCGTGCAGTGCAATACAATGTAGTTCATTTCAATACAATGCAGTGCAATACAATGTGGTACAGTGCAATACAATGCAGTGCAATACAATACATCGCAGTTCAATACAGTGCAATACAATGTAGTGCAATGCAGTGCAATAAAATACAATACAGTGCAATTCAATACAATGCAATACAACACAGTGCAATACAGTGCAGTGCAATACAATACAGTGCAATACAATACATCGCAGTTCAGTGCAGTGCAATACAATACAGTGCAATACAATACATCGCAGTTCAATACAGTGCAATACAATGTAGTGCAATGCAGTGCAATAAAATACAATACAGTGCAATTCAATACAATGCAATACAATACAGTGCAATACAAAACAATGCTGTGCAATAGAATACAGTACACTGCAGTACAATACAATGCAGTGCAATAAAATACAATGCAGTGTAATAAAATGCAGTGTAATTCAAGACAATGCAATACAATACTGTGCAATACAATACAGTGCAATATAATACAATGCAGTGCACTGCAATGTAATGCAATACAATATGGTGCTGTGCAATATATTGCAGTGCAATTCAAAACAATGCAGTGTAATACAATGCAGTGTAACACAATGTGGTACAGTGCAATACATTATAATGCAGTGCAATACAATACAATGCAGCACAATACAATGTAGTACACTGCAATACAATACAATGCAGTGCAATAAAGTACAATGCAGTGCAATATAATATAATACAGTGCAATACAGTACAATATAATGCAATAGAATACAATACAGTGCAATACAATAAAATGCAGTGAAATACAATAAAATGCAGTACAATACAATACAATGATGTGCTATACAATACAATACAATGCAATGAAATGCAATTCAATGCTATGAATGTACACCTTCTACAGTCAAATAAACACAGATAAAATTGTAATAGTATGTTAGTGTATGGAGTTTGAAGTGGGTTGGGGATACAATTTCCAGTCTGCTGATTGATGACTTAATAACTTAGAAAAGATCTCCTAGCTTTTAACAGGTGGCACTTATGTCTACCTTATGTTCTTGAACAATCTCGTCTAAGAATACAGACCCGTATCCTGGATTAACCTGGGGGAGTGGTTTTACCAAGGGGGAGATTTTGCCAAGAGGGGGGAGCTTTTTGACAGTTATGGCAAAAAATCATGCGAAAAGTGCTAAGAATGGTGAAAAACTGCATGATTTTGAACGAATATTTGGCAAGGGGGAGGGGGGTGAGGCCCCCTGGCTACGGCCATGGAATACATATAGGAACTTTCCTTCTACCAGAAGAAATGGTATACAGGTATTACATCAATCATTCTGGTATTTTGTATACGAAGGTCTGTAGATACTTTATTGAAAGATGGCAGTGTACACCGTGTACTACCATTTTGAGGTCAGTTTGACTTTATAATTCTGCGCACTATAATCTGTAATTCTCATAGATATCCTCTCTAGAGGCATCACTGTGATCCAAAATTACAATTTCGCAGGTCAAGTCTGCAGTCTTTCGAAAAAAGTTGAATTCGTTGTGCTACCCTTTCTTGTTGGGCATTTATTAACAGAAAACTATAATTACATCGCGCCAGCATATACAAGCTTCAGCGCGATATTTTGAGTGTGGTAATAAATAAAGTGCGCAGAAATCGATCTTACTGGGCCGCGGTGTACGATATCACTCATAAACAATTTTTAATTGCGCACTGAATGAATTACAGGGGTTGTGCAAAGTGAATTAAATAAATAAAGTGCGCAGAAATATATCTGACTGGGCCGCGGTGTGTGATATCACTCCCATGTTAAAACTCCATTGAATTTTAAATTCTGCGGTGTATCCCCTTTCACTTTCCGTAGATGATCACAGTATCATTTCCTGATATTTAAATCTAATATTTCTAGCAAAATGCAAAGATTAGCACACATCGGTGTAAATTAATCGGCATTGATTTTTTCAGTAATAGTCATATCCTGGATATTGTTCACCCTGTGCCTTGTTATTTTATGGTAAAATGTACAGTTTATTTATGAATGAACATCATGGAGTACAGATATCATCTACTGCACTTAACGTTAACACATACTCGATCAACAGTTATCTAACACTAAACAACAAGTCAAGTGGTGTTTGAAAAACCAAGTATCACAATTCAAAACCTCATGATACTGTTTGTACAATACTTACAATTGGCTATGTCATCTGTTAGTTGATATTTTAGCAATAATTCTGCATCAGGTTTTTTCTCATAAAACATATCATTTGCGGATGACTGGTTTAACTTGTGGAAACTCGCTAGCACAGATTTGGGGTTCCTGAGAACGATTATTACCTAGAGTAAATAGAAAAAATCATTTAGATGTCAAATAAGTTTGTCAAGTAGGTAAAATGTATAGTTCGATATCAAGAATATGAGAGAAGAAACAATTTCATATATGGAATGTTGGAAGAGTTTAAATTCCATATATGGAATATGGAAGGAGTAATGATTTAATACAAGTAATGTGAGGGGAGCTTAGATTCTATACATGGCATGGCATGGTTTCAGTGTCACTCATTTATCAAAGTGCATATACAGTAGTTAAAACATTTTCTTTTTTTTTATTTATATATTTATACAAAGAATACACAAAAGGTACATATTATATATAAGGCAAATGGGAGAAATTAAAACTTCATATTAAGGAATGTGGGGGCAGAAGTGAGTAGCTCCCACAATTCTTCCATATTCTATCGTATACTGGGATTCCCCATTATATGACGTCCAATCAAATTGTAGTATGTGATCACTTGAGCAATCATGAGCACGTGCTCATTCAGTGCTGCGCATGCGTGAAGTGAAATTTTAAATCGTGGAAATTGCGTTTATTTCAGTTTAACATCGTTTCAACATCATCATTTCAAAACTATGATAATACTATTGAAGTTACTCGATCCAAACTTGTAGAGAATACTCATAAAACAACAGCGAACATTCCGAGATCCATTTCAATGACAAATGAGGCCTGTTTACAAATTGGTCATCGAACGTGCCGAATACTACAGGTCATCTTTGGGAAATCTCCATGGGGGAGTTTGAATTTCTATATTTATAGGAATGTGGGAGGAGTTTGAATTTCTATATTTAGGAAAGTGAGAGCAGTTTGAATTATGTATAAGGAATATGATATGAACTTGGATTGTATATTTGGCAACCTTAGACACTCACTTATCCTATCATACTGAAGATGGCCAAATAAGTACAGAAATGAATCAATTCCATATATTGAAGGAATGCAAGTGGAGTTGTGATTCCATATAAGGAATATGGGAGTTCTTGAATTCCAAATATGGAATTGTTGTTCCCTACCTTACATTTGGCCTTTCTCACATCTTCAGGAAGCATATCATAACCCAAATGAGTGGAAAACAGTCTTGGTGATGGTTCTTTCTCGGCCTCTTCCATGGGGTTTGGCCCCCATTCACCTGCAAGGGCATCCACTTTTCCTTTTATAGCTGAAAGAGCAAAAAGAGCAAATCGCAGTGTTCCATACTTGATAGGAATATCTCATTATTATGTCACCACCAGAAAGTGGTGACATATTATAATGCTACAGTCTCAAATTTTTTTGTGAAACATATTTAGTGGTTGGTGTTTGGGATTTGGCTGTTGGTGTTTGGTATTTAGTGGTTGGTGTTCAGTGTTTATAACAAATGGCAGATTGTGACATTTTGCATGTTAATGCTTTATTATGCTTTTCCCTTTTAAAAATGACCATATAAGACAATTTTTTGACAATGAAAAGTTAAGATACTTCAATAGCTATTACATACTGGTACTGTCTAATAAATTTGTTCGTCAATATCAGCCTTAAAAATTTACCAGGTTTTGAAAACTCCATCCAGATACTTCTGTCGTGTATATGGACATCTTTGACAGCATCTATGTCCCCATTGGTCATCACCAAGTTCACCATAGCAATGCTCCAGTGGGTGCCTAGAAAATGAACAGATTCTTTATGTTATTTTTGACCAAATGAAAATTAAAAAGTTACTTTATTGTTGCTAAAACTCTAAAAACAAAAACGTTTAAAAAATTACAAAGAGTTTTTTGCAAGGGTTAAATGCTCAAAACTACTGTCAACACTTACCATTTGACCTTTGACCTGCATAAGCACTTGCCTTGCTATTCCTTATGATACTATTTATAGGTTTTCAGTCAACTTAAATCTTTAGTTTTTCTAAAATGAAGTATGCACTTTGAGTATTTTTAGAAAATTGACATGACAAGCAATAATATGAGCTAAAAATATTCTAAAATTGAAACACATTTTTTTGATTAGGTTACTTTCTAGGCATGATTCTCCCTTTTAAGAAATGAATACTCTTACCAGATCTGGGATATGAACTAAGCACAACATCGTCTTCCCGCATTTTGTAGTTGTCCATGTTTTCAATGCAGTCAAGATGAGTTGAGACTGTGGTGAACAATCTCCCCTTGATGAGCCTACTACGCTCTGTCAGCATTTTCGAGTCTTGAAAAAAAGCCATTTTTCTGATATCTAGTAAATTGTTGTAGATTGTTAGTTGCCTGGCTTCTTAGTACTGGTGTCTCAAAACGTGGAGAATCCAATATTTTTTGGTTGATGTTATACAGGTGTCTCAAAGTGCAATGTCTGTCTTAACAGGCATTTCACAATCATGTGTAATATTAAATCTTGTTATGAAAATTACTCTGTCAACTACTTGTTCATTGTATGTTATCAGTTAATGTGTATATACAGCTTATTGACCTTGGACTACACTTGAAAATACACCCAACTCTAATTCTAAATAAAAGGGTAATGCTTAAAAATGGTGTATTAAATAGGGAATTAAAAGCAAACAATATATTTAACTGTATAGAAAAGCAGATGATCTGACAGTTCAAAAATATATTTAAGGTGATGTATGCGTCACATATAAGATTATGATAGTAAACTTTAGGACCAAAGTTCATTCTGCAAATACAGATAGGCAGATGTGCAGTGTACTTTTAAGTGATATAGCAGTCACTGTAACTCTCAGTTTTGCTTACATATTATTTTCACTAGTTATTCATTATTCCCACCTCTTATTATTTTGTGTCGTGAATAATCAGAAATCATGTTTCTTACATTTGTATACATGCTTTTTGACTACTATACATATTTACTTGTTCCTTGTGTACATTATTTACCCTTATGTATTTTTTTCTTGACCCTTGTGCACACCCTTCTTAACCCTTGTACTGCTTGTCTATTTTGCACATTCTTCTTTGTGCAATTTTTTTGACCCACATGAAACTTTACTTGGCACTAGCAAACCCACATGAAACTTTACTTGGCACTTGCAAACCCACATGAAACTTTACTTGGCACTTGCAAACCCACATGAAACTTTACTTGGCACTTGCAAACCCACATGAAACTTTATTTGGCACTTGCAAACCCACATGAAACTTTACTTGGCACTTGCAAACCCACAAGAAACTTTACTTGGCACTTGCAAACCCACATGAAACTTTACTTGGCACTTGCAAACCCACATGAAACTTTATTTGGCACTTGCAAACCCACACGAAACTTTACTTGGCACTTGCAAACCCACACGAAACTTTACTTGGCACTTGCAAACCCACATGAAACTTTACTTGGCACTTGCAAACCCACATGAAACCTTACTTGGCACTTGCAAACCCACATTAAACTTTACTTGGCACTTGCAAACCCACATTAAACTTTACTTGGCACTTGCAAACCCACATGAAACTTTACTTGGCACTTGCAAACCCACATGAAACTTTACTTGGCACTTGCAAACCCACATGAAACTTTACTTGGCACTTGCAAACCCACAAGAAACTTTACTTGGCACTTGCAAACCCACATGAAACTTTACTTGGCACTTGCAAACCCACATGAAACTTTATTTGGCACTTGCAAACCCACACGAAACTTTACTTGGCACTTGCAAACCCACACGAAACTTTACTTGGCACTTGCAAACCCACATGAAACTTTACTTGGCACTTGCAAACCCACATGAAACCTTACTTGGCACTTGCAAACCCACATTAAACTTTACTTGGCACTTGCAAACCCACATGAAACTTTACTTGGCACTTGCAAACCCACATGAAACTTTACTTGGCACTTGCAAACCCACATGAAACTTTACTTGGCACTTGCAAACCCACATGAAACTTTACTTGGCACTTGCAAACCCACATGAAACTTTACTTGGCACTTGCACATATTATGCTTGTATACATTCTATTTTACCATTGTGCACATTCCTTTTGACCCTTATGCACATTCTAATTGACCTTTATGTACATTATTGACCCCTGTGCACATTTATTTTGACCCTTGTGTACATTGTGTACATTCTACTTCACCATTGCGTACATTCTTGACCCTTGTATACATTCTACTTACCCTTGTGCATATTTTGCTTGAGCTTTGCTAATATTCTACTTGAATCTTCGGAAATTATCCTATGCAGGCAGTACTTGCAGAAAACGCCTGTTGCAGATATCATATCGTGTGTGCTCAATGCAGAATGACCAATTATTTTTGAATCCAATTTTCGAAATATTTTTACTAAGCCATGTAGGGTATTCAGTTATATTCTCATGACATCCGCATCAAGCTTTTTATTCAAGCACCATCTTCATAGAGTAGGGATGATACACTCTACTCCATGAAGCTACTCAACATGACCTAACTATCTTAATGATCTCAATACATGCTCTCCTTTCTTCCAGGTCCACTATGAATCCAAAGCAAATTCCAATTCAACAGAGAGTCCATCAGGTTCATTAAATCTGACCTGCCAGTCTTAATGATCTCAATGCATCCTCTTTTTTCTTTCAGGTCCACTATGAATCCAAAGCAAATTCCAATTCAACAGAGAGTCCATCAGGTTCACTGAAACCAGACATTTCAGCTGAAATTTTAGAGAACACCAGCAACACCTCACAAGCATCTGCCACAAAGAGACCAGGCAACAAGAAGGCCAACTTGTATGCATGGGTGTCACTTCAGAAACTACCTGAGGTAAAATTAGATTATGGTTTAGATTTAAGAAAAATGGCAATAAATATGTTTTATTGCCTCTGTTTTCTTCGTGTGATTACTTTCAGTGGTTGGTGTTAGGCAGTTGATATTTTGCATCCAGGCCTGTAGCCAGAAATTGCTGAGGGAAGATTCACTTTTTCAGAAATTTTAGGAGACGTTGACTTTTGAAAGTTTTGGCCCAAAGTGGCCAATGTCACTCAAAAGGTGCTCAGAATGGTGAAAAACTGCATGATTTTGAAAGAATTTTTGGCCAGAGGGGGGGGGGTACACAGAGTGTACATGTGAAAAGTGCTTGAAGGTACATACTTCCCACATGAACTGCAATTATATGTTTCACTTATTCCATAAAAATGTAAACCAGTAAGACTAGGAAGGATGTTGTTTAGAATTTTACAGTTGAAATCCTCTTGAGTTGAATTTTCTCTTTACACTTTCATTTTGTAGAGAAAAAGCTTTGCCAATTTATTTCATTGTTAAAAAACAAATCATACGTTCTCATTTATTTTAGTACATAAACCATTTTCTATTCATTTATTTTTCAAAATTTCATAGAATTTAGATTTCTAATTTCTAATTTGTAGGAGATGTTAATCAGTCCAACCCTGTTGGATTACCTTGAACAGACCCTGGAGCCAATTCATATGGAGGCTTGGTATCTTTCAAAGGCACATGCTAAAGGTAAATGCGCAATTATGTGAAGGTGGAAATGAAAATCCAACTGCTTGTCCATTAAGGATTTACGCCCTTGACTCAGTGCAAAAAGGAAGCACAATTCCTATAGTACATTACGAACGGTAATTTCTATATAGTATAGTATAGTACAAGGGAAGGGCAATTTCTATAGTACAGTACATGGGAAGGGCAATTCCTATAGAACAGTACAAGGGAAGGGCAATTCCTGTACTACAGTACACGGGAAGTGCAATTCCTATAGAACAGTACAAGGGAAAGGCAATTCCTGTACTACAGTACACGGGAAGTGCAATCCCTATAGTACAGTACAAGGGAAGGGCAATTCCTGTACTACAGTACACGAGAAGGGCAATTCCTATAGTACAGTACAAGGAAAGGGAATTCCTATAGTACAGTACAAGGGAAGGCAGGGCAATTCCTATACATGAAGTATATATACAAGGGAAGTGCAATTCCTATAGTACAGTACAAGGGAAGCGCAATTCCTATAGTACAGTACAAGGGAAGTGCAATTCCTATAGTACAGTACAAGGGAAGGGCAATTCCTATAGTACAGTACACGGGAAGGGCAATTTCAATAGAACAGTACAAGGGAAGGGCAATTCCTGTACTACAGTACACGGGAAGTGCAATTCCTATAGAACAGTACAAGGGAAGGGCAATTCCTGTACTACAGTACACAGGAAGTGCAATTCCTATAGTACAGTACAAGGGAAGGGCAATTCTTGTACTACAGTACACGGGAAGGGCAATTCCTATAGTACAGTACAAGGGAAGGGGAATTCCTATAGTACAGTACAAGGGGAAGGCAGGGCAATTCCTATACATGTAGTATATATACAAGGGAAGCGCAATTCCAGTACAGTACAAGGGAAGCGCAATTCCTATAGTACAGTACAAGGGAAGGGCAATTTCTATAGTACAGTACAAGGGAAGGGCAATTCCTATAGTACAGTACACGGGAAGGGCAATTCCTATAGTACAGAACAAGGGAAGGGCAATTCCTGTACTACAGTACACGGGAAGTGCAATTCCTATAGTACAGTACAAGGGAAGGGGAATTCCTATAGTACAGTACAAGGGAAGGGCAATTCCTGTACTACAGTACACGGGAAGTGCAATTCCTATAGTACAGTACAAGGGAAGGGGAATTCCTATGGTATAGTACAAGGGGAAGGCAGGGCAATTCCTATACATGTAGTATATATACAAGGGAAGCGCAATTCCAGTACAGTACAAGAAGAGGGCAATTCAGGTCCTCCAGAACAATATTAATTTCAATTTCTCAAATTATAATGCAATGAAAAGCAATAATATAACATTTAAAAGTATAACCCAACAAGGAACTTGTGCAGTGCAACCAGTGCAGAAACAATGAAACATAATATGCCTTGGTATCAAAGACAATCGCGAATAATATTATGATTTGTTGTCACTGTAGCTATGCAGTAATAATGAAATTTTAATGTTATCAATTGTATCAAAATAACCCTATCGAGATTGAGACAAACAGAAATATATGAAATTGTTAGCAAGAACAATAACAAAATTGTAACAATGAGAAAATTGTTTCAATAACAAAAGTGAGATCGTAACAAAATTGAAACAATAGCAAAACTGTGACACTAGATTCTTTATTATTAATTCAGAAATATGGAGAATGGAGATCAAGTATTTCTTGATTGTTAACTACAAAGAGTTAGAAAGTAAAACAAATCTCAGTTTAACCTCAGTCAATTTATTACTTGATACAATGATTGTAATGTCCCTTGGTGTTCTGGTCCTGGATTGTGATATTTGGATCTCAATTGGAGGGTGGAAGACATTATTTCTTTTCACTTTAGATCATGGTTTTGGGATATATAGCGTGTATTTTTCTTATGACAGGTTTATACTTAGAGTTTGCTTTTCTTTACAGTTTTTGTTCCTTTGGCTTTGTGCTTAGATATTTAACCTCTTGACTACCTGGAGTGACCAGATTTTTCGTCACCTCAGAAATGACATTGAACAGAGTCACGAGAAAATCTGTCACAAAATGCTTCACTAAAATTGCTCTTGTTGAACAATTTCCGTCCAATTTACACAAAAATTGTTTTAAAATGTGTAGAAATTATCTAGTATGCTGTCTGATTTTACTAAGTTGAGCATCTAAAGTTGTATCATAGTATAATATCAAAATGTGGCAAAAATGAAATATTCTCCGGTTTCAACTGATGAGCCTAGCATTCAAGACGTTAAACATCTCGACACCTGATACATTTCATATTGATGAAATATCAAAATATGCCACAGTGTATTTGAAGACTGTTGGCATTTACATTTAGTGAAGCCCATGTAATGAAGTCAGTGTCATATCTTCATCAACAGCAACGGTTAAAAGGTCAAGGTAATGGTCACATGATGAAGGGTCAAGGTAATGGTCACATGATGAAGGGTCAAGGTAATGGTCACATGATGAAGGGTCAAGATAATGGTCACATGATGAAGGGTCAGGGTAATGGTCACATGATCAAGGGTCAAGATAATGGTCACATGATGAAGGGTCAAGGTAATGGTCACATGATGAAGGGTCAAGGTAATGGTCACATGATGAAGGGTCAGGATAATGGTCACATGATGAAGGGTCAAGGTAATGGTCACATGATGAAGGGTCAAGATAATGGTCACATGATGAAGGGTCAAGGTAATGGTCACATGATGAAGGGTCAAGATAATGGTGACATGATGAAGGGTCAAGGTAATGGTCACATGATGAAGGGTCAAGGTAAAGGTCACATGATGAAGGGTAGAATTATACCAGTATGTTTACCACATATGGCCAATTCAAAAGTCACAAGATTCATTATTTATGTTGTTTGGCTTGCGATCAATTCAAGTTTATATCAGTGTTGCTACAAAATTGATTTTTGTAGAACTCATTAATAAAGAAGTCTTGTTCTTTTCACTTGTTGTTTTTTTATATTTGTAAAATAAATAAATTATTCAACATCTACAATAGTAACATACAGTTTTGTTTGGCATCCTCAGATAGAACTTCATAATCAGTCCTCATGCAATTAAAAATAAAATTTTCTCCTTTAACTGTGAAGTTAATAATAAAACTATATGGTATCACCAAGGAGTAAAGACATTGTTTTTGCCACTCTTCTATCAATGGTGGTGTTTGTAACAAAGATATTACACTTTTGGAATCTGTAACACATTGGTACATTTTTGATGGATGTAACTTTTGAAAGTTGTACTTGGAAGTGGCAATATGTCACGTTTTGTTTTCATGAGAGATTCATGTCTACCTTGAGCATGTATTTGAGAGAGAAATCATTTTGAAGCTCTGCTTTCACTCTACTATACCTAACTCCTAGAAATGCATATGATACTCTGTTTGTCTAATTGTATTGTTAAGTATATTTTTGAAAGTACCTTATTAATTTTCTAACAGTCATCCAAGAAACATTAATAAGGAACAGACAAATAAAAACAAATAACGAAATCATTATTATAAGTCAAATGGGTCGCTCATGAACACCAAATGCAAGGTATAGTAGAGTGGCTTTGGGAGGATGTGTCTGATCATGTTTCAAATTATTCAAATCCGCACTTCAGAACAATCCAGTAGATCATGCTACCTACTTTCTGTGATATCATTATTGCATTTTCAGGAAAGAAATATTTTACTATCTTGGAAAAAGCTTCTATCAATTTTTAGTACAAGCTACAGGCCGTAACGTATGATTTTATGAATCGGGTACCACAACCTTGTATCTTAGATTTACGAAAATGGATAGGGATTATTCGAAAGGTCTAAGTATCCCAAATCATTTCACTGTCCTCATAAATCGTACAATGACATTTTAACTACACAGGGAGATATGCTGAGTACTAAAATAGTACTCATGGCATTTTAGCGCTTATTGAGTACTCATTTCAGCAAATATTAGTACTAAATGAGCACTTGTGACATGAGTACTGATTTATTGCATGTTTTGGTACTAAATGAGTACTCATATGATGAGTGATAAAATAGTGCTAATTTCATTGATTTTTCATTACTCAATGAGCAATCATACTATGAGCACTAATTAATTGCATGTTTTAGTACTAAATGAGTACTCATATGATGAGTGATAAAATAGCGCTAATTTCATTGATTTTTCATCACTCAAAGAGCGCTCATATTATGAGTAATAATTTATTGCACATGTTTCACGAGTGATAGATTAGTACTCACAAATTAAAATGTTGATAATTTTTTTCTAATTGATGAAGTAAAATATACAATACGTAATAAATTACATTTTAATTATACGAAAACATGGATAAATATATCATTAAACTTTTCCAAAAATTCCCATTCCTGTAGCTATTTCATGTAACGGGTTGAAGCTAGGAAACTAAATGACAGACACCATATTGTTCTATTCTTGAGAAAAGTCCATATATATATACACTGCTTTGTCATCCAGAATAAGTGAAAGATGAGGTAAGTAGTATTAAATGGGAAATCACTAGGTTGCATGGGACTTGTATCCCAGCTAGAATGATACCTATTGAGTGCTTATTATTTAGTAAATGAACAATACTTTAGTGCTAAATGAGCAATTTTTTAGTGCTAAAAGAGCGCTCAAGTAGCACTGGATCATCACTTAAAATATTGTTACTAAAATGGTACTATAATAAACACAAAATTGTCACAAAATGAGTACTAAAATAGCACACAAGTAGTAATAAATTAGCACTCTGGCAAAAGTGCACTCATGAGTACTCATGCCACGAGTGCTAATTTTGTACTAATTTAGTACTCGGCATATCTCCCTGTGTATCCTTTTTAAATACAGACAACTCATCCCTCTTACTCATTAGTATACCGCAATTTAAATTGTAAAGAGCATAAATTATGTAAGTGAATTCAATGCTATATTGAACATCTAATGTGAAATTATCATGAAGTTTGTTACAGTTGTAATAACTTTAGAAATGCAACATAATTATATTGAACTTCTGCAAAATACATTTGCTGTCATATTCATATTCATACTGTCATATTTCTCACTCTCTGAGAAAAATCCACCCTGGTGAATATAACAGTGAATAATAAAACAAATATTTAATTCTATTTTTCCCTCAATAGAATTAAATATTTGTATAATATTGAACATCTATGAAATGTTTGTACATGTATATACAGAGAGAGACCAGAAATTAATTTTGAAAAATACTTTGGTGGAATCATCTTGAATCTTTTTTTGTTTTGTTATAATGGTCAATGGACCAAAATGAGTAATATTTATATCCACTTAGATTTAGGGATTTTTCGAATCTTTGCATGCTCTTCTATCAAAACATATAGCAATGCAGAGAAACCCGTATTTGTCATTTTTAAGCACATATCAAATTCAGTCTATCATTTTTGACAAAAATTAAAGAGAGTTGAAATTGTGACGGAAATTCCAATTTCAAAAAATTGCTTTTGAATTTTTACTGTTATGCAAAGACTTAATGCAAGCATATAATAACCTTCTCATAATAGTGATAGTTGTGATATGTACACCTCTGTTTGTTCCATTGAACACTCCATCTACACAAAGAAATGGAGGAAGATTCCACTCCATAATTTAAGCTGTTTCATAATGTTTGCTGTTATTTCAGTTTGATTGAAATTGATTGGAATTTTTAAATTTTATTTTAATCAAAAAACTTTTAGACTAGTCATTTTCATTTGAAGTCAACAATTTGATACTTCCAGATTCTTATAATCTTAAAAACCTTACTCACTTTTATCAGCATTTTCTAAATTCTTAGAATCACAAAAACATGTTCACTTTTATCTACATTTTAGACACACATAATGAATAACGCTAAGGTTATATTATATACATTTTCAGTTTGGACTTAAGCTCTTCTATGTTATCTTTAACTCATATTTGGATATGAAAGGATGACATTTCTATTTAAAAATAAAAAGTAAATATTGAAATTGGTCAATTCCTAAGCAGAGGTAAACATACTTTAAACATGGCTTATTTTGTGTCTTATTGTATCTTATCATTTTAGTCAGCAACTTTGGAACCATATATAGAAACTATTGTGAACTTTTTCCCTCACCTATATTATTTATAGGATATCCTATGATTTTGAGGAATATCATTTTTATCTATGAGATGATATTGATATCTGCACGAGAGAGCAAAGCAAACGAGTGCGTATATCAATATCACAGAGTAGATTAAAATGATATTCTGAAAAAAATCATACGATGTTCTTATTATCCTACACTTACAAGGAGACTACTAAATGTATAATATCATTGCAAAATGAATTTCATGCCAAATAGAGTCAATTTGGCGGGATTTCAACAAGCAGAGTATATTGTCACAATATCCTCCGCATATTGGGTTTTCAAAGATAATTCAATTTTGACTGTACAGTTATCAGGTTGAATTCAGATTATTACATACTACTACACAATAAAAAAGTTAGAATGAAATATTCATAATAATCAACCATCATATATAGTTATGCCAAGTAAAGAAATATTTAAAGTATGTTTAACCCACATTTTGTTCAAATTCATTTCACAATTGATGAGTTAACCTTATAAATAGCAAACTCTGAACCTGGAAATTGGAATTTGTTGCTGATATCAAGCTGATAGTGCTCACATCCGGGATCACATGTGCATTCATAATTACACATGGTGGCAGGGGTGGTGGGATCTTGGGCACCTATTGGAACACAATTCTTAAATTTTCCATTGAACATATCCTTTCTATTAGAAGGGTCCCCATACACTGTCCTTATCATAGATTTTTTCACGGTAGATAAAGCGTAACAGATCATACCAGATCCCTCAACGGTAACCTCAAAGTTTTCCAGTGTTTGATTCAAATCTATCGCAACCTTTGTCAAAACCATTCCACTAGAGAATGGTGGTGTAAATGGTTGTATCTGCTCAAACATGTCACCTATTTCCCGGTAAAGAGAAAGAGGTTGTTCACTTACATCAAACACAGTGAGACCAAGACGTTCTAATTTGTTGTGCAGAGGCTCGATACATCTCACATAAGATTGATATTCACACTTTCGAAGACCAAACTGTTCAACACAATCATCAATGGAAAGTGCATCATATGGACAAGTAACTTGAAACGCACGTTTAGGAATGGCATAGCAGAAACTTTTTACTTCATCAAGCCCTGACTCTGGTAACAGTTGTTCACAAAGCAGTTTTGCCTCTTTTATTTGGAAATTAGGACCGCATACTGGTGTCCAGTCTTTCCCTTCAACCTTAACCTCAACCAAACCTTCCAGAGAAATACTGCTGCCATTTTCCAGTTTGAAGGGGGGTCCTTTCGTTAAACGATATTCAGGTTTGTTAGCAAAACATTGAACACCTGCTCCTCTGCTGCACCAATGCTTATTCAAGTCAAATTGTTCAATTTCACATTCTGTAATTCTATTCTCAGCTCCTGTACATCGAGTCAAATAAATGGCAAACTTGTTGTTTTCATTTCTGTAATTCGGATTCGAATCTCTAATCGCTTTCACATATGTTGTGGGCAATCCTAATTGTCCACACACGACCTTTGCTTCTATTTCTGTCCACTCGTCGCCACATATCTTACCCCAAGCTCCATCTTGGAAAATGGAAATTCTTCCAGACTGTTCTGTTCCTCCAAAAAGTTGAATGTTGCCTTCTGTCTCTTCTTTAAAACATTCAATGGTCACATCATACTCGTGCTGCCAGTTATCATAAGGAAGTGTTAGAGGCTCATGCCAACATCCCAAGATGTCATCTGCATTGGGAGCTTTATTACAGTTCACCCTATCAAATAACTCAATGTATTCATACAGTGGAGCGTCATCGAAGTCCAACCAGTTAGCCTTGTGTGCTAGACCTGTTGAAAATCCAAGATTTCTACACACAATGTTTGCCATGTTGTCTTGTTCATTGTCATCCTCTGCAACAATAGTACCTGCTTCACCAACTGTGCCGGTGATACCATTCACCGTTATCACTAATATCCCACTAGATCCATCACCGCCAGCTAATTCATATACTGGTTCTTCATCGAGACAAATCACACCAGCCATATTCACCGCAGTGCATTGAGTATCATTGGCCCATCCCTGATTAAAACATTCTCCAACATTTTCCTCTAAACCAGTACAGTCTAAACCCATGAGCCATGAAAAGTTAGATTTACTCGGAAATATATTCATGTGATGACCTAAGAAAGTTAATTCATTTGGATCATCACTGTAGTAGCTAGGTTCAATGTTGTAGGCTCTAACAACATTGGTAGCTAGTCCTAGCTGTCGGCAAACAACTCTCGCTGCATTCTCATTCCATCCATCTGAACATACTGTACCCCAGTTGTCCAAGGAAGATACCTCAATCATTCCAGAGTCAACCATCAATGCAGTGTATAATGATACCTCATACTGTTCAACCGGACCTCTATCACAGTTTATTCCAATCAATGATGTGTCATATTTTATTGTATTTTGACTACTGGCTCTTTGAAAGTTACAGTCAGCAAGTTGTGTCATTTCATCGCCTTGACAACCAGGTATACGTATAACTTGTGGATATATGTCTGATCGTGGCAGCAGGTTCTTCATAAGAAAATAATCTGTAAACTTTTCGAAAGTATGCCTTGATTCTTTGAAGCCTAATTCCTGACAAATAACATCAACATGCTCTTTGATACTATGGTCTTGAAAGTCAACCCAAGTCCAAATGCCATCATGTTTCATTTGAAGGAAACCACTATAAGGGGTACCACCTCCCATGAGCCTCAGTTGGGGTTTCTCAGTAAAGCAGCCTATTGATGCTATACCGTTGTTACAAGTACCAGGATGAACATTACATTCATTGATTGCTGCAGCTGTGTCAGTTGTGCAATTGACAATAAATGTTGCGGTGTCAGTAAGTTCGAAAACATCATGTTCTCTATAGTAATTGTATGGAAATGCAACTGGATATTCAGTAGAAAGGCCAGCCTGACGACAAAGTATGGTAGCTTCATTAAGGGTTAAATTATCTCTACATATTTTCCCCCAAGTGTTGTTCACATGTATATGAGGAACCCCAAGTGGTCCTGTTCCTTGACCACCATTAAGTTGAATTCCTTGATTAGTGGTAACATGGCATGATACAATATACCCTCGACAATATTCTGTACCCCAGGCATAACCCGGGCATTCCCCGACATTCGATTCAGTTCCACTACAGTTAGGACTGCGTGACAAATCATGTGAAATGGAGAATAGTGTTCCATCCCCATGGTCTCTTGTAGTAGAATATGATTGTATACCAAAGCGATCAAACCCAAGCTGACCACAGAGAACGCTGAGGAAAGAACTAACTTGAGTTGGATCTGCATCATTGGCAATGCAGACGCCTCCCCATCTGTCATCATAGAATACTTCTAATTTTCCTTCATATGGTCCTGCACCATAGACTAACCGTGCTTGGATTTCATTTGGATCAGTGGACCATTCCTCAACACCTGCCAGGTTTTCTTGCCCACACATTGTCACATTGACACCAATATTGATATTGCAGTCAACAAGTGATGTTTCCTGTCCAGTACAATCTACCAATAGTGTTGATTCAACAAATGATTCATTCCCATACGTGTCACTGTACACACCGTGTAATGGTTTCATTGGTGTTGACAGGCCCAGTTGATGTCCAATAACATCTGCTTCTGCTTGTTCCCATGTATTTTGTGCAGCACATATAAAGTTCCACTCATCATTCACATAAGTGATAACTCTCCCTGCTCCACCGATTCCATATAGTAGTTGAACATAACCCTCAGCGGGGTCTAATGGTAAGCATTCAAGGCCAACAGTGTCTTCTCTGTCAAAAGCGGCTTTATCTAACTCCTCATTTGTCCATGTTTTGAAATATTCTGGGCATTCTGTTATACGTTTTTCATTTCCAATGCATGAAAATTCACCGAGTTTGCCTTTGGGATATGCACCTGCTCTGTAAAAACCACCCTTATGGATAGCTGCAAATTTCAATCCCAATTGCCTACAAATAACTTGTCCGGCCTCGTTGTTAAAAGAATGTCTAAAGGAAGGTTCTTCAAATGGCCCCCAACCACCAAAATGGTATATTTCGACACGTCCACTGTATTTATTAGGTCCATCAACAAGCCTCACAGACCCTTCTTCTACCCCATCACCTAGGAGATCCACATGAATGTCACAAACTTCTTGTATTGCTAAACTATATGTCCCAAAACTGAGGACTACAAGCGTCCCTATCCACCAAGCCATTGTTGAAGGACTGAAACTATGATAGTCAGGATTCAATTATCAACACCTAACAGCCTCACCTGCTACAGTTTTGTTGTATTTTCATTTCCAGGACAACGGCAAAATATTATTATGTCGTACCCATTATGCATTTCATCGTCTAGCAACGTACAAACAAATGAACTGTGAATTCCATACAGATTTGTTCCTGAGGCCAGCACTCAATTCATTATGATTTCAATTGATAGTGCATTTGATGAATTTTTGATGATCATATATCGAATTTCACAACATTTTTCTCAGATTCATATTTGGGTGAATAGAATAAATTGAAACGTTCTGCAAATAAAATATTTATAAACCGTCTCAGCATAATTTGTGGTTGTGCATTGTATATTTCCAATGTTTAGAAAACAAACAAAATATGTCATATACTTGTGGGGCTTGAGAAATTGACACAACCATGGGCGTAGGGCTATATTTTGAGTTGGTACGCACACTCGGGGATGCCTGATTGCGTGGCCGAAGGCAGCGCATCGCGGGGGTCTGGGGGTATGCTCCCCCCGAATTCTTTTTTAAGGACGTTATTTGATGGAATCTAAGCGTTTTTATCAACTTTAAATGTTGACAATGGTAAACATACAAATTAATTAATGCATTTCAACACATTTTCAATTTTTTTCAAATTCATTTGGTACGCCTGTGCGTATTTTGCTTAATAGGCGCTACGCCCATGACAACATTGTGAAATTACCATAGTTTTTAACCATTGCTAAAGTATGCTTGTTTAACATTTTATTCCAGGGTATAAAATCTACCACGCTATAGCATTAGCAGAATTACTTCATAGTGATTTAAAAAATACTGTCATTCAGTTTTGGAGATAATATAGTCTCTTAAAATCCACCAATCTTCTATTCCCTAACTTTGGGGGGGTCAAAATGTTTAGTTAAAATTGGTTATTTTATATAAAATATATACACTTTATCATAAAATTATTATTTAGGCTTCTAGGTAAACAAGTTTTCTTAAATTAATATTTTAGGTAATACATACATTTAAAAGTGATAAAATGCATATTAAGTCGATGAAGTGTATTCATATCTCTGGTATTTTATTTCTATTTCAGAATCAGAAGAACAATTAGAGAATGGAGGACTTGATGAAAGCATGACATCACTGACTCCAGTGTCATACGCTTACACATTTCCTGTGAATGTCATGGTGTGTATACGAGTCAACCCCTCAATCATACGCTTCACATGCCTCCCTGTATCAAGAGTGGAATGCATTTTAAGGTAAGATTACGCTTACACATTTCCTTTGAATGTCACGGTGTGTATACGAGTCAACCCTTCAATCATACACTTCACATGCCTCCCTGTATCAAGAGTGAAATGAATTTAATGGTAAGATTATTTCATACACTTATACATTTCCTGTTAATGTCATGGTGTGTATACGAGTCAACCCCTCAATCATATGCTTCACATGCCTCCCTGTATCAAGAGTGGAATGCATTTTAAGGTAAGATTATTTCATACACTTATACATTTCCTGTTAATGTCATGGTGTGTATACGAGTCAACCCTTCAATCATACGCTTCACATGCCTCCCTGTATCAAGAGTGAAGTGAATTTAATGGTAAGATTATTTCATACACTTATACATTTCCTGTGAATGTCATGGTGTGTTTATGAGTCAACCCCTCAATCATAAGCTTCACATGACTCCCTGTATCAAGGGTGGAATGCATTTTGAGGTAAGAATATTTCATACGCTTATACATTTCCTGTGAATGTCATTGTATGTATACGAGTCAGCCCCTCAATCATACGCTTCACATGCCTCCCTGTATCAAGAGTGGAATGCATTTTAAGGTAAGATTATTTCATACACTTATACATTTCTTGTGAATGTCATGGTGTGTATCCTAGTCAACCCCTCAATCATACGCTTCACATGCCTCTCTGTATCAAGAGTGGAATGCATTTTAAGGTAAGATTATTTCATGCGCTTATACATTTCCTGTGAATGTCTTGGTGTGTACACGAGTCAACCCCTCAATCATACGCTTCACATGCATCCCTGTATTAAGAGTAGAATGCATTTTAAGGTAAGATTATTTCATACACTTATACATTTCTTGTGAATGTCATGGTGTGTATCCTAGTCAACCCCTCAATCATACGCTTCACATGCCTCTCTGTATCAAGAGTGGAATGCATTTTAAGGTAAGATTATTTCATACACTTATACATTTCTTGTGAATGTCATGGTGTGTATCCTAGTCAACCCCTCAATCATACACTTCACATGCCTCTCTGTATCAAGAGTGGAATGCATTTTAAGGTAAGATTATATCATACGCTTACACATTTCCTGTTAATGTCATGTTGTGTTTACGACTCAACCCCTCAATCATACACTTCACATGCCTCCCTGTATCAAGAGTGGAATGCATTTTAAGGCAAGATTATTTCATTCGCTTATACATTTCCTGTTAATGTCATTATATGTATACGAGTCAACCCCTCAATCATACGCTTCACATGCCTCCCTGTACCAAGAGTGGAATGCATTTTAAGGTAAGATTATTTCATACGCTTATACATTTCTTGCTAATGTCATGGTGTGCATACGAATCAACCCCTCAATCATACACTTCACATGCCTCCTCCCTGTATTAAGAGTAGAATGCATTTTAAGGTAAGATTATTTCGTACACTTATACATTTCTTGTGAATGTCATGGTGTGCATACAAATCAACCCCTCAATCATACGCTTCACATGCCTCCTCCCTGTATTAAGAGAAGAATGCATTTTAAGGTAAGATTATTTCGTACACTTATACATTTCTTGTGAATGTCATGGTGTGCATACAAATCAACCCCTCAATCATACGCTTCACATGCCTCCCTGTATCAAGAGTGGAATGCATTTTAATGGAAGTCTTTATAGAAGGACTCGAAGGACTTCAAATAAAAGTTTAGTTGTCCCACATATGCATTGTTAAGCATAGTTCCTCTGCTTAAGAAGAAATTTTTAGTATGGCCATTTTCCTTTGAATATACATGAACATGAAACCAACATTTTAAGATATATTCACATTGAATTCATGTTGCATATTAACAGGTTGCCATCCCTTGACATGGTTTTCTCCACAAAGAGGATTGAAACAGAGAACCCCCTCGTGACATCCAAAGATGGGGGAACTCCTCCAATGAAATCAAAATGTAAGTAGGATACAAACATTTCAGATGAAGATTCTGCTAATTTGATGAAATCTTAGCCAAGAGGCCTGTCACAAATTAGTTTTCAACATTTAGAGTAAAGGGAAAAAATATCTCAATTATTTTTTGACCTTGAATAAAACATTTTTTAAAACAGGTGAGAAGCAATTACCCAAATATTATAAGTTATGTGTCGATATTTTCCATCCGAGCCTGTTTGTTAAATCGCAGGCAATGTTGGGTCAGATATTTGTTTTCTATTCTAAATTGTCAAGTCTGAGTATATATTAATGTCATCCCAATAATTGTGAAATACTCCTAATTGATATGACCCCAAATAATGTTTTGATATGATCTATTAAAAAATTGTATTTTTGAGATTACTGAATAGGATCTGAAACTGTGAATGAGCAAGTTTTTATATTGCAGTAAACCGCGAAAGGTCTGCGAGTGGAAATCAAGGTCAAGGTCGTAATCTCAACTCTGGTTCCGTAGAGAATCTTCTCCCAGGGGGTGGTCTACAAGTGACAGCGTGTCTCAGTGACTTCTCCCTCTTTATCTTCCATCCCTATGGGGGTCAGAACAAGAAAAGTGGCGAAAGCCTGCTTGGGGGACCTGTCATGACTCCCCCCTCTTTGGGTAAATAAAAAATATTATTACATTTTTTTAATTTTAATTTTGATTCTAAAATGTTTTTAACTTTATTATGTACAGTCGTAAAATATATATTAGAATGTATTACATACCTAGCGAAGCATTTGTATGGAAGTCAATGGAGCTGAAGGACGGCTATATATTCCTGTATAGCCGCCAAACTTTTTACCATGACAATCGTATGACGTCACGTTTCATTTCTTACATGTTCACTTTGCACACAGATGTGTGACGTCATTGATATAACATGAAAACAAAGCATTTTTGTCTTTTCACGCATTTCTGCATATTATATTCATGAAATGTAATGTAAAATGTACTTTAGGTATGTAATACAACAATTATGTCAGTATCATTGAATATATGCCTTCGGTCTGTCGTAAATATAACCCTCGCAAGCTCGGGCTATATTATTCACATAGTGCTGTTAGACTTAGTATGCCAATTTGTGGAAACAATCAAAGGGGTCCAGGGGCACACTCTCATCTGAAAATATTTTGATTTTGATGTTTTTTTATATAATATTTATTTCAATCTAGTGGGAAAGTATTTTCAAATTATTTAGATTTATTTTAGCTATATGCATTAGCATACGTCGTACTTAAATGAGCGTAACAGGGTTTACATGAAAACGTCCAACAACATACTCTTAATTTGATTTCACTGAATATTTCAGAATGATATATTTCACTGATATAAGTGTAATTGACATTCATGCTGTATTTATTTATCACATTAAAGGGTCTATGACAGATGGCGCTGCGTCACCTCTCTCTGCGGCAACAGGACGTAAAGATTCACTCAGCCTCAATGTGGAGTTTGTCAAAGTAAACATATCCAGGAGCAGGAAGGGAATCATTCAAGCCTCAGACACACACATTAGTCCAAATCAATTGAAGGCCGGAGGAAAGAAACCTAGTGGAGGTGCATCAAATATTATAAGATTTTCAAGTAAGTTAATTAAATATCATTAAATCTTACAAGTATCAAATATTATAAGGTTTTCAAGTAAGTTAATTAAATATCATTAAATCTTACAAGTATCAAATATTATAAGGTTTTCAAGTAAGTTAATTAAATATCATTAAATCTTACAAGTATCAAATATTATAAGGTTTTCAAGTAAGTTAATTAAATATCATTAAATCGTACAAGTATCAAATATTATAAGGTTTTCAAGTAAGTTAATTAAATATCATTAAATCTTACAAGTATCAAATATTATAAGGTTTTCAAGTAAGTTAATTAAATATCATTAAATCTTACAAGTATCAAATATTATAAGGTTTTCAAGTAAGTTAATTAAATATCATTAAATGTTATAAGTATGGCATCTTAAGATTATAATATTAAATATCATCAGATTATCAAATGTAATCTGATCTCAAGTTCGCTATTACCTGGCCCAAGCTATTTCAAGTGCTCTACAACTCTGTGAAAATAATGTATTTCTTTCTTTATGAGTGTGTCAGAATCTTAAAGAATTTAAAAGAATTGAGCAAGTCCAAGTTTGCTTAATGTCTCTGAATATTTCATTACTTTATTATTCTTTCAGCCATATGTGATATTGGATCTGCCTCATTTAAATATAACATGAGAAGATTGTCTGAAATCCTAGCTCTGCCCAAAGCATGGTATAGAAAGACCCAATTATTAAGTCTTTTTATTTGACCATATTATTTTCCAGCAATATGTGACATTGGATCTGCCTCATTTAAGTATGACATGAGAAGGTTATCTGAAATCCTTGCTCTGCCCAAAGCATGGTATAGAAAGGGACTCGCTAGAAGACTCTTCCTGGGAGATGAAAGTGCACACAATATCGAGGAGTCGGGTAGGTGAAATAAAAAGCCACATATGATGTAATTTGTAATTATTTGCTGTTACATTGAGATTGACAGACATGCTTTGTTATCCCAACGAATGAAGTTCAGTAGGGATAAAGTGAAGCAAACTAAGTGTTAAAGTTAAGTGTTAAATGGGATCCTTTTAATGATAAACTTTCGATGATTGATTTTCCTTGATAATTTAAGCATTATTGACTATACAATATTGTATGCATCGACATATTTCAATATCTTTGATTCTGTAAAAATATATACAAATATGTAGCTGTTCTTGACTAAAATAAATATATATTAAAAAAATATATAAAAAAATAAAAGAAAGCGAAGCCCTCTGTCTGTCAGTCGGTCCGTCCTTCTGTCTATCCACAAGATAACTCTAATACCAGTCAACAGATTTTCTTCATATGTGGTGGAAATAACCAACCTCTGCAACCATATGAAATCAAATTGTATTATACGAGGGTTGTCCCAGAAGTAATGCACTATATGCTTTAACTTTATCAATAATTGATATTTTTCCATGAAATTTTCAGTAAATGTTCCTTAGAGACATTTTTATTATTCTACAAATTTTCATGTTGACTGATAAAACTTTATTGATGTTATAATAAAATCAAGTTGGTGAGTTTGGGTAGGGCGGGGCAGGTTACACAGTCACGTCAAATGGAACAAAAAATTGAAAATATGAAATAATTAATCAACAAATACCATTTTGTGTAGCTATAAGAAGTATGGTCAAAAATACATTTTAAGATACTAAATTACTATGACCACATCCTAGATTTAATGGATGTATATTGCACAGTGTCCCATCTCACATTTTCTCAAAATATTGCCCTTTGCATGTTATGTACTTTTGATGCCTGACAGGTCAAACACTCTTGGTAATTTCTTCCACTGTGACTTGTTGAGTTTTTGCCTCCCATGTTTGGAGTTGTCATCCAGGGTCAAATCATCTGTTTTAAATATCTTCTGATACCTCATAATTGTAGTTCTATCTGGTATATACTCCTTATATACTTTCTTCATGGTAGCATAAGTTTTTTGTGGCTGTGAGTCCAAGTGAAGTATGAAATTAGGCCATCAAACTCAAGGTCCTCTGTTATCAGGTGAGAATTGCAGCCATTTTTGTAATTTCTTGACTGTGACTGTATTTGAATTCGTGACTATTGAAATGTGGTATTATGACATCACAGTGCTAAATGTCATTATTTGTACTTGGTTAACATCATGCTGAATAATTTAACAATTTCCCAAACATTTTGATCATTAAAAGGAAAGAAATATTAATAAAATAACACTTTACATCTTTTCAAAATTAGAAAAATTGGTACCTGCCTCGCCCACCCCTACCCCCATGTTGTTATAGCAACCGTATTACGACTTAATATTATTGTTTGATGCTGAAACTTCAGAATATAATAGATAAAACTTCAATTGTTATATACACAAAATTTCAGCTGAATTGAAGAATATTAGAGAAAGTTAGAGCATATAGTGCATTACTTCTGGGACAACCCTCGTACATGTATTCTATTGTATTGTATTGTACTTATTGCACTGAATGATGCATCATTTGTTGTTCTCAATGAAGATGAAGAAGACGAAGATACAAAATCAAGTGCCACACCCCCCACACCTGAGACTCCCCTTCCCTACAACTTCCCCCGAGAGGACACATCACCCTCAAGAAGTGAGAGCCCCGAGGATGGTTCAACCAATCAGAATATAGCTGGGCCTGAGGAACGTAGAAGCAAAGATTTATGGAGTAAAGAGTTGCCAAATAAACCAGAAAAGCTCTTAATAGGTAAGAGGTGATTCAAATAAGTCATCTATCACCTTAGATCATAAAGTACTTTGAAAAATGGCATACAATGTATTTCTATTTAGCATATTAATAAGGTGATTTACTTATTGTATTTTTATACAGTTGTTGTTCTGTTAATATTAAGGTTCCATAAAACAAAAACTCAATAAAAGAACACTATAAATAGATCCTTACTGAAATTGGTGTTATCTCCAAAAACGTGATGCTTAACCATTTGTAATGATAAGGATCGGTTTTTGATTGATGATTTCATTTAGGACAGTCGCAACCATGTTGAATTAAATACTGGTACTATTTATCAGGTGGCACACCACTATCGCCAACAAGCAGTAACAAGGCAAAGCTCCTACCTCCATTACTAAAATCACCAGTCCACCATGCACCTTTGATTCCCCAGAGTTACGACACTGTGGACCATTTCCGCAAACTTCCCATATTGGCTAGTGTCTCGTCGAATGACAGCACCAGTAGCCAATCAAAATCGTTGAATAGTTGGGAAACGTTGGTGATGTTTGCATTGAATCTGTCTCAATTAGATGTCCACGTCAATATGGGGAATGTCATGGGACTCACAACGTAAGTACATATGAAATGTTAGTAAATTATATAGGCAAAGTTATGTACTCCAGGTATTTTTTGTCTGCAATTTACTTTCGCGCTTTTTGTGATTGTAGTGAAATCGCGAAAAAACTAATCTTAGCAAAATTGGCAATTAAATTTGTGAAACTTTTTATTTTTTAATTGTCGCAAAAATCTGACTGTCTCAACATGCCTTGGTGGTTCAACCTTTGATGATTGATAGAAATAGAAAGTTATTCTATATTTACTTTAAATAAATCTTTACTTTTGAATAGATGGTTCACAAAAGATCTAAAGTCTCAGGGAAGATTTGCTATCGACAGTAATTGTCGCAAAAATCTGACTGTCACAACATGCCTTGGTGGTTCAACCTTAGATGCCAAGGGAGGAATTGTTGGTGGTGCCATAGAAATACAAGATATTACAACTACAAGTATGTTTTTTGTGTTGAAAATATAGATTAAAATGAATTTCAAGTAAATCAATTTTACTTTGTAGTAATTAGATTCCTTCAAGAATAATATATATTTTTGAATGTTTCTTTCATTTGTCACATTTATGTTTTATTTCTAAATTGTGTAACAGTATAATATTTCTTCATGTCTTTTCATTTCTCATATATATTTTCTCATGTGTCTTTTGACTTCATTCTTAAACTTCTGTAGCTTTCTCAGTTTAATTTGAATTCTTTTATTTAATTTAACTTCTTCTTTTAACTTCTTTTATTTAATTTAACTTCTTAATTTATTTTAAACCTCAATTAGTGATCTCTTTCCTAAAAGCTTCCTGTATTTTTCTCATTTACATTTTTCCAGTTAAGAATATTTCCATAATACCACTTTCTTGAGTTATACTTAAATTTTGTTCTTTGGTTTTCTTCAGTTAAAGTGAAGGAAGACCCTGGATTGGACCCAGATCACAAATGTGGAATTGTTCTTTCTGCCATTGAAGCAAGACTTGATTACATGGGATCTAGTGTCCTAATGGGACGTACTAGTCAACTTGAGGTAGGAAATTGTCACCCCTGCCCACTCAATTGTCTCTGCTATAGTATGCTACATTAGGGAGCATTTCAAAAGATTGATATCGGAAAATTAACTGTATTTGCACAGTTAGGGAGGGAGGGGGTCATTGGACTTAACAGTAAGTGTTCCAACATCATTCCTGGGAATTTTTGGTGATTGCTCTTTTTGTCAAGTGCATTTTCGGTACGAAAAATAAAAAAAAACATGTACACAACAAAAATAAAATTATACAAAAATGAGTTGCTCCCATAAAAATAAAACATTGGCTACTGCCTTTGAGATTTAACTATCTTCTTTCTGCATGATCTGAAATGGCCACTCCCTTTTGATATTACATAATAATATGTTATGGTCACCATTTTATGGATGGTGTTTAGCGGTTAGTGTTAAGAATTTGTTGTTCAGTTGTCAGCGTCTGTAACAAATGGCAGGTGGTGACATTTTGTCGTGTTAATGCCTTCTTCATTTTTGTTCAGGTTAGTTTGGCAGATGAGTGGAGAGTGGGAGATATGGGAAGTGATGATGAACTATTAGCAACCAAGAGGTAGGAATCTAAGTCTCAAAATCCAACTTTCAAAATCTCATTATTAGATTATAAGATTTATTTTACATCTCTTTTATTCTTTATTTGACTTTATGTAAAAATTTAAACAATTCCATGTTTTTTTAGCTCACATGGTGAGCTATTGCAATCACTCACTTGTCCATCTGTCTGTCCCTCTGTCAACAATTGGCCAGTGTTAAAACCTCTGACAATAGGATTCCCTGTTTAAGTTATGTTTGTTCAACATCAATATAAAAAACCCCCCTATGATTCCTGGTTCAAAAGCTTGCCTATTTTCAAAATGGCCACCATTTTTGCCTCGGGAAATTCACTTTTGTTATTATTTTGTTTTGTTTTATTTAATTAATGATTTTGTGGAAATTACATTTGTAGACCCGCATTGATATTTGTCCATGGTGAGCTACAATGGGATAAATTCCATTTGATGATTTCAAAGTCAACGACCCCTGATCTTATCAAGATGGTATCCAAAGTGGAGGAATTCTTCATACAACAATTACATAGCAGTAAACGTGTATTTTCTAATTTTGGAACACTTGCGGCAATTTCTAAACCCAAGAAGAGAATTATCTCTCTAGATGAAGGTAATGTGTATGTTCATTTTTATCAGATATTAAAAGCTGAAAAAAAAGTAATAAATACATATGGTTTATCATAGATTCTTATCAGGAAATAGTCTCAGAGTAACATCTGGTAAAAGGATACATCAGCAATTTCAGCTTTGGCATTTGCATGACTTGTTTTCCAATGGTATACTTTTGCAGTAAACCACATTTTGTCAATATGTACAATAATGTTAAACATTTATTTGTTGTGTTAATAAGACAGGCGTAAAGCGTGAGAAATGTGTGATAACTGATGTACATTCATTTCACTTAAAACTACAATCATATATTTTACAGAAAAAATATCTGAAGCAAAGCATCATCGCCATTGGCAGAAAGTCCTGGAGCACATAGCTGGTTGTACGTTCAAGATGCTCAAACTTCAACTTCCAAATAAGGGCACAATTGTTGGCGGAACTATGTACCTACAGGGAGACAATCTCTCATTAGCTTGTTTCCATGGTATCAACTTTCGGTCAAAATCGTGGGCATTGTTTACGATGAACGAACCAAACATTTCATTTGCAACTGAATCACAGCAGATTACAACTGAAGGTAGATGATCACTGCATATTTGAATCAACATTTAGTAATTTATATATTTTTGAATAGATGTCACTGCATGGACCTTGAAAAAGTATTTCATAAAAAATTGTTACAGAATGCAGCAAAGTTATTATGTCACCACCAAAAGTGGTGACATATTGTTATGGTCTCCGTTTTTTTATGTCACCACCAAAAGTGGTGACATATTGTTATGGTCACCGTTTTTTTGCGACGGCGGTTGGCGTCCGGCGGTTGGTGGTTGGCGTCCGGCGGTTGGCGTCCGGCGGTTGGCGTCCAGCGTCTGTAACAATTTCTTACAACTTCCTATAACTTAACAAATACTGTTTAGACTGACTTCAATTTTTTTCTAAATCATCTACATGTTCTCAGAAGTTCAAATCTGACTTTAGATTTGACATTTGACCTTCAATGACCTTCTCAAGGTCAAAAAGGTCTTTTTTCAACTTGCTTCACATTGACTAAATTTTTTTTCAAAATCATCTACATGTTCTCAGAAATTCAAATCTGACTTTAGATTTGACATTTGACCTTCAATGACCTTCTCAAGGTCAAAAAGGTCTTTTTTCAACTTGCTTCACATTGACTAAATTTTTTTTCAAAATCATCTACATGTTCTCAGAAATTCAAATCTGACTTTAGATTTGACATTTGACCTTCAAATCTGACTTTAGATTTGACATTTGACCTTCAATGAGCTTCTCAAGGTCAAAAAAAGGTCAAAAAGGTCTGTTTTCAACTTGCTTCAAATTGACTAAATTTTTTTTTCAAAATCATCTACGTGTTCTCAGAAATTCAAATCTGACTTAAGATTTGAATTAAGATTTGACATTTGACCTTCAATGACCTTCTCAAGGTCAAAAAAGGTCAAAAAGGTATGTTTTCAACTTGCTTCAAATTGATTAAAAAAAATTTTCAAAATCATCTACGTGTTCTCAGAAATTCAAATCTGACTTTAGATTTGACTTAAGATTTGACATTTGACCTTCAATTACCTTCTCAAAGTCAAAAAAGGTCAAAAAGGTCTTTTTTCAACTTGCTTCAAATTGACTAAATTTTTTTTTCAAAATCATCTACATGTTCTCAGAAATTCAAATCTGACTTTAGATTTGACATTTGACCTTCAATGACCTTCTCAAGGTCAAAAAAGGTCAAAAAGGTCTGTTTTCAACTTGCTTCAAATTGACTAAATTTCTTTTTCAAAATCATCTACGTGTTCTCAGAAATTCAAATCTGACTTAAGATTTTACATTTGACCTTCAATGACCTTCTCAAGGTCAAAAAAGGTCAAAAAGGTCTGTTTTCAACTTGCTTCAAATTGACTAAAAAAAATTTTCAAAATCATCTACGTGTCCTCAGAAATTCAAATCTGACTTTAGATTTGACTTAAGATTTGACATTTGACCTTCAATGACCTTCTCAAGGTCAAAAAAGGTCAAAAAGGTCTGTTTTCAACTTGCTTCAAATTGACTAAATTTTTTTTCAAAATCATCTACATGTTCTCAGAAATTCAAATCTGACTTTAGATTTGACTGAAGATTTGACATTTGACCTTCAATGACCTTCTCAAAGTCAAAAAAGGTCAAAAAGGTCTTTTTTCAACTTGCTTCAAATTGACTAAATTTTTTTTTCAAAATCATCTACATGCTCTCAGAAATTCAAATCTGACTTTAGATTTGACATTTGACCTTCAATGACCTTCTCAATGTCAAAAAAGGTCAAAAAGGTATATTTTCATCTTGCTTCAAATTGACTAAATTTTTTTTCAAAATCATCTACATGTTCTCAGAAATTCAAATATGACTTTAGATTTGACATTTGACCTTCAATGACCTTCTCAAGGTCAAAAAAGGTCAAAAATGTCTTTTTTCAACTTGCTTCAAATTGACTAATTTTTTTTTTCAAAATCATCTACATGTTCTTAGAAATTCAAATCTGACTTAAGATTTGACATTTGACCTTTAATGACCTTCTCAAGGTCAAAAAAGGTCAAAAAGGTCTGTTTTCAACTTGCTTCAAATTGACCAAATTTTTTTTTCAAAATCATCTACATCTTTTCAGAAGTTCAAATTTGACTTTACAAGTTCTCAGAAATTCAAATCTGACTTAAGTTTGAACTCATAATATTGTGAGCAACTAGGTGGTGACATTTTGTCATGTTAATGCCTTGTCAAAATTTATATCAGTAGCAATTTTTACAGTAGCAAAGCAATAATAGTTCCCACAAATTCAATGGGTTTTGCAGTTGCACTCTAAACCATAAGGTTCCCACTAATTCAATGTGTTTTACTGTAGCAGAAACCATATGTTTTCACATACCTAGACGACCAAATAAAATTATTTATTAGCAAAGCCTAATAGCAAGCATATATTGAAATGTTGACTTGAGGTCAACTCCCATATGTTAAAATAATATCTTTGGTTTTACACCAAGTTAATCCCCCTATTTACAGACTCAGCAGACACTCACATAGTCCAGAATCTGTCCTTCCAACTGGGTCACAACATTACTGAACTGTCCAATAAGAAACAAGAGATGGCTGTTATATGCAAGCTGTCTCGTGGTCACTATATGCCTCCACCTTTCACCAGTGTACAGGAATGGTTCCATTATGCATTTGCATCAACCAACTTCAAAAGTAAGAGATCAATTATTCTTTGTTCACTACATTACAATAAACACACTATATATTTCTTCAATATGATTGAAGTTTCACATTGTGGTATAGATAGGAAATTTCCATAAGATTTAGAATTGACATTCCATAGGAAGGGAGGATAGGGGGGAAATTTCCACAGTGATAATCAATATATATGAGAATGGTTCACATTTATCTAAAATATTGAGCTTACAAGTTGTAAAGCCGTAAGGAAAACTGAGAAGAGAATTCCAGAAAAAAGGAAACGTTGGATTCATAATTAAATTGATCGTTTTTCAGATTTAGATAGCTTCCCAACAATGAAGCGACAGCCTTGTGACAGTCCTAGTCCCACTGAGAGACGATCATCATCGAGAAAGTCGCAAGATTACAGCCATGACACTGAAGTGATATTCTCCCTCCCTGCTCTACAACTTCATTTAAAGACAGAGCATCTACAAGCCTCTATTGAACCTCTGTGTACAGGTACATGTTTATATTCTCTCTCCCTGCTCTACAACTTCATTTAAAGACAGAGCATCTGCAAGCCTCCATTGAACCTCTGTGTACAGGTACATGATTGTATTCTCCCTCCCTGATCTACAGCTTCATTTAAAGACAGAGCATCTGCAAGCCTCCATTGAACCTCTGTGTACAGGTACATGTTTGTATTCTCCCTCCCTGATCTACAGCTTCATTTAAAGACAGAGCATCTACAAGCCTCTATTGAACCTCTGTGTACAGGTACATGTTTATATTCTCTCTCCCTGCTCTACAACTTCATTTAAAGACAGAGCATCTGCAAGCCTCCATTGAACCTCTCTGTACAGGTACATGTTTATATTCTCTCTCCCTGCTCTACAACTTCATTTAAAGACAGAGCATCTGCAAGCCTCCATTGAACCTCTCTGTACAGGTACATGTTTGTATTCTCCCTCCCTGCTCTACAGCCTCATTTAAAGACAGAGCATCTACAAGCCTCCATTGAACCACTTTGTACAGGTACATGTTTATATTCTCCCTCCCTGCTCTACAACTTCATTTAAAGACAGAGCATCTGCAAGCCTCTATTGAACCTCTTTGTACAGGTACATGTTTATATTCTCCCTCCCTGCTCTACAACTTCATTTAAAGACAGAGCATCTGCAAGCCTCTATTGAACCTCTCTGTACAGGTACATGTTTATATTCTCCCTCCCTGCTCTACAACTTCATTTAAAGACAGAGCATCTGCAAGCCTCTATTGAACCTCTTTGTACAGGTACATGTTTATATTCTCCCTCCCTGCTCTACAACTTCATTTAAAGACAGAGCATCTGCAAGCCTCCATTGAACCTCTCTGTACAGGTACATGTTTGTATTCTCCCTCCCTGCTCTACAACTTCATTTAAAGACAGAGCATCTGCAAGCCTCTATTGAACCTCTTTGTACAGGTACATGTTTATATTCTCCCTCCCTGCTCTACAACTTCATTTAAAGACAGAGCATCTACAAGCCTCCATTGAACCTCTGTGTACAGGTACATGTTTATATTCTCTCTCCCTGCTCTACAACTTCATTTAAAGACAGAGCATCTGCAAGCCTCCATTGAACCTCTGTGTACAGGTACATGTTTATATTCTCCCTCCCTGCTCTACAACTTCATTTAAAGACAGAGCATCTGCAAGCCTCCATTGAACCTCTTTGTACAGGTACATGTTTATATTCTCCCTCCCTGCTCTACAACTTCATTTAAAGACAGAGCATCTGCAAGCCTCCATTGAACCTCTGTGTACAGGTACATGTTTATATTCTCCCTCCCTGCTCTACAACTTCATTTAAAGACAGAGCATCTGCAAGCCTCCATTGAACCTCTGTGTACAGGTACATGTTTATATTCTCCCTCCCTGCTCTACAACTTCATTTAAAGACAGAGCATCTGCAAGCCTCCATTGAACCTCTGTGTACAGGTACATGTTTATATTCTCCCTCCCTGCTCTACAACTTCATTTAAAGACAGAGCATCTGCAAGCCTCTATTGAACCTCTTTGTACAGGTACATGTTTATATTCTCCCTCCCTGCTCTACAACTTCATTTAAAGACAGAGCATCTGCAAGCCTCTATTGAACCTCTTTGTACAGGTACATGTTTATATTCTCCCTCCCTGCTCTACAACTTCATTTAAAGACAGAGCATCTGCAAGCCTCCATTGAACCTCTTTGTACAGGTACATGTTTATATTCTCCCTCCCTGCTCTACAACTTCATTTAAAGACAGAGCATCTGCAAGCCTCCATTGAACCTCTGTGTACAGGTACATGTTTATATTCTCCCTCCCTGCTCTACAGCCTCATTTAAAGACAGAGCATCTGCAAGCCTCCATTGAACCTCTTTGTACAGGTACATGTTGTAACAACCTAGTTTAAGGTACATGTTGTAACAACCTAGTTTAAGGTACATGTTGTAACAACCTAGTTTAAGGTACATGTTGTAACAACCTAGTTTAAGGTACATGTTGTAACAACCTAGTTTAAGGTACATGTTGTAACAACCTAGTTTAAGGTACATGTTGTAACAACCTAGTTTAAGGTACATGTTGTGACAACCTAGTTTAAGGTACATTTTGTAACAACCTTGTTACAGGTAGATGTCAAACAACCTGCTTATAGTGCACCCTTTTCAAACTGCATGCAAGAAATGTTGATTTCAATGCAGATGTCATGCACACATGATGTGTCACAATCTACATGGGATGCAATGTTGTAAGTTTGAAGGGGTGACATCTGACCCCCCTGCCCATCTGTGCTATGAATAACATGTACAAATAAAGTTAGAAAATATTCACTCAACCCACAGTCCCTCTGTTATATTTTCCTTTCATGTGTTTCAGAGCCTCGGCCAATTGTGGAGTGCAGCTTTGTGACAGAGTTTGAGGATCATATATTCGTTGCCATGGATGCAGAAGCTGTCCTCTTTTTACATGATCTTGTTAACTCTTATATCAAGGAAAAGGACAAAGGTAGGTCTGACAAAGGTTAACCCTAGAATTCCTCTGAAACATTTTCAATTGGTCTTCTCATTCTACTTTATTTAGTTTGGTTCTTTTGATCAGGTATTCATGTCCAGATTTAAAAGACCTTTTCAATAAACCCTTCCACCTTTTAGTCCATCAAAGAAGACTATGATATACTGTGACAAAAGATCAGGTGTTATATCGATGAATAAACACCGCAGCGCTAGGCACAAACGTTTCCTGTACCCTGAATGACCAAAGGGAGTGATTTATTCGAAAGCTTTTGTGCCTAGCCATAAGGGGTTTATTTGTCAATGTAACACCTGATCAGAGGTCTATGTTATGATTCCAACATGAAAACTCCCAAAAATGATATTTCAGATATTCATTATGGTCCGCCATTACTACAGCCACACGTTATGACGTCACACATTACTCGTATTACCCTGGAGAATTATTGACTTTGTTCACAGTTTATATAGAAGGCATGAATACAGTCATGTTTGAATTGCAATCATATGTATTTAATGCAGTAGGCCTAAGTTTATTCTATTTTTGATTCCTTTTTTATTTTAGTTCCCATCCTGGAATTTTCCCCTCTATATTTTCAATCATGATGGAAATTTCCCCTCTATATTCCTCCAATTTGATATTTTTCAGCTCTAATGGGACGACCAGGATCATACAGTGCCTACAGAGACAGAGACAAAGAGGCTGATAAAAAATCCGAGACTGACACATCCCTCTACGAAGACTTTAGGGAATACCAGTGTAAAACATGGCACTTGGAACCCACTGTCAGGTAACGTAGGGAATTAGTTTTATGCAAGCTGTGTGTTTGTAATTTGTTAATATATCGATTCAAACCTGATAGTTCTGGCACATATACGAGGGTGATCATAAAGTTCTCATAATATCTCTCTAATTTCTTTACTTTTCAATATTTTCCTATGAAATTTTCACAGAATGTACAGCATGAAATGTTTTATTAATCCAGGAAAGAATATTTAGGATAACAGAAACATTAAATAAGAAATGGTCTCAGACTCTGGTATCACATCTAATGAAGCTTGAAAGCATCCCCTATGACACTACACAATCCACATGATCAATTTTTTCAATAGTAAAAGCACTTAACAACATATTCAAGTTAACATCTTAACGTGTTTGGTAATTTATGAGAGTTTATTATGTGTGTTAAAATGGTTAATTAGAGCCATACTCTCAATTACTTTTATTTACCCCGGGTGCCTTGATTTCCCGTTACTATGGCAACCATTTCTTATTTAATATTTCTGTTAAACTAAATATTTTTAGCTGATTTAATAAGACATTCTATGCTGCACATTCTGTGAAAATTTCATTAGAATATAATAAAAAATATAGAAATTAGAGGGATATTATGAGAACTTTATGATCAACCCTCGTATGTACTGTATATTGTATAATTTCATTCACTATTATATTCTAGTTGATACTTAATTATTATGTCACTGCCATATTATTATGTCATCGCCATATTATTATGTCATCGCCATATTCTCTTTTTTGTGGATGGTGTGTGATGGTTGGCATCTGTAATAAATGGTGGTGTGACATTTTGCATATTGGTGCCTTGTTTATAACATTATATGTCACTATCAGATTGTGGAATTTTTCTAAATATTATTTTCTATTCTATATTAGGTTGTTATATTGGGCTGGGAAGAAGATAGATCCAGTAGGTGTGGACTATGTTCTTCAGAAGTTAGGCTTCCAACATGCGAGACTCACCATTCCAAAATGGATGCAGCGTGGATTTATGGACCCTCTTGACAAAATATTAGCTGTGCTTGTTGATCGTCTTGTTTTAGTACTTCGAAAAACACCAAAGACTCAAGAAGAGCAAAATAAGTAAAGTTTTAAGTACACCGCAGTGAATAGAAGAAAGTGAACATATTTTATAGTTACATGTTTTTTGACAACATGATGACGATCTTAATGAAACAAATGACGAGGTTTAAAATAATGACATGTAAAGTGATAAGTATAGTTTTGGTTAGGCGCTGGTGTAAACCATTTGAGGAGATGTGTAATTTTACATATTTAAGTCCTCTGAATATATGTAACTTAACCTCTAATATTAATAGAAAATACGCATATATACTTAGAAATTCGCCATACACGTATCTCATACTTATGTATTGATAGATAAGTGAAATTGGACGTCAATACATTTAAGATAGTTCATTGAATTTATATGAAATGATAAATGTGCATCATTGATTATTATTATTATTATTATATCTTGGTTACCCCCATATTTGGCGAGCAATACCTCATTGGTATATTCCGTATTTTACGTATTTTTACACTCGAAGACAGAGCCAGAAACCCCTCCTTGGAGGAGCCCTGTGTTCTTTTATGTGCACAGGTACACAGACATACAGGTACACACCACAGCCTTTTATACGAGTCGTGAACCACTCAGTCAAACACCCAGAATTACATAACGCACAAACAAACTTGTCTGAACCGGGAATCGAACCCGGGGCCAAGCGATATTGGTAACCTTGACTCTGCCTCTGAGCCATAGCGGGATATACCATATGAAATCTACATTAAGATACGATATCAGTATTATTATGTCACCACCAAATATGGTAACAAATTGTTATGGTCCAGCTTTTTTGTGGACGTCGTTCGGTGGTCAGCAGTCTGCGTCTGTAACAACTGGTCGATGGTGACATTTTGCATGTTATTGCCTTGTTTAAACAATGTAAATTACTAATTTCAAAATAATAAAATTTTGAAACTTCAGTTTAAATATAAGATAATATTGTGAAACCTAAGTTGAAGTCCTAAATGATTTTATGACAATTTTTCACTTTTTTCAACTGTTTTATTTTGTTTTAATGAAATCACAATACATTGTTTTATCAGATATTTTTGAAAACATCTATACAAGTTTACAGTTTCGATTAACTTTAGGTCTTCATTTTGAATATATCCTACTTCGACTTTTTGGTACTTAGCTTCCGAACTTGCTTTTTTAAAAGAAAATGTGGGATGTAATGGTTTATATTGATTAAAAGATAAATTATTATTCAACTAGAAATCCATACAAGTTAGTATAGCTGACATCAGAATCTAGTCAATAACACTATATTTGTTTAGAACGATATTACCATCATTGAGATTACATGTAGCATTGGCCGAAGCTTGAAAATCAATTTATTACATCATATAATTTTGAAATGCTCCCTGATAGTGGAATGATATACATGTATTCATAGTTGAATTGTGTAAAGTTAAGAATTTCTGAATCAATTGTTTTAACAATGGATATGATACATGTAGATAGTAAGAGACCGATGTACTCATTTTATTTAACTTATTGACGTTCTTATGAATGACCACATCAGTCAGCTATATATGATAACGTTATGGTTAGGACGATGTACTCATTTTACTTAACTTACTGAAGTGCTTATGAATGACCACATCAGTCAGCTATATATGATAACGTTATGGTTAGGACAATGTACTCATTTTACTTAACTTTCTGATTAGTGCTTATGAATGACCACATCAGTCAGCTTTGTTTACACGTGCAATAATAATATAATAAAAATGGTAGATATAAGTAAATACATGTATATAAATAATGCTCATAATGATAGCCATGCATCGTGTATTGAACCCCCTCTTCCCCTCCCAACACTACTGTATATATTTCCCCTCCTAACACTATATATTCCCCTCCTTACATATATTTCCTTTCAAAAAGTGGGATGGGTGGGTGAGTATTTATACTGTATAGGGGTCAACCTCTTGGTTCTAGGCTATTATGTATACACGGCTACCTACCATACATCATGGTACGGTGAGTTACTTTGTCTAGTGCATTGGGCTGTAGGCTATCCATAAGCGACTCGTCAATTTAATATGCTGAGCTCCATGACGACCCTATAAATTTCACCGTATGATGACGTCTGATTGGTACCAGTATAATAGTAAAATATAATCGATTTCCAATATAGAACACTTGGATATATATATTTAGTTATGTTTTATATACTTGTATGGGAAAGTAGACATTTGTAAATATTTCATGCTAAGAAACTATGTATATATTATTGAAATGTAATGAAAAAATAAATGTACAAGACGACTTTAGTCAAGGTAATTTTATGATTTGTTAAATGTTTATAAAGTATTTAAAACCCTTTATTCAGGCGGACAGAGGTGTCTGCATTTTCAAACAAAATGGACATAAAATATTTTTTGATGACGCAACAACCATAAATTTCATGCCCGCGTTTTAAATATGAAATATAAAAACTTCATTCAAATCATTTCCCACGGGGCGTTTTCTTAATTCTCTGTATAGATTGTCTCATATTGCTTACCATTTTATTTTTGTATAAACTTTATTCACTAAATTGAAAAAATACAATTTCTACATAAAAGTACAAGTTTCCAAATTTCAAAGTTGCGCCTAAACACTAACAGATTCATAATTTATTTATTCTCAAAATCCCCTTCATTGTTGTAGAATTAAATTTAAACTTTGAATATTTACATATTATTTTGCATTAGTGCAATATCCTAGATGCGAGTAGAAATAATCATGATTTACGTCAATAAAAATTCACAATTCAGTCAAACTGATGTCATATTTGGAATCTACATGTAAAATTACATCTAGAAATGAGGTTTTGAAAAGAGTTTATCAACTTTGAAAATTTAATTTTCTTTGAAAATGTGACTTCTAGGTCGGGGAGATTCCCCATAGACCCAATGTTGTAAAACCACAAAAAGTGAAATATATATTCTTGTGTTGGGCAGATAATATTTTTTTCCTTTACTGGACATATTTTAATTTGTATAACTATTACATACATAAGGGTAATGTGAAAAGTGAACCACTAAAACTGATGAATATTCAGGTTTAAGGGAATTTTGTAATACCCTGCCATGTTATTTCCCCCGAATCAGCTACCTGGTGGCGAAACTGGTAACAACCTACTCGCATCTGAGTAATTGACAAATGCGTTTTTATGACTTTCTACTTCAATAATGTTACGTATTTTACAAATTACGTTTGACAAATTCCGTTCCGAATTGTTGGTGATTTTTCTGTCCACATGGCTCGATTAAAACATTTAAATTAACTAATGTTACATTGAACAACATTTTAGAAAAAATCCGTTTAAGCATACTGCTCAGACCAATATTCCTCTGACTTTGACACTATTATCAAATATTTTTTCACAAACCCTTTTCTTGACTGCACATTGATTTTCTGCACGGAATATAGAGACAACTGGTATTCTACAAAATCGCTCCTTCGCGAATTATTATGTCTAGTTTTTTATTGTTATTGGCACTTGTGCTTTTATATTTATATTTATTGTTATGTTTAATAATGATGTATTTCAGAATCATCTTTGTTATTTTATGCATGCTATTTTTTATCATATAGGCCTAATACACTAAACTTCTCTGGTATTTCAATTCTCCACACAGTTAAAGCATTTGAATTCCTCCCCATAGGGGACACACGCATCACATTTTGGGTATCCTTCCCTCCTTGCTTGTGAACAGTCCCAACATTTTGAATTCAGCTTGTTCCTATTTCTTCCCAATCTACATCTTCTACAGAAATAGCCACAAAATTCTGAAAATCCAAAATATTAAGATGGAGAAGTAGTTTATTGTTTCCCTCTTAAACTGACAGAAATGGATTCGAAACTCCTATTGAGTCAATGATCCCTCACAACCACAGAAAAATCATTACTCATAATTTTGTTTGCCGGCGTATTCTAAAGTACATAAGGTATCTTTACACAAATGGTATCATTTGAAACCTTATGTCTATTATCCTCTTCGTTTGCCATCATTTTTTCTTAGTTTTCCTTGCATATTAGTTTATTATCTATGACATTAAACACAAACATGTAAATATAACTATTTTTGACAATTTTTGATCAACTTCCAGTTTTTAATTTTATATTGTTCAATTTATGTTCTACCATATTATAGTAAATACTATTTGCATGCACATCAAACAAGCCTAGTGCACATTTTCATGAACATGACTAGCTTTAAAATTATACTATTTGTGCAAAGATATATTATTACTTTGGGATATTTCGGTTCAAAAAAGTATAGGGCAAAACACGTTTTTTCAGAGTTTCCAGTCCATTTCTGTAACTCCTTTGTTGATGAAACGCTCGCCAATCACTAAAATTGTGTATCTTGTCGATGTTTTTTAGCAAAGCAAACATGTTTTAAAAGACGAGTTACATATAATACAAGGGTCAGGGTTGAAAGGGCAATTATTAACAGTTTTGATGGCATTTCAAATAAAAAGGAGCTTTTATGATTTGGTGAGCTAAATTCAACATTTTTATCTTACTTGTGGGTGCTATATTGTAGGGTAGGCAGATACGTGGGCAGGCTGGTGTCTTAATTTAATTTTATCAAAAATAAATAGTTAAAGGAATAGTCACCAAAAACCAGAATGAAATACAAACTTTATTTTGTTGAGGTACGAGTACTTCTTTTAATTTAAACTGACTTTTCTTGTATAACTACAATATCGTGGAGTGTTATTTTGTTCCAACGAGGGTTGGATAGATGTTTAACTTTATTCCAAACAAGTGGTAACAAGAACAAAAAATGTCAGATGGGTTTACTTAAAATATTATATAAAAAATTAATATAAAATTATATTTAAATTGAATTTTTACCATTCAAAAATGACTCTTGCACAGACGATATGTTTTTTAGATTTTTTCGACAACTGAATTACCAGAAAAAATGTTAAATTAATAAAATCATATAAGTCCTTTATTCTCTTATAAACTTGGTTTATGTTTTAACCCATGTACGATTCTTGATAATAATAATGAAAAAATATTTTTTTATCTTACTTTTGGAACATTCAGATTGTGGCAATTTGTCGTAATAGCCGTCTTCTGGAAAACCTACATGTTTTGAATCTGGTGTATAAGACCTACCCTCACTGCCTGATGCACCTATCTGAAATGTGAATGATTTGAATGAACATCTCCTTACTAGGATATGTATACCATTGGTCAACTCTATTTGACAAAGTCATTGCACGGTCAAAGCTCAATATCTTGGTATTTGGCGTTTTAATGCATTTGAGGGCTGTCATGACCCTTGGCGACCCATGATTACGTGACCTCAGGTAATAGGTAAGTCAAATGTCAGTATCTAAGTTTTTGGTGAGTTAAGGTCCATTAGGCTGCTGTGACCCTTGGTGACAAATAATTAGGTGACCTGAGGTCAAGTTCATCCCAAGTCAAAGGTCAATATCGAGGTGTTTAGCGCTTTAAGACCCCGGGGGTGCTGTAACCCTTTGCGATCCCATGATTAGGCCACCTGGGAGATCAAGGTCAACGTTATATTGTCTAATAATATGAAAAATGTTACACGACGTATTACTTTATTTTCATCAGTCATTGCTTTTGAGTACAAACTCGCTTTATGCACATATACAGAGTGGGCCAAAAACACCCCTAGCCATTAGTCCTAATAAATATTCATTCTTTAACAAAAACACCATCAAAGATGTATCATTTTAAAGATAAAATAGTTTGATATGAAAATTGAGGTGTTTTAGGCCCCCATAATAGGTCACTTCGTTGCAAATTAAAGTATCTTTAACATGATATATCATTCATGATTTTTTGCTAAAAAATAAATATTTATCGAGACTATTGGCAATGGGATGTTTTTTGGCCCAACCTGTATATACGTTTTTACCTTGATTGGAGTCCCATCCTCTTGCCAGTAGAAAAAATTATAAGCCCTGAAACTCTCTCCGTCGCGTATTGCAAAGTCTTGGCCTACAATAAACAACTTTGAGAACTTTTGTTGGACTTTAAATAATATACCTGTTTCTTCTTATAGTGTGCATAAGACTAAATATTATTGTCTCACTGTTTTATAATGCTTTAAAGATATAAGTAATTTATATTTCTGAGTTATAATTAGCGCTAGTGATTTCAGGCATCTGTCACAAATTGATTTGGTTCAAATATCAAAGCATTACGTCAACTATGAAGCAGTTTAATTCGATGAAAACTAAAAATATCGAAATCGGCACTTCCCGTCCGCCATCTTTGATGCGAATGTGACGTACGTTACCTTCGCTTGGTACTGACCAGTGGATAAATGTAAATGATTATACCATCAATGCCTGTGAAGCACACGTTGTCCAAAGCTTCCGTAAATTCCTCTCCAAATGCTGTTCCAAATTTTTCACATATAGCCTCGGCGCTTCTGTTACACTTCTGTTCAAATCTCCCAAGTGTAGCTTTACCAATCGCAAGAACGGCATTAATAACCTGCATTACGAAAGTGTCTTGGCTATAGGTTGGAGCTTCTGTTATAATCATGTTTGTCGAACAGTCGGTATCACAATTGAACAGAGATTTGAAGTATGAGTCAGTGAGAACACTGCGGGAAGAAGTTTGGCCAAATCTGCAGAAAAAGTAGACCATATTTTTGAAGCATATATGCAGAGAACAGTATGGTTTCCTCTTTTTCCACATCAACATTGCATATATTGCAGCCATGTCTTACATGTCTCGTGTCCTGGGCCCAATATAAGTTATGTCTCCAAAGTGAGTCCACCCTAGTAGGGATCGAACCCATTCTTTCCGGGCGAGTGCTCCACTACTGAGCTATGGAGCTGTCTTGGTGATTGGTGATTTCTTTGAACCTTTTTTACTCTTTGTATGATTTTAATTGTCTTGAATGGATTGAATTTTCTACTGTATGTACTACCTACTGTAATTGTGAAATCTTACCTAAGCTTTGACAAATGCCCATCAAATTGTTTGACAGGTTCTCCATACAGGCCTGCTGATATTGAGCCTTTGGCTGCTTTTTCATGACCTTTAACGAAATTTTCAGTTTTCCCCCAACTCTCGGTTCCAATAAATACAAGACCTACACGTTATAGACATATGCATTAAGATTTTTAAAGGGTCTTACATCAGGGGGGGGGGGGGAGATCTCCCAAAGTTCAGCCTTCATATTCGATAACATGGTACCGATGTGCTAGATCCATATAAGGCTTACATGACCATATAGGAATCCAACTGACCGTTGTCCGCCATTTTGAATATCATGTGATAGATCCATATAAGACTTGTATGACCATATGGGATGGCTAAGGGAATCCCTGAATACGATAGAATATGATAGTATTATGGGAGCTACTCACTTCTCCTGGTCTTACATCATGTAAATATGATAATTGTTGATTCATTCGTACTAGTGAGTGTTACGCGGTATATGGCATACATTCATGGTTGCGCGGTATTTGTGATACGGGTGAATATGCCATACTCACCTGCAGAATATGCCATATACCGCAGGTGAATATGACATATACCGCAGGTGAAAACGTGATACAGAAAACCTTGATTTGATTGGTTGCGAGAATCGACTCTAAATGTAAAACTACGCTGCATAGTTTTGCCTTGGTCACATAGGCTCCGATTTTCACTACGGCGCCCGGCCGATTGAGTATCCTGTTCACAAATGTATTCAGTTTTGAACAGAATACTCAATCGGCCGGGCGCCGGCCGATGAATCGCAGCAAATGTGACCCAGGCATGAGTGCGTCGAGTACTAATATATGAATCCTGGATTGATTGAGTAAGTTTATTACGTGAGATTGGTGACTGATACTTCTGCTAAGTTAATATATTCGATACACAGTACTGTTGATTCAGTAATCATTATAATAATTTATTAAGTTTTACTTGTTCGTTCAATCGATGCAATTGACAATTGCGTACTTCCGTATCACGTTCTCATTGGTTAGTGTGTATGCCATATACCACAGGTGAATCTGTCATACACCGCAAGTGAATATGCCATATTCGTTGCGGAATATGACATATTTTTGTATCGTGTTTACCGCGTAACAGTGAGTAGGCCTATAAAATTCCATAATTTAGCAGCTGTCCGAGAAGCAACAACAAGAACATTATAAGCACTAGCAGTGGTGCAAAACTTATTGGAAGGGCAGTCTGAGGGTGGGTATATTACCAGATTAATTTTAAATATGAACTAACGTTTTCCTCTTTCATTTCCAAGATATTTTTCCTTGGCTTCTAGTAATGGTCTGATACTTGTATCTCCTGCCACATACAAAACTATATCAGTCTTGGAGGTGCTGTTTATGATGGCTGAAATTATTTGTTCATTGCTGTTCCTCTTCTGTAAGCTCTGAAAATAAGTAGATCTAGTCGGAGTTAGTCCAGTCACGAAATACCCTATTATCGCCCATATCTTTTCAAAAATCCCCGGCGATCTCCTCCAGGAAAATTTTGGAGACGCACTTTGCGTTTATAAGAGAGAATACGGTATAAACTTTGAAATATTATCAAATTCTGAAGAATTACTTTTTGAGGTAAATTCATATTCTCGTAAAGTTAATTCGCTTCCCATTGTAAGCGTGTACACCAGTTCTGATGATTTACACACAATTACACATAAGATTTAATCATATCGTATTATATAGAAGAGATAAAATTATAATTAATTACTGTCATTTAGTGCAGGAGATTTAAAATAACAAATCTAGTTGGATTTAATTTGTACATATGCTACGCCGTCCTGGCAATTATAATACAATTTTTATACAAGTCATTTGCATTTGGCAAGGAGGATTGGCTCCCAGGATCGAAACTCGATATTTTCCAACAATGAAAACGGCGTTATGTCTTTATTTTCTGAAATTATAACCGACTATGAATTCAAAATAAACAGTTCAAAAGATTCTTACCAATATCTCGATCATTTCTTGTGAGTTTTGGAGTTTTTCGTTAAGAAATAAGACAAAAATTAAGGATTCAAATGTTGTTTGAATTCGAATTTTGTATCACATGTCCATATATGAGACAATATCGATGTTGTACTCTTGGAGCCAATCCTCCTTGTGCATTTTGAGTAAAAAGAGTTAAAGTTACATTTGAGTCACTTCCTTCTAAATAAGGTTGTAAAGGATCGCTTAATGCATGAATCCTGTACAGTGCGTATCAAAAAATCGCAACAGATTGGTATCTCGGAAAAGCACAAAACCAGTGATAACAGCATTGACACTGGTGATCCACTCGATTACGCTGGTTACCAAAACGAACCGTTTTGGTAACAAAATGTCGGAACGACGAAGGCACGATTTTTCTTTTTTCCTTATTTCACGCGTTGTAGGCAGAATCCCCACGTCGTTTTTTCTCACAACGTGCAGCAGTATCATATGTTTTAGAAAATGTACATGTTTGCGAAAAAATAGCTCAGAGGACAACAGAATCGTCGATTTACTTCCTCACTTAAGTTACATGAACGGTTTTTCGAAAAACAGTTAAGATCTGCACTTTTAACCCAAACCGTTTATGTAACTTAAGTGAGGAAGTAAATCGACGATTCTGTTGTCTTCTGAACTATTTATTCGCAAATATGTACAATTTCTTAAACATATGATACTGATACACGTTTGTGTTAGAAAATGTCGTGGTAATTTTGCCTACAACGTGTAAAATAAGGAAACGAGAAAATCGTACCTTCCGGATGTTCCGACATTTTGTTACCAAAACGAACCGTTTTGGTAACCAGCGTAATCGAGTGGATCACCAGTGATTGATTTCATTCAATGCACCATAAAGCCATGTGACTCCTCTTTACAATGATATATCATTCATTGATATTTGGTCATGGTTGGGCGAATAATCATTCCATTTGCAAAGTGGGCCAAAATTAGCTTGGGACCAAGTTATAAACATCGCAAAAGTCAGTGTACGGAGCCCGATGCAATATTGGAAGAAAACATAAAACCAATGCTGACTGCATCCTTTTCATTCAATGTACCAAAAAGCCAAATTACTCCTCTTTGCAATGGAATATCATTCATCCACTGGGGGTCATCTCTGGCCGAATAATCATTAATTTTGCAAAGTGGGGCAAAATTCAGCTCGGACCCAAGTTTTAAACATTCCGAAAGTCAGTACAAGGGGCATAGGGGCTATTGGAAGAAGGTGTGACAGGTATGGCATAGACAGTAAAGTGTTCATACTCATACTCTTGCAAGAATACATCCTATACCCCTCCAAATTGCCACCAATTCCTTGCACATTAAGATGCGCTCATCTGTCCACGTCATGCATGGTTCAGCCCTGAGTCATATGTGGGTTAAAGCAGAGAAAAACAGCCCATGGGCAATTCTTTAAAAAGGTTTTGCAATATCTGGTGGAGGAATTGTGAGCACAGATGCTCCTGAGATAGCTCCAAAAGAAAAGTCACAACAAGTCAGGGGAACTTCCATTGGCACCTAGCCCTTGCACTGATTTTGGTCCAGAGCCGATTTTGACCCACTGTGCAAATGGAAGAATTTCTTACCCAACCATTACCACATGTGAATGAATGACATATCATTGCAAAGAGGAGAGACGTGGCTTTATGGTACATTGAATGAAATTGATGTAGTCATCACTAGTTTTGTGATTTTACGAGATAACTACTTGTTGCGTTTTTTTTATACGCCCTGTATATCACAAAATTTAACAAAATGTAACAAAGATTCTTAAGTGTTCATATTTGATACATGATCATTTAATATCTTGACACCGTATACTATAGTAGAAATTGAAAACAGCCCAATGTACCTTTTGGAAAAGGGAATGGATTTGCGGTACACCTTTCGGGGTGACGCCATTTAAAGTGTCATAAAAATTACGCCTTGCCCTAGATTTACATTATCATTATCTCAATGAAATCCTCTGTCCCGTAACCGGTAAACTGAGCTCTTTGGTAATCGGGAGCGGGAGTTTTTTTTAAAACGGACTGGAAAAATACCAAGGGACTCAATTAGAAAGCCTTTAAAATGAACATACAGAACTACCTACTATAACATCAAGATAAATTGTACTTACATTTAGCATGTGAGTAGAGGATATGCATCTCCCCTCCTTTTCAAATGCTGCTTTGAATGCATTTGCCAAATCCATGGCATACGATGACTCATCCTGAATGATTACGTGAACATTGGGCCAGCCAAGACTCGTGAATAATGCTGCAAACGCAGGCCCCTGTAAGAACAACCCACATAACAAAACATATTTTGATTATTAGTGGCCATCTTGAATTTCCTTCTTGAGCTATTTAAGTTATCACAGATACGAAAAATGGTGGCGATTTTAAAATTCAACTGCCATCTTGAAAATTCTTTGTCAAAACAGAGGAACTGTGTCTTTAGGTATCATAATATAAAATTCGATCCAAATCTGTTCGCCAGTACTTGAGTTATCAAAGATTATGTATTTTACAAAAATTGGCCGTCATTCTGATATTTAGTTGCCATTTTGAAAATCTTTTCTTCAGGGTAGTTCCTTTTTCCCTTAGCATCAGCATATATAATTACTTGAACCATATCCGTCATCCGTCAACTATCTAGTTTTTGAGTTATCAACAATTATGTTTTTTTATGAAAAATGGCTGCCATTTTGGTATTGAGCAGCAATTCTAAAACTCTCTTCTTCAGCAAAGCTCCTTTATTTATCCCTAGGCATCAGCATATACCAAATCCGCTCACTTGTTTTGAGTTACCAAAGATTACGTTTTTGGCCATTTTGAAATTCATCTGTCAACTTGTAAATTCTTTCTTGAACAAATCTACTTTTGTCCCTAGGCATCATCATATTTTGAACCAAACCCGTTCATTGGTATTTGACGTTTTTTACGAAAAATGGCTGCCATTTTGATATTTAGCAGCCATTTTGAAAATATCTTTTCCATGATAGCTCCTTTGTCCCTAGGCATCAGCATATACAATCTGAACCAAATCCGTCAACTAGTATTTGAGTTACGTGTATCAAAGATTTAGTTTTTTTTATGAAAAATGGCGGGCATTTTGAAATTCAGCTGTCATCTTGAAAATTCCTTCTTGAACAAATCCTCTTTTGTCCCTAGGCATCGTCCTATGAAATTTGAACCACATCCCTTCATTGGTATTTGAGTTATCAAAGATTACGTTTTTTTACGAAAAATGGCCGCCATTTGGATATTTAGCAGCCATTTTGAAAATCTCATATTTAGCTAAGCTACTACTCAAAAGGCTTCAGCACACAAAATTTGAACCAAATCCGTCTACTAGTATTTGAGTAATCAACGATTACATTTTACGAAAAATGGCGGCCATTTTGAATTAAATGGCCATATTGGAAATTCCTTCTCGAGCAGAGGTTCTACTCTCATAAAGCATAAGGCCATAAAATTTGAATCAACCGGTATTTGAGTTATCGCCCGGACGAACAGACAAACGGACGGACGGCTTTCCTATATCCCCCTCGAACTTCGTCCGATGGGATGATAAACCTGTATTGACAAGACATCGTCGCTGATTGGTCAAATCGACAGACAAATGACGCCATTCAATGACAGTTTCAACATTTTCAAACAAGGCTGCGATTGACAATACAAGTATGTTGATTTCTGACGTATTAAGCAATATCAAATAGGTCGTTATTTCACATCAAGATAGTTATATGCTAACATATGGTCAAAACATCACAACAACGTGTTACATTCAAAAATTAGCAGGTCATAATTCGGACAAACGAAGGTAATAAATAAGAGACGTAATTATATCTATCATCTCTGAGGCTCTTGGGTTTCCCTCCTCTTCTTCTTCATCGTCTACACCAATAGTTGGAAAGTATTTTGGTAAAGCATCCAAGCATGCGATTTTACTCAGATTATCTTAATAATAGGGGTCGCCCATTGGTCCAAATCCCATTTGTCCAAAACCCAAGCATCCGAATTCCTTTGGTTCGAATCCCGATGGTCCGAATCCTAATGCTCCGTCTCCAATTGGGCCGAATCCCAATCGTCCGAATCTCGTTCGTCAGAATCTCATTTCCCGAATCCCATTCGTCCAAAACCTTATGACCTGAACATTGTAATCAATAGCACTACCACGAAGTATGATTAATTTATAGTCGTCCAGTTAAATGTATTACCTACCAACAAAATATGTCAGATAAAGAATAAGACCCCAGCCTAGGTTTAACGTTGCTGAAGTATCTGTTTGTCTGCCCTGACATCTCCTCCTACACCGTTTGACCTTAGGCCCTCATACTTTGTCAACATACTAAGTGGGTCGGTGGGCATTCTACGAAGGTCAGAGGTCAATGTCATGCCAAGGTAAAAGGTTAATATTCATGTTTTTGGCTATTTATGACATTTGGACTGTGTTGTGACCCTTGACGACCAATGATTAGATGTCTGAGGTCAAGGTTAACTTTATGGGTCTAAGTCATTCCAAGGTCAAAGGTCAATGTCTTGGTATTCGGTGATTAGGTATTTGGCGATATAAGGACCAATGAGATTCAGACCTTTGGTATTTGAATCAGAATTCACTCTGTTTAATATTTCTTGTTAATGTGCCAAAGCAATTTTCTACTGCAACAAATGGCCTTACAATGTATATATCTAGCCACTATTTAACAATGCAAATCAAATCAAATCAAATATATTCTTACCTGCCTACTGTCCGATGGTACAGTTCTGACAACATATGGGAACCTAGTTCTGTCACTTAATTGAGGGCTTGTAGCAAATGGAGCCACTAACGCTGTCTTTACGGTCTTCAAATATTCTGCAACTTTCATAGTTCTATCACTGCTTTCAGATCCAACAAATCCCACAACCCTATCTGGGTCAATACGGGCACCAGTTGAATCATTGACCTCCAGAACACCTTCGTAAAAGACTTTAGTAATTTGCAATCCGTGTTCTGCTGATGAACAGTCATCCAAGAAAATTGCTCCGATTTTGAAACCTACCAACTGTTCGTTATTCCTATTTACATATTCAAGAGCAAGGTCGACAGCTTCCATATACTGGAAAGGATATAATCTCATATCCCTGCAACCATTCTCTGTTAGACCAAACATTACCACGATGTACAAATCACCATCTATGACAACGTTTGAAGGATAAGGTAGAGAGCCAACAAAGGTCAAGGACAAAATAGCCAATACTTTCACGAAGACGTGTATCATCATAATTTTCCTATTAGAGAAATAAAAATAAGATTACTATTAACATGTCGTAAATATAAAAGCTCTAGTCAGGTACATACATCTTAAATGAATAAGAACACAAGGAGCACATGCGTCTCGAACTCGCAACCTCGTGGTTACGGCGCCCAATCGCCTAGCCCTGTAGTCCCAATTATTCAAGGAAGAGCATTATTCCCTCCTTTATTGATAATGTTCATCGCTGAATAAAAGTCCATAGCTGAAAACGTATTGAGACCCATTTTGTGAAAAACTAGCATAATTTAAGCATTTGTAATTCTAATATAAAAGTGATTCATTTGTAACATTTATCTTGTCAGTACCTGAGAAACAATACAAAACGTCGATACACTTATTGCATAATTTTTTGGTATTGATAAGAAAAATAAACTCAAATTTATAGCTTAGACACCACCCTATGCAGACAGAGCCTGTGGGAAATATTGGGTGCGGCGCAAATGAGCGGAGGGTGCGGAGCTAACGGTCATTTTTGAATTTAAAATTGGGATATTTCTGAAACTAAGCCGTTTTGGCTTATTATCACAATTGTATTGATATTTGGTGTCAAATACACATATCTTGGTATATTTGAAGTCCCAAAACGGCTTAGTTTCAGAAATATCCCAAATTTAAATTCAAAAATGACCGTTAGCTCCGCACCCTCCGCTCATTTGCTCCCCACCCAATATTTCCCACAGGCTCTGTCTGCATAGGGTGGAAACCTAAATCATATATTTAAAATCATTTTGTATTATTTTCTGTTGCATTGTGTACAAATTGGGAAAAAATGGGATTTCATGTTTTGGTAGTTTTTTGACCTCTGTTAATAGCAGGAATAATTCAGCCTGAAAGCGGGAAGTATATTAAAAGGTTATAATAAAAATTATTAGGGAACATATGTAGGTATATGTTAATGTTAGGTCAAATATCGCTGTGCTATAGTGTGCTTCCAACTCCTTTATTATACGTCCTAGAGATTTCATACCATGGACTATAGTGCATTTTAGAAGTGTAAATATCATGTCTTTCATTTAACAACCAAATTCAAAAAAATGTCCCATTTGATGTCGCCGTATGTTATCTCGGAAAATATTAGAGGTGTATCTTTAGTTTCTGTATATATTTCATCAATAACTTCAAGGCCATTCATTCTCATTCATTTCTGAATTAGAATTTCATAAATGTATTTTTATCAGGGCCCTAAAGTGTCTGCCGCCGTTTTGAATTTTGATTTTCAAGTCATGTTTACAGGTATTTATTATTACGTTTTATTTGATTTCCAAACTAATCTACTTCGCCACCGCATGTTTCCAAGAGAAAGTGATAAACGAAACCGTACTCATCTTGAACGATATAATATTTTGAGATTTCACCTTCAATGACCTTGTCAGGGTCAAAAAGGTCTTTTTTCAACTTGCTTAAAATTGACCAATTTTTATTTTTAAAATTATCTTCAAGTTCTCGGAAATTCAAATCTGACTTAAGATTGAACTAATAATATTTTGAGCAACTACGTGGTGACATTTTGTCATGTTAATGCCTTCATGTGTGGGCAGGTGGATGGGTTCGACCCCCCCCTTTACTGAAAGCTGGCTACGGGCATGTTGCTCATATTGCATGTGAAGTATTAAAGATAGCAATAGATGCAAACGTATTCTTGCACTTACAATGACTAAGATGTGCAGGCACCATTTATGATTTCGGGCAAAGGCGAAACATTCATCATAGGGAACAACAAGCGGCATTCAAATCATAATGTCATGAAAAAACACGCAGTGTGGGCAATGAGGGAATGAGAAACATCACTCAAAGTTGTATGGTTATGTGTCGGTCATGGAAATAAAAAGAAAGCATAGCATTTTGAATAGGAATGTAAAGGTTACATGCATCGCTATTCCCACAAAGTTATAACATGATCATATGTGAAACTGAGAGTGAAATATATTGTTTCTTGGTTTGGCAACGACTCATTCTTTGCTGTAATTTAAACATGAACATAAAAATACGAATACAACTAGCTTTTGATCGTTCATTTATATTTCACATTATTTTAAAGTATTTTTGTATCCTCCAACACATGCTCATTGAAATTTTACAAAGACAATTCAATTAATTAAAAAATTAGATAATAATGATCTAAACACTTTCATTAATTAAGTACTTTCATTTCTCAAAATAATAATCTAACAATTTTTTTGTCAAAGATGATATCTTAATGTTTGGAGGATACAAATTATTGGATAGCCTAATCTAGACAACTTGAATGACGACAGAAAAAACCTACACTCAATCATATATGTCCATTGTCTGCAATCGAAGATATGTTATCAAAATGCACCTTCTGGCATAGCTTTCACCAAATAATGCATCAATAGTGTATATTAATATGGCCGATTTGTTGGAGGATACAAATATTTGACAAATCGTATACATATAGTAAAACATACTTAATTATGTGACTCAGACATATCAAACATACCGCTTTCAAGAGTTGGTTGCACATACATTTTATTAACATGCTCAAAAATATCAACGCAATCGATACATTTTAGGTTAAGAAATCCGAGTTTATATTTGCCGAAAAATAAAATATTTTTATTTGTCTAAAAATCCATAATTAAAGTGATATTTTTTAAAAAGATAAGCAATATTCCAAACAGGTACCTTGTGGTAATGATTGCTTAAAGTCTGGTCAACAAAATATAACATATTACATGTCCATGAAATCAACATATACTCGTATGTCGCAGTCTCTAGTACAACAACAGATTTTTAAAATATACATTATCGTAAATTGTCCCATAACTTGTTGCTAAAATGCGGCATTATTATTGGTTTTAGATTTATGACGCAAGTGTGTTTGAGTCTGTCGTTGATTACAAATTGGATGTTGCACTTATCTCGCATGGAAATTCACATATATCAGAACACATGCATCACATGCATCATACTTATCTTGCCGATCTTACAGAATATCCATACACAAAACTAAGTTTAACTTATGATAAATTAATTTAATATTGCATAAAACTAGCTTGGTTGTATTTTTGATAGCTTGGGAATTCGATAACTTTTGTTATTAATGGTGAATTCAACGTTGCGTACGTAAGTTAACATTCAAAGATGTCAAAATTCGTATATTTACGTTTAAATCGTATTGATTCATGACTACCCAATCTTGGTTAATACACTGCATTTGTTATCTTTATTTTTCTGATCTAAACAAAAACTACATACAGAAATCCTCTTTACTTTATGCTGTTTAAGGCGAGATATGTTTTTTTCAGAATCGTTTTCAGTAACTGCAGGAAAAACACACCCAATCAGGTTTCTCTTCGTTAAAGCTTTCCTTTTAACTCAAAAATAATATATTTTCCTTCGTTTGTAATCCATTATATAAGTTGCTATATACGAGTATGACACATTTATGATCAATGAAAAGTTTTACAATTTAAAAACCGAATGGTTAATTTTACGACCATGTAATTTTGCTTTTCTGTACATATTCAGAATATAGACACATATTGCAGAAATAAATAATATTGCAAAAAATAATTGATTGGATCTAAAGTTTACGCAATAAACTAAATATATATTCATAGTAACGGAGGTTTTTAATACCTTATTCCAATAGATTTTGGTTGACGTATAATATGCCATATCTTGAAAACGAGGAGGAGATTGTTCAAAATATTCCACAGTGTTATCTATCAATATCTGTTCTTTTGTCTCAACAAAAAAATAATCAGTGATACTCTGATTTGATAAACTGATTTTTCAAACCTGAATTGGGACATTTTTTTAATTTAGTTGTTAAATGTTTATTTCTTATTCATACTCAACGTACTGCTAAATGAAGCAAAACCAATATAAACGATCAAAAAATAGGCAAAATAAGCTTTCCAATTGTGTGCTGAATGTGTAACTAGCTACAAAAACTACTTTTATATGTAGTGCTGCCAATTTGCAACAGATATTTTTTCATCTTGTATTACAGTTTGATGTACCTCAGTTTTTTTGCCGCCTGGACCAAGGTGGATTTCTTCCTACCCACCCTACCATGTAGGGTTAATTTTTTAATTTATTCTCTTGCATAATTATAGGCAACAACAACAAAAATTTGACGTTTAAGGTATATAAGCGATTGGCAATTTTTAACGATATTAGTATCTTTTTTTATATGGATTCTGAATCTAAAATTAGAATTGAAATCCGACTTTCGGTTCAGCGTCTTTGACCTTATGAAATTTCCAAAAAACAATTCGTGATATCCCCATGTTAAGGCAATGGCACGGCTGGTGGTAAATTTATAAAATTCGGATCCTGTATTGTGGATTGGTAGGTTGAAATCCACCAAGGTCCAGGCGGCTAATTAAATAATTCTATTTCTCAGTCACTCAATGTATGATTTAATTCTTTTATAGAGGCAATTACAAAATACAGAATGATATGTCTAGTGGCGTGCTGTGTGCATGGATAGTAATTTTAAAAAGTAATAATAAAACTAACTCGTGTCAGTCCTCACAAATATTTTTTCATCTATTATTAATCTATGCATTGTACCCGATTTCTCAATTTTTGAAGACTGTTATATTATGCAAGAGATGAAAAGAAGACATTAATCTTTCCAATGGTGCAATTCATGTGTGTCTAACTTTTCAAATCATAACAAAAATACGTAGTTTAATTGTCAGTTTGCGAAAATATTTTGTCATCTATTGTTACAGTTCTATGTCCCCGAAGGTTTATATAAAGCTTTTTGTCTAAAATATATTAGATTAGACACTTAAACATGTTCCATATACAATCAAGCTATTCGATAGTTTCCAACATACTTTCAAACTTCTCCTGACATTGATCAGCTTTACCTGATGTTTTCCAGCTTTACCTGATGTTGTCCTGTAAAAGATATATTGTTGACCTGTCTTGCGTTCCCGACCTGTTCAATTCCTTTTGAATGAAGCTCTCGATATGATTATCCTCCTCTTGATGTA